AGCTCTGGATAATCAATTTAAGGCAGCCATGAATTCTGTATAATAAAAATAGTAATTCTGCTAGGTGAAAGTAGAAAGGGAATGGGAGGTGCTGAACTCTGTGGCTATCATCTTACATGCTGTTGGTCCTAAGCAAAAGAAACCCCCTACTAATCACTGGAAACACCTCAATGCATTGAAAAAAATGTGCTGGGCACATGGTACTCACACAAAAAGTTATACATTTTATATATATATATATATATATATATATGCACATACAGGTTTATTTCCAGATTAGTATTATTGCTCCTAGTGCTGTTTTCTTTGGTGTGTGGCTCATTTCCTCTGGTTCTTCTGTATCAATGACCAATTCCTGATACTAATGTTCATTCTCCAAGTGATCTGGTCTTTCCCATGAAAAGCTGATGCCAGGTGAGGCTTGGGGGAGGGAGCACAATCCATATGCAACTGGCCCTTGTCACAGTTTGGAATATGGAGAAATTAGAGTTACAGGTCTTAGAAGAGTGTTGAATTATGTACTTTTGACTCTGTTATGTTGCTGAAAGTAGAGGAAGTGTGCTTTTGAAAAGGATTCTCTTTGCTTGCCATTTGATTTTGTACTTGGTATGATAAGTGACCTTTGGATATAAGATATTCCCCACAAGTCCAGCATGATGGTTGTCCTTGAGGTCTAATTACAGTGTGTTCCTCTAGCTCCCAAGTTCTTGCTAAAAATGCACTCAGGAGCTTAGCTTCCTTTGGCCACAGTTGTATTTTGAAATTGTATTGCCTGGTTCTTTGCAGTTGATTTGTGTTTTTCTCATCTTCTGTTGTTTTCTTGGTGTAGTCAATTTATTTATAGGGGTTTTTCTGAGTTGAGGAGCTTGTGTTGTTTGTAGTACTGTAACACACTTTTAGCAAATCACTCTTCAGTGAGAGATTAGGTAAATCACCCAAGTTTTCATTCAGAGCTAGCCAAGTAAAACAGGAGATTGGGGAAACAGCAAGGAAATTATCTTTTTTATTATTTTTAATATGAAATGTTTTAAATTTTTACTTTGACCATGGTGTGTTTTGGCTTCTCATCAGCTGCTTGAATAAACAATTACACTTCAAGTCAGTCTGTTTTGGTTTCTTTTTTTAAGAATATCTGAAAACTTATACACTAGAAGATGTTAAGTCAGGTTAGTTCTGAGCTAAGCTTTTTGTTCTGTGGTTTTAATGTGATAAAAAGTTCTCTAAACCATCTTGTGACTCCTCAGTGAAATGAGCCCTTGTCAGTATGTGGAAAGACCCCATTTCCTGCATTATATTGGTAGAATAGATTTAGCTGGAATTTACCTGCATCCTAGTTTTCCTTCTTTCTGCTGGTTAGTTCTGTGTGTTTAAAGCCTTCAATATTCTGGTGTTTTGAGACTCTAATAGTGACCACATCTCTGCCCACAGATGAGCAATGTTGGGGTGAAGCTGCTCCGGGTGGGGTGGGGCAATTTTACAGCTCTGCTTACTCCAAAGGTGTTTACTTCTCCCATTGCCAGCTTCCCCTGCTGCCAAGGTGCCAGCCTGAGTGTTCCATGGCTTCCAAAGCCACCAGGAATGTGGGCAGATTTCAGCTGGATTGGCCAGTTGGGTCTGTGCAGTTCCCAGGGGTTCCTGCAGGAATGCTGATGCTGTGGGAAATGCATGGTACAGATGTTGTAGTGTGGGCTCGAACTGGGTGCTTGTGAAATTGGATCTGGTGCTGGGGGAAGGTGTCTGTGTGCATGGAGTGGAAGAGGGAGAAGGAAGGACTCGAGGGTGGAAAGGTCTAAGAGGCTTTAACTGAGTAAAGTAAGAGCTGGTAGAACAAATCTAAGGAAGGAGAAGAAAGCTGAGCTCAGAGGTAGGGAAGGAGAGCATCTCTAACATTGCTGCCTTGTGAGTGCCTGGAGGAAGAAGCAGCCACTGCAGGCACGAAGGAGCTGAGCCTAGGATGGGAGTGCCCCAGAGACCTCAATGCCTGGCTGGAAAGCTCTGGAGCACACCTCAGCAGCTCTTGTTCATGATGAGAGCCCTCTGGCAGCTCTGAAAGGACACGAGGGTAACTCGGTGCATTCTGTGGGAATCACTGTCCCAGCTGTGAAACCAGCAAGGAATCTTGGCTACCACATCAATTTGCAGGATGGAGCCTCGGTGCAGTAGTTGGTTTTGGAGAAGTTTGACAGGATTGGTGCTGCTGGATTTGAAACAGTGCAAGTGTGAGGAATTGGGGAGGCAGCAGATTGAGGAGCTTCTGAGGCATGGCAGAGGGTAAAGGACAGGCTTTACTCCTAAAGTCTGGTTTAACTGCTGGCCCCTTCAAGGTACAAGAGAACTGATTTAAAAGGAGAGGCAGACATCATCATTTGGAAGTGAAATCGTGCAGCAAGGAAGTTCTTACAGAGCTGACAGAAATCAGAAAATGCCCAGGAATGACAGTGAGTGCATTTGTTCCTATTGCTTTTCCAAATGCCTCAGAACCAATTGCATCTGTACTTGGAGCTGCATGTGCCCCTAAGGAGAGGTGTTGTAAGTCAAGAGCATCCACAGAGCTGATACTCAGAGGAACTGGAAGGCCTAAGACTGACATTTTGGTTGTGAGGACACAAATTACCTGAACAAGATAATTTCTGCTGAAGAACAAAAGAGAACTGGAGCTGAAGTCCAGGAGGAGAAGCCCTGCCACGTGTGTCACTGCCCCTGTTGGTAGTGCCACACACTTAGCTGAGCTCCATGGAAAACTGCAGCCTCCTGTGCTTCCTCCTGCATGGAGCCTCCTGCCTTTTCAGGAATAAACCCAGCATTGTTTCTAGGCACAGAAACCCAAAGGGAAATCACCTCTGTAGCCACTGTATTAATTAGCAGTGATTAATAAATAGGACCAGTAGAAGTTGGTCAGTGTGTGAGATGTAGAATGCATACACAGTAAAATAACAGGTTCTCCAGCTTGTGCAAATACCTCCCTATTTTTAATAAGTTTGGCATTAGTCTCAGTATTTCCATAACTTCTCTATTCTGTCTTCTTTACATGGCAATTGTAGCTTTTAAAGACCCAGTTTGCTTAACTTTCAGTTCTTTATAATCTCAAAGAGGGAAATTTAGGAGAGATTCAAACTTCTGCAATGAAAAGGCTGCTCTGTGAGTTGGAGTTACTCCTGGTTGTAAGAGTGGGGTCATGTGAGGGTGAGGGAAATGTTAGAAATGTATGTGTAAGATTCTACAAGGTAAAATCACCTTTGTTGCTACTAAATTGTCAACAAGTTTTTTCTGTCAAGTTTGAAGGAATTAATCTTAGTGAAACAATGCTCACAAAATTGGGAAAACAGAGGTTTTATGAAGCCTTGATGCTGGGCAGGGTTTTTTGGTGGCTTTTTTTTTTTAGATACTATCTATAGCTAAAGATCTGTCTTTTGTGGTAAGCTTGACCTAAATTGTGTGATGGAGTTCTTGGTTTCTTCAGTGCTGTGCTTTGGCTCTCAGAGAGTTAACTGTCCTGCTGATTGGTGGTGTTGAAAATAAAAGGTGATACTGAGTGATTCCCATCTTCTAGTCTGCTTCTCCATCTTGAGCTTTATCCAGTGTTGTGTAGGATCTTCAGAGCCTTCTAGGAGTGAGACAGAAAAGTGGTTTTTAAAGTTTGATGGTGTCCTGCTCAGAGGCTGCTTTTTGGATAGTTTTTATTTGAATGTATGCATATGTATGGAAATGTGGATGTGTGTGCATATGTGATGTCCTTGTTTCAAAGAAATCAGAAGTGTTTGTTCAGTGTGAGTATTCTGTGAAGTGGTTTTCTTCTGAGCTTTGCTTTCTGATCCATGCCCACAGAGTTTCATTAGCTTTAGCTTTTGGGAACCTGCATGGATGGATCACACAGGATTTGCAGGGCTGAGGGTGGCATAGGGATGCTGAAGAGCTCAGTGCTGGTGGAGAGCCTTTCCCACAAAGTTTGCTTGTGGAGTGGATGTGTGAGAGTGTAATACTTGAAATTCCATGTGAAACGGGGAGATGAGAACTTGAATGTGATATAAATGCAAAGATCCACTTCCAAGGAGTGCTGACCTTGATTTGTGTAGCAATTAGATAATTGTACAAATGTTTGGAGATTCAGGACAGGGAGGAAGCAGGGATTGTGCACTGGTGGCTGGGGAAAGCTGTGTGGCCAGGAGGCAGAATCCAGTGCCCTGGGATATCATCAGGTCCTGCCTAAGTGGAGCTTGGCCTTACTGATGTTTGCCTCATTGGAGTGCAGAAGCATTTTTGGAGGGAAGTGGGACATTTGATAATCCCTCAGTGAAGCATTTGGGGTTTGAACTCGGTACAGAACTGTTCTGGTTTCCTGTGTAACAAATGTGGTGAGCCTTTATCATTTTGCCAATTAGTGATTCATTATGGTTAAATGTCATGATAGATGTGTCTGTATTTGAAAGCAAGGATCATCAGCTCAGTCTGAAATAACCTTATATGTACACAGCACATTGTTCTCATCTTGACAGTTCTGTGGTGGTTTAGGTTTTATTTGTTTGCTTGTTTTTCTCAGTCTTTATCTGATCAGGAGAAGGAAGTGGAGGTCTCAGGGTCATCTCAAAATGCAGGCATTTAAAAATCTGGGGGAAAAAAACCCAGCAAAACAAAAGATCAAACCCAAGGTGTCTGGTTAATGAGTAAAGTTGTTCAAAGTTCATACTTGAAAGTGCACATGGATCAGGAGTTCCCAGTAAAGCTTATGAGGAATATTTGATAAAAATAGAATTACAAGAAGGGTCTGTTCTCAATCACAAACCTTTGGAGCAGTATTCAAGAACATTGTGCACTTTGAGTTTCCAAGTCACCTGCATCTAAACCTTGTTAACCAAATCTACAAGTTTGTATTTCAGTAAAGTATTTCTTTTCTGTGCTGTCAAAGGCAGTTTCTAATAACAGAGCAAGTGCACATGGGTTTTTTTCCTCCTAGAAAATGTGTTAATGTTTTGTTGATGTGTTTGTGTTTTTGTTTTCTTTAGTATCAGACATTGAAGGTGGTGATGCTGTGCAGCTCAGAAAGGAACATGCCCTCAAGATATTTGCTTACATCAATTCATGGACACAAAGGTAATTTTGGATTGAGTTTGAATGCTGAGGATGCTGACTCTCAACAGCAGCTTTCCCTTTTTAAAATACAGTAGAGTGCTTAGAATTAGCAAATTATTAATGTGTAGCTAAGTGATACCTGGAGAATAAAGACTGTTTTAGTACTTAGGAAATAAAAACAAACTCGTTACCCAGTGCATTTTGGGAAAAGCATGATTTGAATGCAGTTGGTGTTCTGGATGCTGTAATAATTGTGTAGAAAACCCAACTGCTCTCTTGTGGTGACAAACAAGGTGTCTTGCTGCTTTAACATGAAACTTTGGGACCATCTTCTGAAAGGCAGGGAAGGGTAAGAAGAATTTAAGAAAAGGTGACTGAATGGAACCATCATGTTAAATTTTTCTGCATGTTCTGATACTCTGAGTCCAGGTGATGAAGGATTGCAGCCCATAGTTTAGTAGCTATGATACTGAAAATGCTTTGCATGTTTTTGTCTTAAATTACATTATTCCTTTTAATCTAGTATTTAAATTCCTGTTGTTTTGAGCTTGTTCCTTTAAAGTAATGATATAATTACATTATGATATAATGATAAATTATTTCACAGCTACTTATTTTTTTCCAACACAAGGAAGTGTATGGATATTACTTTTTAGAAAGAATCTGCAGTGAAGGTGTTTGGGATTTAGTGTTCAGCAGTAGTTTTAAGACCAAACTGAATCATAAGTAATATTGGGAAAAGCATGAAGGATAAATTGGAAAATACTAGTTGGGTATTTAGAAGACTCCAAAAGAAAAAAAAATGGAATGTCACATTTTGGATACCTGTGAATGTAGGAAACCTCCTCTTCCTCATTTTGTCCAAAAATTACAAACCAAGTTGATTTTCGTCTTCCATGTGCTTTTAGACACAGAGAAGGAATTTTTCAATCAAAATAAACAGCAGGCATGGGAACCAGACTCCTGACATTTCTTGACAGGTCCTAGATGCCAAGTTTGTCAGAGAACAATTGCAACCCAGTTTTCCAGGCCATCATCTGTTCAGAGTTTTGTTCTGTTCTACAGCTTGACAAATCCAACCTGAAGAAAAAACCCAAAGATTGGATAATATTTAACTCTTTATTTTCTTCTGGTTTCCTTGTTGCCTTCCATATGTAATGGGCTCATACTGGAAGAGCCTGGAGAACAGTCCTTGGGCTGGTGAAAGGAGAGTCCAACAAAGAGGCCACAGAAAGGAGTTTTAGTGGATAATTTAATTTCATGTCCTGTCTCTGCTCTGCCAAATGGGCTTTTGAGAGTTCTGCTGGTTTTGGGTTTGAGGCCTGCCTTAAGAGCTGCTTTTGACTTTGTTGTCTGTAGTTGAAATCTCTGCTTTCCTTCAGAAGATCACTTGGTGACTGCTCCTCAAGAGCACCTTTTTCTTCCATGTGTGTGGAGTCTCTCCATTTTACTTTTCTTCTGGAAATTGTTATGGTCAAAGAAGTAACATCCTCATTTTTTATTGATCTCCTCCATTTTTGGTGGAGCTCTTCTTCCACATTCCAACTTGAAGAGGAAGACTTGAGAAGTTTTGCACATACCTGTCTTGGAAAAGAATTCTCCAGTATGTGACAAGTCTTCACCAGGCTGTTTTCATTGTTATTGAGGATGATTTGTTGCTCTAAAGTGGGGCAGCAATTTGTAGGCATAAGTGATGGACTTTTGAACATCATTTTCCCCCAGGATAAATGCTTGAGGATACACTGGGTTTTGCCTGCAGTGCCTTGTTGTCATTTGTTAACATGAAAATACATTTCCAAGTAAATGACAAGAATGTTTTTCACATGGGTGAAACTCCATTTACACAATATTAAAGGGTTTTTTCTTCCCTGCACAAATGGAACAAAGGGGTTTGGGTGCTTTAGTCACTGTATCTGTGCTGGAATTAGGGAATCCTGAATGTTACCTTTTGGTCTAAGCCACTGAAAAAAATAAATACCTGTATTCAGAAAGTATGTGCTTTAAGAGCTGTTGCTCAAGGGCATGTTTGTGTTCCATCAAGAGAGGCAGCACCCTCTACCTGTCATAGCTCTGGGTTCTCTTGATTTGTTTTCACCCTAAAAATTATAATTTATTAATCCCAGTCTTTAAATTAAATGCTGTGTTTGCAGAGAAAAAAATTAATTGATATGTACTGAGGATTTCTTGCGCTGTCTTTTGCCTACTGATTTCTTTTCCAAGTGGTCCATGTGATTTTTGTATTATTTTAATATCTGAGCGCTCTGGTTGTGGAGTGGAGGCCACTGTTGTGTGTCTGACAGGTGATGGAGAAGATCTCTGCTGCCAGCCAGCTCCCAGTTTGTGTAGCAGTAACTTGGTGTGCTGGAGTTGGAGTCAGAAAGGGCAGAGTCCCTCTCCCAGAGGCTGTCACAAGCACCTAGCCTTCATTTTGCTCTCCAGTGAGTAAGGCCAGTGCAGTGATGGCTTTCTGGGCTGTGCTCTCCAGGATTTAAATCCTTCTGCAGGAATATCCTCCACCTTTTTTGTCAGAATGAGGGAGGTGCTGGTTTGTGTGGAAGAAGCAGCAGTTCCCAGACAAGAGGTTTAGGTACCTACCTCAGGGGTTTATGCACCCACAGTCTCTTTGGCATCCACAGTTAATCCTTACCCACAACTAGACTCACATTAGAGCCTTTGAACTTGATGATTTAATTGATTTTTTAATGATATTGTCAAAGGCATGTTTTCCCCTCTTGTTCTTTGCAGTTTACAGTTGGTCAGTAGATAAGCAGGGGAATAATCTCTGAGCCTGCCAAGTGAAGAAAGTACTGAAGATACTTGAGCTGCCTTTTCCTAGATGGATAGAGGGTATCAGTGTGCATGGGATCACCATCCACATGCAGATAAAGGAAGTGGACTTGAATACCCCATTAAAAATAAAATTACTTTGCAGCCCTGTTGATTTGAAAATAACAATAAGGAGTTCTTACAGAGCTGACAAGAATGTCAAGATGATTTATTGCACTAAAGAGCAGCAGAGAAAGCCTGATGAGGAAATGGAGTCAGAAACATACTGAAAAATGTGACTTCTTCAGTAGCACAGTGACCTTGCCCACAAAGCTTTTTTTCTGTATTTTACTTGCTGTACCAGCTGCTAAGTGATAACAGGGACTTCATAGTTTGGGTAAGCATTTGGAAATAATGGGATGTTCTCAAGGCTTAAGGAGGGTTCTGTGACTCCCACTTGCTGCTGGGTAGAGTCTGTTTCATTTGGATTTCCTTCATTTTATGATTCTGTCAAATAACTTGCTGTTTAAAATGTTTTAATGCCAAGAGTTCTCTTGGTTAAGTACCCGCCTGGTTTGAACTGTAGGAATTTTTATTGATTTATTTTTTTTCTCTTTTCTTACAGACAATGTTTGTGCTGTTTCAAGGAGTATAAACATTTGGAGATCTTTAACCAAGTAGTTTGTGCGCTGATTAACTTAGTGATTGCCCAAGTGCAAGCTCTGAGGGACCAGCTCTGTAAACATTGCACTATTCATATAGATCCAACATGGCCAGAGCAGAGTCACCACGCTGATGAGCCCCTGAATGTAGAGAGAGAGTCTCACCCAGAAGAAAATGGACAAAAACCTCTAGAGAACAAGTTTGATCCTGCAAGAACTTGTATCCTGGGCGAGGAGGAGCCCTCCAAGAGCACGGAGCCTTTCAGCCTGTGGAGCACTGATGAGAAGGAGAAGCTGCTGCTGTGTGTGGCAAAAATCTTTCAGATTCAGTTTCCTCTGTACACAGCTTATAAGCATAATACTCACCCCACAATAGAGGTATAGCTTCTCTTTGTGTGTGTCTTGGTGAAAGGTTAATTGTTGTCATTAATGAGCAGATTGGTGTTTGTTGCTTTCACTCAGGATGGGCACATGCAGCTCTCCTTCAGTAGAGCTTTTCAGAGAAACTTTCTGAATATATGCATCCTCTTCTACCTTCTTTAAACTATGCTTAATTGTTATAGGTAATATATTGATAAGAGCTGGCTGGAACTGCACACTGAATTATTGTGCTGTTTAAAATAACAGGTAGGCCAAAAGGGGACTAGAGCAAAGCCTTTCCTCCGGAAGGTAACCCATGAATAGTTTACTAATTTTTCTTTCCAATCTGTGGTTCTAGAAGCAAAACTTGATAAACTAAACTTTGTGCAAGACCAAACTTGTTAGAACAGCTGGTTAATTGACTGGAATAGCTGAGATCAACACAGATTGCTTTGTTCCAGGGTGCTGATTTTTCTCTCTGATATTTGATATAGCTGCCATTCACATTTTCCCTGATTTTCCTCTTAAAAAAATTAATTCCAAAATCCTGCCATGCTTAATTCACAGTTTCTGAAATAAATATGGTGGTGTTAGCCTTTCCTAGTGGAAACACCATGTTTTTGGGATGGTTGGCTTTTGATCCAACTTGTGGTAGTCTAATAACAAGTAAAGAGTTATTTTGCAATATTTGTATGCAAATTAGATGTACATTTCACTATATAGGAAAAGCTTCTATCCAACAAACTTCTGAGAAAGTCAGAGTGGGGAATTAAAGTGCAGCTCACCCACTCCTTTTATTTTATATTTAGAGAGTTGTGGGAGCTCACTGGAGCCCTGAGGGTTGAAATTTGCTTTATAAACTTAAGTCCAAAATGAGAAGATGCTGAGTCAGATATAATGATGTGAGTTAGGGTGGTCACAACACCTGGTCAGTTCTGATGGAATGGATGCTGCCCTGTCTGACAAGAAATGGAGTTAAAACCCCCTACACAGCAGCTTTTTTAGGTGGGCTGGATTTTGGTTCTTGTTCTTCTCCAAAGCACATGGGCATAAGTGAACAGAGGTAGTTTCAAGTGTATCTGTACAGATATAAAGTGAATTGATTTATCTTCTGCACTCCTGTGGGACATGTACTGGGACTGGCTTCAGAGGAATGTGGAATGAACAATTCTGGAGCAGCTTCTCTGTGGACTATCACACGTCCTTCTTTTAAATTACTATTTCATGTATTTTTCCCTTCTCTTTGAATTTCACTTCCAAACGATCAAAAGGAGATCTCAGGTGCCTGATGGGATTTCTTTTCCCTTGGTGTGCAGCCTGGGAGTGATTTAGACCCAGATCTGTTGTAGCTTGCTGTACTGTGATGATGCCCAGCACTCCAGACATACTAATGGATATAGGTATAAATGTAATAATACATCTATCATCTCTTATACATCACTTGAATTATCAAATGCATTCATTAGCCAGCCTAAAAACACAACTTAAGGGGGAGCTGGGAAGAAAACCACTGCCCTGAGGTACAGGCAGGTAAGGGAATTTTTCTTTTCCTTTCTGCTAGACTTTGTGTGTTTCCAGGTTGGGATTATGGAGGTGTGCCAGCCTGCCATATTTGTATACCTTTTTTTAGGGGGGGAGATTTTCAAATTTTGCTTCTAAAAGGTCCCAGCATCAATAATTTTTCTTACAAACTGATATTTTCTGTATCTGGGAAGCAGTAGGATTCTGTCATTCTGCTGTTTTAATGTCAAAAATTTCTGCTCCCATGAGTGACTCACTGAATTCTAGAATTTAATTTTGGATTTCAGTCTAGAGCACGTCTTAGCTGAACTGAGAAAGTTATTAGTCCCAGTAATAAGAGCACTTCCTGCTTTAAATCAGGCTTGGTTTCAGTCCTCGAGAGATCCTAAAATAAAAAAATCTCTGCTTTGAGTCCATTAGCTATACTTGTAAGTTAAACAGATCCTGAACGGCCTAAATCTGCAAAAAAATTATTGGTAGAAGCTGGTGTAGCTCTCCCTCTCCCACCAAACATTTCCTTTGCCCTGGAAAAAGGGAAATTTGCTGATCCAGAACAGACTCCAGTCTCCACTCTGACTGACTTCAGAAATTCCTTGTATTAGATTCTCGAGGTGAACTTTGACAATTTCATGGGGTTACTGAACATAACTCCATTGGATTTATGTTCATCCATGAAGGTTTTGCCGTGCCTAGGCTGCCTCTTAGGCTGCCATTTAGGAATTCCCAGTGTGAGGCTTTCCCACAGTAACAATTAGTGGTCAATATTTCCCTTGTCCTTTGCTCCAAGACACCTCCAGGGGCTTTGTTCTTAATGGCAGCAGACAATCCTTGAAGTGTGACCCCTTCTCAGCTGCTGGCCAAAGCCTTTGGACACTGGGCTGTCTGCTGGAGAAGGAAAACGTTCATGTGGGAGCAGGAGGTTTCCCTTCTTCAGGAGTTCATGAAGCTGGATGCAAATGAACAGCAAAGCAAGATTTGTTGGAGTCAGAAAGGTGCCTCTACCTGTAGGATCATGCAGATCTTTCCTTAAATGATATGGGCTAAGAATTGTTTTAGTCCCTTGCAACATCTCTAAAGTGAGAGTGAAGACCACAACAGCCTGGTTGGTATCCAGAGGAGCCATGTACACACCTCTCTTGAAATTCAGCAATATTTTTGGTACCCAGAGGGGTATTTGTGTCTATTTTTCATCCTAAACAAATTTAACTCGGAGTATTTTTAAAAATATGGTTTTTTTTTGAGGAATGTTCATTTCATACTTTGAAATTTTTTTTTTTCTTTATGGGATATTTTTATCCCATGCATACAGGGTGGTTTATAACTGTATGCCCTATCCTTTTCATTCTTAGTGCAGCAAGTGAAATACCTGGAATGGGCACTTCAGAGGAGGGGAAAAAAGAATTTATAAAAGGAAGCTCTTAAAATCCTGCAGAGAAAGAAGCAGCAATGTCAAGTGCACTCCTGAACTTTGCACTGTCTCAGAATGAACAAAGGATCTGAAGGGAGTTCCCTGACCATTTAACAGATCTTGGCAGGATGAAATGAAAGAGGAAACAACATCAGTTGTTGAGGTGCCTCTAGCTGCAGTCCCCAGCTCTTTGGGGTCTTGTGCTCTCTGCTTCTCCCTCTCAAGGAGATATTTTCTTGGAAGATGTGTGCTTTCTGCCCAGGTTGTGTCCAGTCAGACCTCAGGCAGTGCATTTTATTATGGAATGTTTGGAAGGCACCTTAAAGCTCATCTCATCCCATCCCATCCCCTGCCTGGGGACACCTTCACTGTCCCAGGCTGCTCCCAGCCCCATCCAGCCTGGGCACTGCCAGGGATGCAGGGGCAGCCCCAGCTGCTCTGGGCACCTGTGCCAGGGCTTGCCCACCTCCCAGGGAAGGATTTTGTCCTAATCCCAGATCTAGCCCTGTCCTCTGGCACTTTGAAGCCATTCCCCCTTTTCTTTTTGCTGTGTGGCTTTGGGCCAGCAATATCCCTGCCTGTCTTTCTCAAAGTCCCTCTCCAGGTCAAGATCCTGGAAAGCTGCTCTGGGTTCTCCTGAGCTCATGGTTGGTTTTAATGCCATATGAGGAATTCTCTAATTTCCTCATACAGTTGAAAAGAGCAAAAGGAGGAGAGTAAGGAACTTCAGCCTGTTGTGTTTCCCACCTGCAAGAGCAGAAGTCACATTTCCAGACTCAGTCTCTCAGAGCAGCCTTTTCCAAGCTTTGCAGGACTCGTGCAGCAGCGCTCTGTGAGTTTGGGATTTCTGCATTCGAAGAACTGCAGCTCACTTGACAACAAATCTCTTGTTTTTTCAAGGAAACTAATGAAATTTCTCACACCATTTCTGCACTTTTCATGAGCAGAGCACTGAACACCTTTTCTTGCTGCTTAAAAACATACCACCTACTGCCTTCAAAGCTGATTTAAAAATAACTGGTAGAGTATCACGAGTTCAGGCGTGACTTAGAGTTCAGCAGAAGAAAAAAAGAAAAGAGATGCTTAGCTAGAATATGAGCATATTGAATAATTCAAAATGTTTGTATCACACTTAATCCATCCAAAATTGCTTGCCTCCAGCATCCTCTGGTACAGTTCTAAGATTACTCCTACACAGCTATTTAAAATATATTCAGGAAATTTCATTTAAAAACTTAACTTTGTGTTAAACTTGCATTCAATTTGTGACTATCAATACTGGGTGTTTGCCATGGAGGGATGAGAAGAAGAGCAATGTGTGGCTTTACCTACAAGTATCCATGGCAATGTTGGGTTTTACAGCCACTTTTTATACCTCCAGTGCCCTTTTGCCCCTAGCAAGTGCATGAAACCCACAGTATATTACAGCCCTAATAAAGAAACTTCCCTCTCTGTACTGCCCAACAAGTGGATGTTGTGGACATTAAAAAGAAAAGCTATTTTCCTCAACCATTTTAAGTTTAGTGCTTCTAGAAAATGAGATTTCTTGTTGCAGCAAGTAGCTAACAGAGTGATAGGGTGATAGAATTCCTTCCCCTTCTTCACTTCACTCACTTCTGTAAAAGTCTGGCATTTATTTTGTACAAGGTGTTTTGTTATATATAAAAATGTAGTAGTTGAAATTAAATGGCAGTGAATATTTTGACATTTTTACCCTTTCAGTCATTACATGTAGGATGTCCTGCAGTTCATCTGAATTCAGATGTTTGCATATATGTCTCATCTTAATTAGAAGATGCATTCCAAAGTGCCTGGATTGGTTCTGTTCTGTGTTTCTCAGGCTGGTGTGACAGACTGTGCCCTTGGCCATGCTCCTGTTGAAAAAATGGGTGATCTGAACAGGGGTGGGATTGAAGAATAATTTGTTCATCCAGACTCTGCTGAAATCTTCTCTTAAGTATATTTGTGTATTTATATATATTAAAAGAGGTAAGAAGTTTGGAAAAGTCTGTTTTGCAGTGGAGAAGTGGAGCAAAGCTTGAGCTTCTGTTTTCTCTGAATGAGGAATTTGGGTTTTTTATTGTTGACTGTGATACCTGGTAAATGGCAGTTGCTTTTTTTGTTCTATAAATGTGTTTTTATTGCTTGAGTTAATTTTAATTTTTTCTTTAAACAGGACATTTCTGCTCAAGAAAGCAATATATTAGGGGCGTTCTGTGATATGAATGTAAGTTGTCCATTTTTAAATAAACATTTCCTAGAAATTTAACCACGTTCTATAAATTTGTGTTACGCTCATGCAGCTTTTGAATTTCCTCGCTGTCTGGACAATGTGGTGCTGATTCCTGTGCTGGTTTTTGCCTCTTGGCAGGATGTGGAGGTGCCCCTGCACTTGCTGCGTTACGTGTGTCTGTTCTGTGGCAAGAATGGCCTTTCCCTGATGAAGGATTGCTTTGAGTACGGCACCCCCGAGACGCTGCCCTTCCTCATCGCCCATGCGTTCATCACCGTGGTGTCCAACGTGAGTGTTCCCCTTCTCCTCTGCTTCAGCAACACTAACAAAAGCCATCTGAAGGCTGCAAGAACTCCCTGGGACCAGGCAGGGATAAACAGGCTGTAAATTTTCCATGTTTGCTCATGCACAGAGAGTTTCATTATCCAAGCCCTCTGCATCTCCTGGCAGCACACAAGGAGTTTTCAGGTTGTACCTAGATGGGAAGATTGTAACAGCCCCCAAAGATACTTCAAAGAGTGTTGTCAGAGGCCATTTCTGTCCCTGAAATTGTGCCATGAGAGTGGTTTTAGTTTCTTCAGGCTATTTTAACTTCTTAGCTATTCCCTATGAGACACAGAGGAAAAGCCTGTGGATTTTTTTTCTCTTCAATTTCCTGTGATTTTATGCCATTATACACATTTGCAGCATAGAGGTAATCATCTGTTTTCCCATTATAGTTTCAGAATTCATATCCTCCATCATGTCTGCATTTTGAAATCACAGGGATTTTTGATTGGCAGAATTATGAATTGATTTTAGTGGAGATTTGAAGGAAATTGGTGCTAAAAATAAAACCCAGTCCCTGAGGAAGGACATATGAAACTTAGTGTAATGTCAGGATAGAAGTTGTGACTTGTCTTATGGATGGGCAAAAAGAAAACCAGAAGTTTGTTATACCTTGTACAGAGTGAATTTGACATGATTTTGAACTGATTGCAATTTGAAATACTTCAAATCAGATCCTTCCTCCCACACACCTTCCCTCCTTCCTCAGTGCTGTTCCTGCCCAGCCAGGGGGATGCTCTGGGGGGAGGCAGTGCTGAAATCAGCCTGGTGTTGGGGTCTGTGGCCCCTGTGCTGATGTGCAGTGAGGGAATTGCTGATTTGCAGCTCAGAGAACAAACGGGTGAGGCCGTGGCCTGCTCCATCCTTTTCCTCCTGCCCCTCTGCTCTGCAGCCCCTCTGCGTGTTCTCTGGGAGATGTTCTCTGCTGGACCTATTGTGTGAGCTGATGTTCTTCATCTTCACTGCTGCCACTGCAGTCCTCATCAAATCACCTGCTCAAAGTGTGTGTTCTGGTGTTACTCTGGTTCACAAGGAAATTTTGGTCATGGAACCAAACATTTCTGCGTTTTTGTTTTTTTTTTTTTTTTTTGTGAGAAGGGGCAAAGCTGCTTCAGTAATGAGTGGCAGCTCCCTGTCACAGCAGCATGTTTTCAAGCCAGCATTCTGACTGCAAATCCCATGTCCTGGCTATCCTGCATCAGTGCAACTGCCTGTCTTCATTGTCCTTTTTAGAAGTCTTTTTTATTTCTATATAAATTGTTTCTTCTTAGTGATGTGCCCTATCCCAAAATACTTCTCAGCAAAGTTTCTCCTTTCAGATATTTACTTAGCCACTTTGCATTTCTCTTTGGTTTAGTAGGTAACCTGTTAAGCTGGCTCTTGCAGCAGTTTTAGATGAGTTCCATGGCTAAACCTGGCAGATAAAATGAAATTCAACCCAAACCATAACTAAAAGTACTGTTTCTTCAGCTTCTTCCAGCATTGCAGCTTTTCCCATTCAACAGGCATCTTTCTTTTGAACTCTGTCTGGCTTTGCTGACAAATCTCTGTGAGTTGAGGAAAACTGTTTTAAAAATTATATTTGGATTTTATTTTTAAATGTCAGTTCACTACAGAAAGTATAAGAAAATGTTCTGTGTATAAGGTGCTTTATTCATCCACTTGCTGCATTTTGGTATCACTCAGTATACTTGGAAGCACTGCTGCTGCCTTTCAAATGCAATGTATTTATTGCAGCCAAATGAGGCAGCTAATTTTTTTGGACAAAATGCATTTTATCTTGCCAATATTAAAAAAATATATTTATTTCTCCACTTGTATAATGATGCATGAACTTAGGATTTTTATGTAACGTTCATCTTTCCCTGTTTGCTTTTATATAATTTCACTGTTTAATTCATAGAACTTAGGTAAATATAAATAATTGAAGAGATGTTGCTGATTGTGAACCAATGCACCAAACTCCACTAAAACAAAGATAATCATTCACAAACCTGAAGAAGATAGTGGTGGTCTCAGCAAGAACCCTGCTAATCTGCCTTGGTTTTATCCCAACACATTTGGTTTAATGGGATATAGATATTTATTGCAATAATAGCTCTGCAGTGTCAATGTTACCTTGTTCCCAGTGTGTGAAGCCAGCCCACAGTGTGTAGTAACCCTGAAATACAATTTCACAGCTGTAGGAACTCTTGAGAATGGCAGCTAAGTTGCCATTCTTGTAAAGATTCCATGAAATATCCATGCTGGAATTATTTTCAAATCTGTAAGATGAAGGAGATCTTTAGCCACTGCCTTCTAGAAATTCATTACCTCTGGTAAAGAGCAAATAATAGAACAAAACCTCTCTGAAACTTGAGAACAGAACAGGTGTAGTGAATACTTTGTCTTACAAGCAGGTGGAAGCAAAAAGTGGTGTAATTCTTTGGCACTTTACAGATGCTAGTTGATGTCATTTTATGTATGTTCTTTTATGTCATTTTAACAAGTTAGTATGCAAATGTGAATGCAATGTGGTGAATCCATGTTCAAAATCATATTTTCATTTGTAACATGTGAAGTGGTGCTTTAATTGAATTCTGAGGCTGAAGGTTGTGTGTAATACAAGTTTACAGATGCATGATTTCAGTTTAGGAGTTGGAACTAATACAGAGTGAAGCTTACTGTGAACAGTGAAAGCTATGAGAACAAAATGATAAAAACATTTCATACTCTTATTTCACAAAGAAATGTATTTTCTTTGCTGTTTCATACTGTATTTTAAAAAACATTTCATACTTTTATTTCACTAAGAAATGTATTTTCTTTGGTATCTCATACTGTACTTGAAGCAGAGTACACGGTGTTAAAAATCAAATGGTGTAATGGCAATGGTATATTTGTCACCCCTGCAATTCCTTGTCAAAATGTTATTTAATTCCTGTTTCTAGAGCAAGCATCTCCTAGTGACACTTTGTATCTTTGGGATGTTAGCATTTTTTCCCTTCTTGAGGCTGCCAGTTGGATCAGAAGTTTATTCCAAGTGTGTTCTTTTTTTGCAGAGGGAAGGTTTGGCTGGTTTGTCTTGCAAAGTAGGTTATATTGTTACTGTGCAGTGCTTGCTGCCTTGTTATAAGTAAGCCTGCAAATATTTTTGTCAGAACTGCCTCAAAAAGTTCCTTGGCAAATGCTGGAAACGTTGAAAAGAAGCTGCTGAGGAGTTTGACTGCAGCCTAATATTTTTCTCTCCTGTCAAGAAGGAATACAGGGAATATATGCATTTTCTGCATATGGAATTGAGTCCTTAGGCAGAATTTCTTGCATCAGCTGCAAAGCTGAAATTCTTTTAAGAGCAGAGGTGGGGATGCAGAGGGCCCTGAGTGAGTGATGGGGCTGCTTTTCACAAGGGCTGTGCAAAGCGCACATGATTGAATTTACATTGAATTTACGTGGGCAGGAGCAGCTGCTGCTGCTGCTTCATCTGTGCTCCAGCCCTTACCTGGCACGGAGTAACAGGTTTAACAGGCTCTGAATTCCTTTTTGAAATGCAGATGGCACCTCTGACTTTGCCTCTGGAAGTCCTTTGGTCGGTGCTTTTCCTCACAGCGGTGCTAAGTAGCTGTTTCAGGTTGTTTGGTTTTTGTTTTTTGGGTTTTTTTTTTTTCCCTCTGCATTTATTTTCTTCCTGCAATCAGCTTTGCAAAGGTGGTAAAGGCAGAATGGTAAATATGAGAAATGCAAATCTGGTAGTAAAAAACTCTGCTTAATCACTGCTTGTAAAACATCTTATTTTAAAGGGTATGTAAGCCCTAAGAAGCAAAACAACACAAGTCAAGCAGTGTTACTTGGTTTAGGAGTGGTTTGCAAGGATTCAAAGAATGGAATAATTCTCATGTGAACTCTTAAAGAAAAAGGAAAAAAAAAAACCACAAGGCTGACTAGAAGTTTTTCCTATTGAAGAAATTACAGAAAATACAAAATACAAAAATATGCCTGGGCAGTATACTATTTATACAAAGTCTGTATTTTCCAGCTGACCAGCAGGAAAGATGCAAATCCTCCTTATAAGTCAAAAAAGCATTCCTTGGGTACCAGTTTGGAAAATCAGAAAATGAAGAAGTTGAACAAAAACCACCAAGAAAGTCTTTTTTAAAGTGGGCTTGCATGTGCAAATGTATCAAGAGTATTTCAGTTCTCTTTAAATGTCATTAATGAAATCTTTATGTATTTCTGTTTTTGCATTATAGATCAGAATATGGCTACACATCCCTGCTGTCATGCAGCACATTATACCCTTTAGGACTTATGTTATCAGGTAAATTTTTATTTTAAGAATTTTTCTTGTGGGACTTTGTGACGGCGCCTACTTCTGATTGCAGCTGCCACTTTTCATTGTACAGGCTGTTGCTCTGACTGTCATTTCAACAAGGAGGGTGGAGGTCATGTTTAGAGTTAGTTTGGGCAGCTCCTTGCATCTGATTTCAGTATCAGTCAGATCAATCTTGTTAAGAACATTGTGTGACATCCAGCCCCATTCTCCAGCTGTACTCCAGTCTCCCTCCCTGTGATATTTTATAAAACTCCATCAAGTTTGCAGAGAGATGTTGGAAGTACAAGAGCAATGTGCAGTCACTGGGATTTCAGACCCTGAGTTTGAACACAGCTTCACAACATTCTGATGTTCTGGGTTTCCAGCTGGCAGGAGCTGAAGTGTGATCAAAAGTCTGCTTGCACTCTTATGGAGCTAAAGATATCCAGTCCCAAAGATTTGCTTTATATCAAGCTGTCTATCAGGAAAATAACACTTTGAAATTGAAGTACTTGTAAGGGTATTTAATTATACAAGCAATTTGTTTTTATTGGCTTTCTCAGGACAATAGAAACATTTCAGTGAGCTGCTGATGAAATGATCTCTGTGTGTGTATCTGCCTGGAGGTGGAGGGGTGTGGTCACAGCTAATTCCCATTCCAGTAGCCCAAGTTAAAATTTTCCTGGTGCAGGCCACTGCTTTTGCATAGGCACAGCTCCTCCAAGGCTGTGGGTTTCCTCTGACTACTGTTAGAAATGGGCTTATACTGCTCATAGCAAAAAATGGGCCTTTGCACATTATTCTGTCTTAACTATGCCAGTGTAAAATAACACTCAACAAAAATAATTACATTGGCAACAAACAGGCTCCCAGAACAATGAGACTGGGAATTGTTTCATATTTTAAAAAGCTCTGGTTTTATATTGACTGTAAAAATTTAAGTACTGACTTGGCTGTCAGTGTATTTTCCTATACTGTGGTTTCTACTAAAATGATACCAGCAGAGAGAAGAGTATTTTGATCTTTTATTAAAACACATCACTCTTGAGCTCCAGTCCAGCCATGTGCACTCCTTTAATGCTGATGTACTATCTTTGAAATCTTCCAAAGGTAATTATTAATCATGAGGCAGTCAGGAGAGGGCAGGCAGAGGATTCTCAAGTGCTGGTCTCTGTACATACTCCATTAATGCTTGTTGGTGTAGCTGGGAATTTGGTCATGAGCCTTCCCTGTCTTCTTGCAATGTATGGAAATGGAAAAGAGCATTGAGGGATCAGCAATTAGAGTTAGGCTGATGATAAGGAACTACTGAGGGAGACAGAATAACACATCCTGTAGTTGCTGCTGCTAATTCTTGCTTGTCATCCTGTAATGCTTAAAACATTTTCTATTTTATAACTGTAGGTGCAATTGGGGTCACTGGAATGTATAGAAGATTTTGTTTGGGGGGGTGTTCTCATGTCTTCCTCTTTACCCATTAGAAGATTTGATTTGCAGTTTGATTTGTCAGCAGCTTCTTGCCATAAATAATGCCCCTGATGTCTGTCTGTAGAATTTCCAATAGGTTCACATCAATCACAGAGATAACACTGTCACAGGATACATCCATGGAAAACCCAGCTGAGACCAGGAAGGTGATGTTCTCCCAGGTTTTATTTTTCACAGCTGAATCCTGATGGGATCTGAGGTTGCTCAGTGTTATCAAATCAGAGCTTTTTTAGTGAAGATTTGCCTATGGAGTGGGACTGAAGCTTGGAGGGCACATAACAGCAATGAGCTCTGGTGCTGTGCCTTGGGGTGGGACAGAAGTGAACCCAGATGCCTTCAGGGAAGGAGGAGTTTCCTGATGGGTGCAGCTCACACCACGTGGTGTCACACTTACAGATCCTGGCTTAGCAGCTTGGGTCTCTGGCTCTCCATCTGCTTTTACTTCAGGAAAAAGGGGACACAGTCCTGGGCACAGCAGCACAGCACCTTCTAAGGGAATGCTGCAGAGCTTCTGCTGCCCTGCAAACTGCAAGGCTTTGGGGAGAGGGTTTTAGTCCAGAAGGAGCTCCTGGGGCTCTGATTTAGTTGCAGTTTCTGCTTCTGTAGGTCCCTTGCAGGAAGTGCATTTTGCAGGGCTGACCAGCAAAATGCACCAGTCATCACCTGACTTTTTATCAGCTGAGGTTACCCTCATGTAATGGTTATTTCTACAAGGAGTGGATGAAGGAACCAGCAAAGTGTGTATTTATACAGAGGAGGTCATTTCCAGAGATCAGGACACAATCCTGTCATTATTGCTGCCACTAGAAAAAGATGAATAAATGTTATTTTCTGCCTGGCCAATGGAGCACAGGCATTCACATCTTGCCTCTGAAGGGGCTGTGTTTTTAAGCAGTGTAGGAAAGAAATCAAGGATTAAATTTAAAATTACATGAAATAAAGTTGGCATCTTTCGGTAAGAAAACAAAATTATTTTGACCTCCTCAGAAGGAAGCTCTTACTGATCCTAATACCTTAGAATTCTTCATTTAAAATTGCAAAACTTCCAGTAAATGAGACTTCCAGAAGTGACTGAAGAAATGAAGTCCTGACTTAGTGCAGTTATAAATGAGGGTGAGTTGCTGATGTCTGTTTATGAGCAATTGGTTCCCTGTTTTCTGCCTCAGGGTCAGAGGTGAGAGATGCTCTGGAGGGCTGCAGGTCCTGGGGTCTCAGGGCTGCAGGAGCTCTCAGCTGAGCCCTTGGGGAGCAGAGGATTTTCAGTGGTGGGGCTGTTGACTGAAAGTGCCACAGAGAGCTCTGTGCTGCAGCAGTGCCACTGCCCAGGAACAGGTTTTGTACCACCCCTTTTCTGCCCCCATTCCCTTCTCCCTGGCTCCTGCTGGAATATGGATCTGGAGACATTTTTTGGCACAGGGCACACACAGCACTGGTGCATGCAGAGGAAGTGGAAGCTCCAAACAATTCCTGATCCGTGGGGCTTCCCACAGAGAAAGCAGCTGAAAGAATTCAAATTACTCTCCTGTGTTAAAAAGATTCATCTTCAGATGGGGTTTATGGGAGTATCCAAGACCACTCCTTGCCACCACATGTCATAAAAACCTCTTGTAATGAGCCCTGAAGGTTTGAATCACAAAAAAAATATTTGCCTCCTCCAAAAATCTGGAAATTTAAAGTCAAAAGAATAGATAAATCAGAAGACAAAAACCAGACACTTCAGGAGAACTGACTCATTCTGCTGGATGCCCTTTTGCAGCTGTGGTCCAAAGGAGTCAGATGAAGGAAAAAAAGATGATTTCACAGCTGAGTAGCTGAAGTCCTGAAGCATAAGATGTGATTGTAAGCATTACATTAGCATGGAGCTGCATGTTTAAAACTGAACTCTCTCTGTCCCCAAATACAGCAAAGTGAAATAATTTAAGTGAGTTAAAACTGATATTAAAAAAATTAAATGTAGATACTAAATATTATTTGATTATTTTAGGTATGCCAGGCTGGCAGGACAGGTCCTATAATGTGTGGAGTATCCTTTCTGCAGTTGTAGAAAAAAAGTTATGTTTTATTCTGAAAGTCTCATTTAGGCAAAAACTCCAGATTAAATAGATTACACAGTCCTGGCATATCATTCATCTCCTCCTTGAAGACTTAATGCTCATCAGACTCAAAAAGATAAAAATGTAGGAATTAAAAAAATAATGAAGGGCAGAATGGAAGCTATTATTAAGCCATTACATGAGTCAGTCACACATTCACATTTCTATACTGTCTATACAGTTCTGATCCTTCCATCCTGCAGATAATAACAGAACTACCTTGGTGGTAGGAAGGGTGACAAAGGAGGTGGCAATGAAAAATTTACATTGAGAGGAGGAGAGACAGAGTCTAGGAGGGTTTTTTAGTTATTTTGATAGGGCAATTCATGTAATGTATGAATGATATGAAGGTAACAAGTAGGAAATGGTAATTCACAGGTTTTTAAAAACAAGGAATGGAGAAGGTGCCACCCAATTGTCAGGTTGCAGATGGAAGAAATGAAAGGAGTTTGTTTTTCACTCAGGCATAATTGTCAAACTGACTGGCACAGGTTAATGAGAGAGCCAAAAGTAGAAATAGATAAATGAATTCACAGTAGTAGATGGGTTCATCCATTTTTTTATACATGGGATAAATCTTTAATCTGCTCTTAGAGGGGCTATTTTGGGTTAAATAGACATTTCCCTTGCTCCACTGTCCTTACATGAGGCAATGCAGCAAATTCACAGCTATTCAGTGGAGGGGAAGGTGTGATTTAATTGTCAGTGCTAGGTAAAGATCTCTTTTGTTAATAGTAATGTTACACCTCTAAAAACATCAAGTGTTACTGATGCAGACAGGTTTAAACCATTCCATCTTTCCACAATAAAAAAGGAGGTGTGGCCTACTTGGCAAGTTTGTGTGGTTTTAATCTTTGGAGTAAAGATAGGATCATGTTTGATTTATGACCAGTGTAGTGGTGCCAATAAATTTTCTAGTGCTGGCTGCTGTTACACTTCTAGAGAGAAGTTTGCCATCTTCTGCTTCTTTTTAGGTTAGAAAAGCCTGTTGTGTTAAAAACTGTGTGGTAACAAGTGCTCTGTTCTCTTGCTTTAGAGCCTTGCAAAACAGAAGATACTGTTAAAGTACTTCTGTAGCTATGAAAATGCACCTACACCAGAGTTCCACTTACTATAAAGTGCAGGTTTTTAGCAACACACTCTCAATATCATAATAAAGCAAACATGACACAAGTCTGATTCAGGTTCAAAGTGTGGATGTAATGTGCATTGTATAAATGAAAGTAGGTTTAGACTGATAATGTTGCATTAAAATAAGGACTGTTCTATTTTATAAACTATGTTAATGTGGTTACTTCACCAGACTTTGTAGTGTGAGGAAGATTTCAGGTCCAAGTCCTGTTCCAAAAACTGAGTGAAGGCACCAAAGCACCCTTCCTCTGTGTGTAGGTGTGCCCATGCCCCTGCTCAGTGCATGCCAGCACTCCTCTGTCCTTTGTGGAGTGAGGGAGTTCGTGGGATGTGTTTGGACACGTCTGAGATCTTTAGAAATGCTTCACCAAACTGTTGAGTGTGATTTGATGGAATTACGGACACAGAAAAGCTCTGGGAACCAGACCTGCTGAGAGTTTGCATATGAAAAAGGGAAGAGGAAAATGGATCTGATATTGCTGAGAGTTGTGGAATCATGAAGGTTGGAAAACACCCCTGAGATGGAGTCCAGCCTTTGACCCAGCCCTGCCATGCTCACCACCAAACAATGGCCCCAGGTGCCACTTCTGCCCTTTTCTTGAGCACTTCCAGGGATGGCAGCTCTGAAATCCCAAACTGTACCTGCTTAGGGTGTGGGAGCTTAATTATGGCCTCTGTTCTTTCACTCAGTGCCACTCCCATAAAAGAAATGCTCAGTGTTTCATTTGCTGCTGGCACAGCTGGGCAGAGATGCTGGATGTCCCTTTGTCAGAAGGGCAGGACAGACAGCATGGTGGCTGGAGCACAAGTGCTGTCATCACTGTTTGCTGGTGACAAATCACTCATGTGCTAATCACAAATGATTGTTTGGTAGCACAGACAGGACATTTTCTCCTCAGTGAAACTCTCACCTGTGTGCAGGTTAAAGGCAGGTCCTGGCTGTGCTTTGTGCTGCTTTTTTTCACTGAATGTTCCCTTTCCACCCCTGCTTTGCTGCTGTTCAGAGCTCAGCACAGAAGCAGCATTTTCTTGCCAGGACTTGATTTTCAGTGCTCCACACAGGAAAGCAAATTTCAGACCAAAGAGCAGGGAGGGATCTGATTGCCTTGGCCTGGAATGGTCCTGCTTTTGTCCCCCTGTTACTGATGTGTGATTCCTGTCTGCATCTCCAGTCACTGGGATTATTTGCACTGAAGTCTCTTTTCTCTGTTTGACAGTGTTAAGTATCATTTAAGTGTGTTTATTTTAGGCTTCTACACAAGAGCTGTGGAAAAGAACCATCATCTAAATAAGAGTCACAGCCTGTAATTTTGCTTTTGACAAAAAAGTCCTGATGTTTATATGATGTAAATGCAAAGGAATGGTGCATAAATCTGGTTAAGTGTAGTTTAATATCTTGTGTGTTTTTTAAAAGATTCATGCATCTATTTGGCCAGTCTCCAAGGAGAGATCCAGGCTTAGGCTGTCAAACAAATGGATTTTTAACACATTTCTGTGTAGTTAAATCTAGTTTGGATGTAGCTGAAACTTCAAAACCCCGAAAAATAGCAGAAAAAATTAATTATGCTAACTTTGTATGCGTGTACCTTTCACTGTGCCATCTTTAATGGCATCAAATTAAGCTCAGGAAGGCTTGTTTCTAAACATTTCTCTGTTACACATTCAATTAGAAGAAATTCTCAGTTGTGGTGGTGTTTTGTACGTGAACTTTACTGGCATTTCACTACAGATTTTCTGTGTATTGGTCTTCTGAGGTTTCACCAGGTTCTGTACATTAGCTTTTGTAAGTATTTCTTATGTTTTCCATTTGCAGAGAATGTTTGTGTTGCAAGTCATTGTGCAAGATGAGAAGACTGCAAGAGAAAGGACTTAAGTTCTTTAGCAATTGACTTACTTTAAAAATATTACACATATTTCTGGTTTTCCTTACTGTTTTTCATTAATTGGTGCCAACTTGTAATAGTGATATTTTAAGCCTGAGTGATGTTAGAGAAGCCCATCTTTGCTGTAATGAGGATGGCTCCAGGAACGCTGTGGTTTGGATGATGCCCTGTTTGTTTTTGTTGTGATTTGTGCAGGTATTTGTGTAAACTGTCAGACCAGGAGCTGCGGCAGAGCGCGGCCAGGAACATGGCAGATTTAATGTGGAGCACAGTCAAGGAGCCCTTGGACACAGCCTTGTGCTTTGATAAAGAAAGTCTTGATCTTGCTTTCAAATACTTCATGTCACCAACTCTGACCATGAGATTGGCTGGCCTCAGCCAAATAACAGTAAGGACTTATTTTTAAAAATACCAATTATTGTTCTTTGTTACCAATTATTTTAAAAATACCAATTATTATTGTTTGCAAAAAATGTTTCTTGTTGCAATTTACGATTTACAGCCTTGTTTGAGGGGTTTTTTTTTTGATGTGTGAAAGCAGCAGGATCCTCTTACACGCAGCCTTAGGAAATATCAGCCATGGTGGTGAGGGTAGGGTTTGCTGGGAGCTGACTCCAAGTGGTGTCTGAGTTTGCACCATATGGAACTGGCTCACGTTACCTGAACAATTCACTAAACAGCACCCTTAGAACTGGGCTTTGTGACAGCTGGGTTGAAATGGAGCCCCCTGCCACAGCAGTATTGGTGTTGGGAAAGGCTTTTAATCTGTTTGCAGTTTTAGCTTTGCAGCATCCTGACCCTGCTGCAATTAGCTGCTGCTTTGTATTGCACAAATCTCATTTTCTGTTCCTTAGAGCAGTCTGCTGCTCCAGAGAGAGCAGCTCTGCACTCGTTAGCAGGAGGTGGAATTGAAGAGGTAAATACATACAGCATCAAATGGAAAACAATTCAAACTAAAAAAATCCCCATCTTTTCCCTTTGCCATGGAAATGCTCCACATAGCACCAGGCACATTTGATTTGTCATTGCTGCCTATAACCATAGAGAAACAGTCCCACAGGAGGGCAAACATGAAGTTTTTTATCCATCTGAGCCTTTTCAGTTTTTTGTTTTCTGAGCATATTTGGCCTCCTCTCTTCTGATGATGTGGTGTCACTGAGTACAAGTTTACTTAAACTTGATTTTGCTTCTCACTGTAGCTAGAGATAGAAGTACCTTCAATTTAATAAATGGCAATTTAAAGAGATCTGTAAGTACTTTTTATCAGATTATTGCTGGCTTTTACCCAAAGTAAATATTTACATACAGGTAACTTACTAGGTTGTACAAACAGGCTGTGAACTGCATCCACTACTATAATTAATCTAAAAATCTGTTTCCACTTTTGCAGAGTTCCAATTACATTCAATTCCTATAAATCCCTTCCTTTGGTTTTATACAATTCTCCTTGTTCAGCTACCACTGTGTGTTTTTTTGTGTATCCTTGCCAAAACAAAGTCTGAAAATAAGAACTCTTCAGCTGCTTTATTTTTTCAGGCATTTTCTAGCTCATTTAAGAGAGTGTGAAGTTGTGTTAAGTAGTTATATGTTTTCACCTGTTGTGATTGATGAATATTGCTGTAAAAATGAGAGTTTTAAAAGAACAGACATGTATTACCAGAAGAAAAATTTTACAGTGTTTTTAGACTAAAGCAAATAGTAAAAAATAGTAAAAATTGAATATTGTAAGCTAATTCATGCTAATAAGTTACCAAGTCTGTTTTTTTAATGTGAATATAGTCTTTAAAACTGCTCTGGAACACTGAGACAATTTTTTCTTCTTTCTCATTCAAATCATAGAAAGTTTTATTTTTGTTGTTACCTTGTTTCTCTTCCATTTCATCTCTCAGTCACCTGTTGAGGTGGATCAGCCCCAAAATACCCTCTCTGTCCCCTCTTGCCCCACAAATAGAATGTTCTTTTCCTGTTTTGGTGCCTGCCTCTGGAGATGAGCCCAGGGACAGTTTTAGTGCTCAGTTTTCTCTGCTGAAGCCTTTCCACCTTTGTGTCCTTTCTCACTGCCACGTTTGTGTCGTATCAATTGAGTGCCTTTAGTGCCTTTAGTTTCTTACCATGTTTCATGGATAGTGAAAAATGAAAAAGGATTTTTTCCCTCAAGGCATTCAAGGAAACAAAACTTGAAGTGCAAAACCTTTAGGAGGTGAGGGAGAGCAAGGTGTTGCAAACTGTCCCACGTGAGCTTTGTCTTGTGCTGAGTTCTGTTTAGTTTAAGTTTAGTTTAGCAGAATTCTGCTTAGTTTAAGAGAGTTTAGTTGAAGTTATTGGGAATAACTTGTTTGCAAATTACAGAGTCTTTGTCAGAATTGCTTTGGAGAAGGATTTGGTATTATGGGAGGTGTTAATCAGTGGTGAGCCTGGATTTAAAACTGGTGATAGGAACAGCTCAAGTCTATCAGTCTTTCAAAAGATTTTCATTTGGAGGTGAATCTTAAGGAAAATCAGTGAGCTTCCACTGTGTTGTGTGACCCAGCTCTAATTTCCACTCCTAAACATGTGTCATTTGAAATTCTCCATTAGTAACCAATCTATTAATAATTGTGTGGTCAGGCTCTCACATCTCCCCAGTTTCAGTGCATGTTTACTATTTTGGTTTTTCAAAACTGTTTTTCCCCCCTGAAGGTTGTTGAGATTGGACACAAATAACTCTTGAGAAGTCTTTACACACAGAGTTATTGAGAGGATTAGTGAATTCACCTGAATTATAGACTGCATGTACTGGACTTGTTTCAAGAGAGTAAATATTTTGACAGAGTTATGCAATGAGTTTAATTTTAACTGCAAAAATTCACATTACTGTGCCTTCAGTTTGTTTTTTTTTTTTAAATAAGATGCCAAGTAAGGTCTATTACATAATTTAAAATATTTTATAAAATGTTGTGCACATGTAAAGAATTGGATACAGAGCCATTGATGCTGAGGGAAGAAGTGGAAAAGACATGTAAAACTTTTAACAGACTTTATTTTTTTCCTCTGTAATGTCTTTAAGAGCTTGGACATGTGTGAAAGCTTCATTTCCTGTAAAAATACATGATTTTTGTTCTTTAATTTTGTCTAAACAACTTCCTTAAAAACATATAAAGTCCTATAATGTCACTAATACTATTTTGAAATATAAGAAAAGTGCCTCACCAAATATTTGGATGAAATTGTAATTTTTTTTCTTCCTTTTTCTAACTATAGAATCAACTTCATACCTTCAATGATGTGTGTAATAATGAGTCATTAGTTTCAGACACAGAAACGTAAGTAGGAGCCTTATTCTGAATACTTGAAGTGTTTTATGTGATTGCATTTCCTCTCTGTTGTTGTTATGGATTGTACACATGGGGGAGCAGTGATAATCTGAGACATTTATTAGAAATATTCTAATCAGGGGGTTAATAGATACTTTTAAATGGTAACTGTAAAATATTTCCAAATGTTTCTGGATTTTTTTTTCTGTGTTAAAATATAGAACCAAGGTAAGCTTTAGAAAAACACAGGTACTGAAATAATAAATACCTATAGTGGCCCATTATTTCCATGGTGATATATAAATAAGAACCAGCTAATTCATAGCCAGTTCATATAATTGTTGCCATCTTCTCATTTCTCTGGATTATTTGTTTAACCAAGACTTGTATTGCCATCACTGGCTCCCAAACTTGTTACTTTTCCACCCAGTTTGTGAGGCAATGCTGTTGTTGTTGTTTTTTTCCTTCGAAGTCCTTACTTGTATAACTCAGGTGTGTTGAACAATTTTAGAGGGACTCACATAAATCTTCAAGAAGATTCACCTGTGGGGTTGTGTTCCAGCCAGGAAATGTATTCACTTCTGTAGTAACTCTAAACTAAATGGTAGAACTGTCAAGAATTTAAATTAAAAATATGTATTTTGGTAGTTAAAATGGCTGTTCTTGTGAAGTAACAGGCAGAATGAGTAAATTGTAGAATTTTACTCACAATATACTTGCTAAGTGTCTCTTGTGGGGTGATGATGTACTCTGTTGATGTTGGGAGTCACACACACTTTCCAGTACTTCATTAATGGGAAGTCTCTCACAGCAGCAGTGTCTTGCTTTTGTCTGGATGCCTTTATTACAAATTGCATTGGAACACTTTCTGAAATCTGGTTTCAGTCATGACCACAATTCTGGAGATTTCATGCAAAAAGCACCTTAGATATTTGAAGAGAAATTTCTGGGAATGTGTTGCTATTTTAAACATAAAGAAACCAGAATTTAGGGCACTTTTGCTTCTGTGGAGATGTGGAAATACCTTGGGAATAAGAAATAAATAGTAAATAGTAAATAAATAGTCAATAGGGGAACATGTTGGGAATGTGAGGTCAGCTGGGTTGTTTCCTACACTGTCCTCCCAGTTCCTGCTGTGTTGTTACACTGGGACTGACAAACCCCAGATTTACCCAGTTCTTCTCCTTCCCTCCCTCTGAAAATCTGAAACAGAAGTTGTTTTTAGGTCGTAGTAACAGTAACAAGTGATTGTGCCAGTTAAACCTAATACAAAGCTGTTTGATTTTCTGTGTCAAATGTAAAAAAGAGAAGTTAGGAAGGTGGAAAAAGAGAAGAGTGGTTAAATTTCCCTGCAGAAGAGCAGATGTACTCTGCAAGAGCATCAGAGTTATTTTAAAGCTGAAGGAAATTGTCAAATTCTCCTTTGGGATATTACTTTCTTGGCAAGGGCATCTGTAAACAGGCTGTCATTTGAAAGGAATGCAGCACGAACAGCAAACCTTCTTTTCCACTTTTGTAGGATGTGGTTTTTAAAAAAATCAGCATTCCAGTTGTTCTGCTGTTTTACCTGAAAGGTTGGTTGCAATCCAGTATCAAGCATTGCTGCTCATCTTCAGATATCTTGTGGGATCACTGATGTCTTCCAGCCAAATAATCAGGAAGGGCTGGAGCAGAAGGATGGGGAAATGTCTCACTTCTCCAGTTTGTCCAGTACAAAGCTTCCCTCTCATTACAGACTCTGCTCATGAGAAATTTTTGGATGAAAAGGCATTTAGGGAGTTGGCAGTGACTGAATGAGCAGCAAAAGGAAAGCTTTTCATTCCTGTGTTCTTTCCTTAGTGGAGAAAGGAAGTCTTAAGAAGTTTTATTTTGTACCTTTGTAGCCTCTGCAGATTTGCCAAAAGAAGATGTCCTGCATTATGTCTGGTCATCCCCATTTTATGTTTTGACTTTTCCAGATGCATTTGGAACTGTCAACCTTTGGGATTTCTCCTTCTGTATCTTGATAAGGTGGGTTTGCGGGAGGTACCTTTAAAAAAATCAGCTTTCAGTTAGTCCTGGCTCTTCCCTGTTCAGAATTAATAGCAGGATTTTTTAGCAAACATTTTGCAATGATAGCTTCCCACCTTTATCCTCAGCACTGCAGTTTTTCCTGGTAAGAGAAGCTAAAGCATCTTCTGTCTCAGAGAGCACTGGATTTCACAGGTTGCACTGGGGAGCAGCAGAAAGCTGCCAGAGGGATGTGGTTTGGAGCTGCAGGTGTTTGTTGGGGTGATTTTTGAGATCTCCTTTCCCTGCCTTCTCAAGGGCTGAGATTTGTGCTGGCAGAGCCCTGCGTGCTCCAGGTGTGGGCAGTGCCTCAGCCACCCAACTTCATCATTCCCCAGAGATGGAATTCTCATTTAGCTGCTCTGCCTCTAAAGATAGAGCCAAATTCTTTGCAATCTGAGGTACTGAGGAGTGTGAAATCTACTGAAGCTAAAAATAACAAGACTGAACAGAAGAGGCTCAGAGTCTTTGAATAAGTGATTCCTGCAACTGTTTCACTGATGTCACTTAGTGAGAAATGATGCTGCTTTTCAGGAAGTGAAAGATATTCTTTATTTTTGGTGATACTTGAACCACAAGAGGAAAAAGTGTTGGTCTTTTCTTTAGTGAGGACGCTGTCAGCTTCTGGAAATAACACGTGTAAAGGCAGATTTTGTTTTGCTCTTCCCTTGGCAGGCAGCCAAGTGTTGTTCAGGTTTCAGGTTCCAGGTTGACACTGAGGCAACTTCCTGACTGTTTAAAAACCTTGATTACCCTCACTTGAAAAGCTTCCTGCTGAGCAATTTCAGGTGGCCAAAATTCCTTTCACCTGTGAACAGAAAGAGCTGGAATATTTCTTCTCCTTTCTTTCCTTATTTTTGAGATACTCAATTGCAAGTTCTGTGTTGCTTTTTCCCTTCACTGTTTTACCTTACTTTAACTCTTGCTTTCTCCATTTTTGCCTAAGCTTACTGATTTGAGTTTTTGGCAGCATTATTTAAAGCTCTACTCTCTCTACCCCATTTCAGGGATCTTTTCAGATTTTCTCTGAAAAAAAAAAAGGTGAATTTTTTCACTCAGCTCACTAATGTTTCTTTCTTGTGGCCTACACAGCAGTTAAACAGATATTCCAGATGATGTCAGAGTGGTGGTTTCAGAGCCTGCAGAGCATCAGAGAGGAAAATTTGTGCTCAGAAACAAAAACATGTGCTTGAATGTGTGTTGGGAAGGTGCCTTCTGTATCCTCTTTGCATTTCTGATCCTAAATAGTTGAGATCAGGGTTTCACATCTGTTGTTGTGTTATAGATCCTATTTCAGTGATGTTGTCAAGAGGTGTTAGTGTTCCTCCCTTGCAAGCTGCCACTTCCAGAGCTGCATTTTTTCCTTGGAGCTTTTCTATTCTGTGTGCAGTGACGTTGTGGATGGCTGCTGTTGTGTTCCATCCAGCTCTGAGCTGCTGTGTTTTTGTAGCTTCGTGGGGAATGGACTGCTTGAATAAATAAAGTTTTCTTTGAGGGGGGTAACTTTGCTGTGGGATTTATTGCTGGATTTGGGTCATCATGTGGGTACCAAGTATTGCAGCACAGCCTTGGATTAAAATGCTTCCAGGACTTTAACCCAGTCCTTTCACAGAGGGTGTTCTTTGACCTGCCAGGAAAATGCATCAGCTGGAGGATAAGAATGAGCAAAACTCAGTGCAGTTCCAACATCAAGTTCTATCACCAGCTGCACAGGCCCCTCTCTTCTTGCAGTCTCATAGAATGCCTGGGGAAACTCATGTCAGAAGGGCTTGAATTACATTTCTTGGAAGTAAACCAGTTATTTTTGACAGACATGAATAATCAGGGAACTCACATGAAAAATTCTACAGAGAAATGGATTAAGTGTTATGTACATTTCCAGTGTGAGAGAGATTTAGAGACAATTAAACCAGAGGAGCTGCTACCTTTGCCTTTTTATTCTCTTCTCCTCCCTCAGCCACAACACAGAGCCGTAGAGAGTATCAAGTTCTTTAAATAACTTTTCCTATTGCTATCCAGTTATTAAATCCATTATAAACAGCTGCTATGTGTTACTGCCAAGGTGAATTTTCTTACTCCTAAAGTCTGTCTGATTTGGATATCTAATTTGTAAAACCAGTCCTTGTGCTGCTCCTTTGATGTGAGAGGGAAAAGCACATTAATGCTTTGATCATAATGCATGATTTTCACTCTCACCATTTCCTTTAATACAAAAGAGTGACTTTTCCAGGAAAACCTTTGCTGAAATGGAAGTGTTTAGGAAAGAAGACAGACACCCTTCATTTACACTGAAATTTGCTTTTTTTGGTGAATCCTTGACTCTGATATTGTAAATATATTCTTTAGTAAATCAGAGAACTAAACACTTTGTGGGAGTAATAACTTGATCATTTTAAGAGGTACTGATTGCTGTGCCCTCAGCCAAATTTTCTGGGAGGAGCAGTTCTCTCTGCTGGGAAGCACAAGGGCTTCATTCTGCCTTGCACAAGGATCCTCTTGTTTTTGGTCACCCTCAACAAATCCATATCAAATGCACATTTACCTTCAGAAATTTGAGATGTTGTTTTAGCAGAGTTGAGCTCACCAGAAGGATAAAGAGTTTGTTGCTGCTGAGAATACATCCATTAAAAAAGGCATTCCTTCAAAAGAATTATCTGTGGTTTTTCAGAGTAAACATGGTGTGAATTAGAGACAGAGAACTACCATGGTAATTGAATAAAATGTGAAGGAACTCATTCTAGAGGAGAGCTTTTGTTCTTTCCTTTGGAGTGGTTAAAATGCAACATATGAATGGATACAAAGCCTGGTGGCTGTTGTGCCATGAGCAGAGGGGTTGGGATAAAGAGACCTCATGAGGAATGTGTCCTTTCACACTGGCATTGCCCAGCAGTGGTTATTTATCTGGGATTCCTTCTCAGAGCTGCAGGCTGAAAAACTCAGATGCAAGAAGGAAGGAAAGGTCTTCCTTCAGCCTCGGTTAGCCAGAAATCCAAACCCTGGCTGAGTCACAAATGTGCAAGTGCCAAAGTTGGGTTTGGGTGCTGGGGAGAGTTGGGGTGGGGTTTGGTTTTGAAATGAGGCTCTGTGGGAAGCTCAGGACATCCTGGATTCATGGAACAGATGCAGTTTATCTTTTCAATCCCTCTTTGAGCAGATCCTCTGTCAAACTGACTTTACAGTGTGAAACTCATTTATTGATAAGCCAGAAATGATAACTGCTGGCAAACTTTTGTACCCTGCAGTCCAGTCATTCCTTAAATGTCATGGGGCATTATCTTTGAACAGTGTGGGAATATTTGATTCCCAGTGTCCTGGAACTAGAAGAGAACAGTCCAGAAATGATGTGGAGTACCAGGAGCTTTGCTCCTTGAGCTCAGCCATGAGGATCAGGCAATCCAAAACAACTGAAGCCCTGGCAGTGTGCCCCTGAGTAGTGATTCCTGTTTGGAAAAGCCACAGAGGAAATCTCTTTTTACCTAGAGAATCTTGGTTCCTTCTTGAGGGCGATAAAGATTGGCAGTCCTGGATTTTAATAGTGAACATAAATGTGACATGAGCAGAAGTGGTAAAAACAACTCTTCCTCAAATCCTCCAAGGCACCCCCTCCCTGAATCCTCTGCTCCCTGTGGGACACAGCTCTGTTATTCCAGGGCCATTTAAACCCAAAGCTGGGCTTTGAATGCTCTGAGGTCCCCTGATTGCTTCTGGTGCCAAAATCAGGGTAAACAAACATTTGCTTGAAGAGAAGGAATAAAAAGGAGCTCAGGCACTGCTTTGCAGACAGGGCAGTGCTTTCTGGAAGTTCAGCTTTTGTTTTGGTAAACACAATTTCCTTGTCCTGGTCAGTTTGAGTATTTGCTTGAGGAATGGCAGTGGGTAAAGTTCCTGTTGGTGTGGATGAGCAGAATGAGAATTTGGAAGTATCTGTGTGCTGCATGTGTGTGAGTATGACCATGGCAAACATAGTTTGGGAGAGTTGCTATTTCTGTTAGAGAATCTAAAAATACCTCCATGGCTTCCTTAAGAAAATAATTTCTGTCACTCCCACCTTTAGCTACGTTTCAATACTTGTGGAATTTCATGATAAACTTGGATTAAATAGCAGTGTCAAAATCTTACCTGTGAGGTCTTTGGCACATTAACTAATAAAATTAATAGAATTATTGGTTATGTTTGCTGACGATCCAGTGGGGAAATGTTGATATTTGGCATTAGTCTTCCAGCTAAAGAAAAAAAAAAAAAGAAATCATTTGCTTCCTGCTTGGAAAAATGAACATTGACCATGGTTTGTGTTCAGAAGGTTTTTGTGCCCTCACTACAGCTGCAGATTCCAACTTGCAGGATGTGCTGTGCTAGAGGAGAGCACAGAGTGAATATTACAGGCAGATCATTTTATGTTTCCACTCTTTTTTCATCTCCAGGTCAATTGCAAAAGAACTTGCAGACTGGCTTATCAGCAACAATGTAGTTGAGCACATTTTTGGACCAAATTTACATATTGAGGTTTGTATTTGATTATCATAAATTTAGTATAAACATGGAGCATGAACTTGTTGTTCTAGTAAATCTTTCCTCACTATGTTCTCACTTTGCAGATCATCAAACAGTGCCAAGTGATTCTGAATTTTCTTGCAGCTGAAGGGAGACTTAGTACTCAACATATAGACTGTATTTGGGCTGCTGCACAGGTATATATTGAATTTTTGTAATTGCAGGAGTGATAAAAGAAAAACAAAATAGAAAATAAGGGGATTTTGTTTCACATTCTTAAAGTTGAGTTTATTGCTTTTTCTTGTCTGTCTGAGCATTTTGCTGACCAAAATGTCAAGTTAGGTAACTGCCACAGTTACTGGGTTATTTATTAGATGCAAGAAATCACCCTGGCTACTTTTATACAAGGAAAAAGATGAAGTTGTATAGCAAGGACAGAGTGTTTTCACTGGGAATGGGGATGAAGGTTTGAGGGTAGTTGCAGTATTTTTACTATTGTGCTAAATTGCCTTGCTCCTGTGTATTGTAGCTTCCATTTCTGGTACTCCTGGTGGGAACAATCAGGTGAAAATTGTGGCAGTGAAGTTTACAGCTCTGCTCCTCTGCTGCTGTTAAAATCTATAGAAGGCACTGAAATTTTATTTTTTGCTTGCTAAAGCTGGAAACTCTGATAGGTTTTTTGCCTTCAGAAAGATTTATTTGTGTGCTACTTTTAATGGGTCATTCTGCTTGTTATTTTAGGTTGTGACATTTTTATTTAGGGCATTTGAATACAATAGACATGAGCAGGCCTAGGGAACACACTGTTATAGCAGGTTAGAATTTAAAGAGGGTTTTTTATGTGTTCAACATTTCTTTGTCATTTATTTCAATCAAATAGTACTGAACACACTCTGAACCAGTGTGGTCCATTGTCATTAAAACATGCAGCTGGAATGTTAATTAAATGCTCATTGGAACAGCTTTTGCTCCACCATTTTTCTGTGTCAGAGTAATTAATAATTATTTATTTTACACCACATTTTAAAACAGTGTTTTCACTTCCTTGATGTTTTCACACAGCATGTCACACACTGTTAGACCTCTGGATTTTTTCAGTATATTTTATACTGCTTTAGGAATAATATAATTACCTATTTTTGATAATGCTTTTACAGTTTAAGTGTTCATTTTGACATAGTGATATTTTCACAATATCTTTGGTATCAGAGTTAAGCATGTCCTGATCACTTCCTGTAAAAGGATCACTTCCTTAAACCTCTAACGTTGTTTAAAAGGCTGACACCTTTAGGCTGAAAGAACAGAAGGCCTTAAGGTTTATTTTCCACTTTTTAAATGAACTTTCAGATTCATCTTCCTTAAGTTGAAGTTATCTCAAGATGTTTAAATGCATCTTTGTGTAGAACCCACATGATTTCCTTGCACTGTGAATCCTGTGAAAGTTGGCCTGTACACAGTGAATTGCTGACACAGATATTTTAATGCCAGGAAGGCAAAATAAAACAAATCATGAAAAAACCCCTTTGAGGTGCAAGTGTGGTAACCAACGTAAGAATTTTTTTCCTAGAAATTTCCTGTAAGCATTATTTTATTTTTTGAATAACAACATCCTTATAATGTAAAGAAACTCTTTTAAGTGGCTGTGAAAAGCAGCATTTAACCCAAGAGGAGTCATCCAGGAGCACTGTCCCTTTCATGTGGAAATGGAGTAGTTAACTGAACACACTGTCATATTTTTTGACATCCATCACTGGAAAGACAAAAGATTTCTTTATAATCCTCACAGAGTCTGTTCCTGAGTAATCTTGATTTGTATTTACCTCTGCTAATAAGGTAATCATTTACCTCAGATTTAGCATATAAACTTAATATTTTAGAAGTTGTATTTAAGTTCAAATACAAAACAAAGTTCCAGTTCTTGTTTTCACCCAATCTCTCAGAACTAGAGCTAAGGAAGGAAGTGTTACATTTGATTTGTACCTTTGCTGGCTTTACAGTGTCCAAATTACTTTAGTCAAAATTGCAAATCCGCTGGAGTTTGGAATTATTTGACAGCTTCTCCTGAGGATTTGTACAAATGTATTTGTTTGCTGCAGTATTTGATTTATTTGTTGATTTTGCTGTTCCCTCCTCTGTTTGTTCCTTGTAGCTGAAGCACTGCAGTCGGTACATTCACGACTTGTTTCCTTCTTTGATCAAAAACTTGGACCCTGTTCCACTTAGACACCTCCTGAACCTTGTCTCAACTCTTCACCCCAGTGCTCACACTGAACAGGTAAAGACAAGGCCAGCAGCCTTTCTGGCATGAGAAAAGCCATTAAAGGAGAGTGTTAAACAACCATGATGGGCTTGTCTTCCTAAAGGGATATTCACTAATGCAGAAGGGGGGAACTCTAGGAGTAAAGCTGTCATGTTTCTTCAATTGCATCTTTCCTGTCTTTTAAAGCATAATTTTTAGAGATTATGTAACCACTGATGGAAGATTTTAACTTCCTGTCTGAAATGTGTTTCACCTATTATTTAGTTGAGTTGTTTATTTTGGTGAGTTTATTTTGGTGAGCTGTAGTATTGACCTAGAGAAAAATGAACAGTGGCTCTTTCTGTCCAAAATCTGCTGCTTAATGGGACTTTTCCCTGGTTTCCTTTGCAGACCTTGTATTTGGCATCCATGCTGATCAAAGCCCTGTGGAATAATGCCCTGGCAGCTAAGGCCCAGCTGTCAAAACAAAGCTCCTTTGCATCTTTACTGAGTACCAACCTGCCCATGGGAAACAAAAAAGGTGTGTGGTTTTCCAGTAGATCTGGAGGTTAAATTTGGATTTTACATAGTCTCCATGTTGAGTTTGGACAAAAAGCAGGTATAGAACTTCCTCCTTTAAGTATTTTTTAAAAGTGTCATGCTGGTGTATTTTTCCAGCAGAACTTGAGGCTGTAGATGAAAGCATGAAAAATCTGTGAGTGCTTTTGGGAAGCTTTGTGTTTCAGATCCATTCTGTTTGTATAGCTAGAGTAGTCTGTATTTTTCTTTTTTCTTTTAAATTCAGAAAATGATCCATAACTTTTCTTGTTCTGCTGCACATCTGTGACTTAAAAGCTGCACAAAAAGCTTACTTACCTTTTACCTAGTTTCTGGTATTACATGCTGTTTCTGATTTGGTGATTTTGTTTTTTACTGGACTGTGTATTTCCCCACAGTCATTACTAAAGGTGCTGCCAAGCCATTTTCCTGTAGTTTCCCTTTCTCTTCATACTGCTGGCTTTTATGAATCATTGACAACTATATGCTGACAAAATGATTTTTAGTCACTTATTTTTCCATCCTGTTTTTTTCCTTCAGAAGAAGAGGAGCTCAGAAGAGCAGCCCCTTCCCCTTGTAAGTATAATTTTAGTTGTACACCACAATCTGGCTCTTTTGATTCTACTGTGCTTTTGAATTTGGAGCAGAATTAAATTTGAAATTTGGTTTTTATGAGAAATCAAATGAAATGGTATTTTGAGTAGAAATTTGTATAACTGTGGCAAGAAGAGACATCAAAGTACAAACTTTGTAAAATGCTCAGTGTTCTAAGTGAAATTTTTAGTGTTTAGGTACACATAGTTTAAGTTCTATCCCTGTTTGCTGGAAGAATGCTCAATATTTGAGGCAGATTTATGCAGTGCTGTTACATTCCAGTAATTACCTGTCAGTGAATAACTGGGAAATGTGGTTTTGAATTAGGGTCACCAGCAGCAAGCCCTCAAAGTAGTGACAACAGTGACACCCATCAGAGTGGAGGCAGTGACATTGAAATGGAGGAACAGCTGATCAACAGAACAAAACACGTCCAGCAGCGACTTTCGGACACAGAGGTGAGGGTGTGGCTCTGACTCTGGGAATTTTGTCACTGAGCTGCCTGTTACCAGCCATAAAAATGATGTTTTAGCTGTACTTGTTTCCAAACCACCTCAGACAAATGTATTCCTGCATTTAAATAGTGTTCCAGTTAGGTTCATCTCTTAGTAATGGACAGCAAGGCATTGTCACACTGGGGGTCTGTGCATGTGCAAAGTCTGCACATACACCCTGTTAGCAACAAGGTAATGCAGAAAATCAATTATTAAATCTGAATCTTGCTTGGAGCATTTTGTCATCAGCAACCAAATTGAGAAAGAATGAATGGGAACTTGTAGATATGACACATTTCCTCCTGAAGGAAGAATGATGTTTGAATGATGATGATGATATTAATTATGTATTTCCAGTGCTGCTTTATTTTCTCCACCACTCTTAAAAAAACCACACAATAATTTCAGGAATCCATGCAAGGAAGCTCCGACGAGACAGCCAACAGCGGCGAGGATGGCAGCAGCGGGCCTGGGAGCAGCAGCGGCCACAGCGATGGATCCAGCAACGAGGCCAACTCCAGCCACGCCAGCCAGTCCGCCGGCAGCCCCGGCAGCGAGGCGCAGTCGGAGGACATCGCCGACATCGAGGCGCTCAAAGAGGAGGAGGACGAAGAGGAAGAAGACAGGAGTCACAACCCCCAGAAAAGCAGCAGGAGCGCAGATCTCCGAGGCAGAAAACTGGAATCCCAGGCGGGCATTTGCCTGGCAGACGCCCAGGGCGCTGCAGAGAGGAGCGGCACCAGTAACGGGCAGGGCAAGGAGCACGTGTTCAGCGCCGATGCCGTGGCGCCCGTGGACAACCGCATCCGCATGCTGGACGCCTGCCCCCACGGCGAGGACGCTGAGCACGACATGGCGGGGGACATGAGCGCTGCTCACATCTCACAGGGCTCTCAGGACTCCTGTATCACTCACACAGGGGACTTCCTTGGGGAAACCATTGGGAATGAGCTGTTTAACTGTCGGCAGTTCATTGGGCCCCAGCACCACCACCACCATCACCACCACCACCACCACCACGATGGGTACGTAGCTTGGCATTTCACAGAATCACACAGTGACTGGTTTGGGAGAGAGAGACCTTAAAGATTGAGCCCAGCCCACGCCCTAACACCTCAACTAAGCCATGGCACCCAGTGCCACATCCAGGCATGGTTAAACACAGCCAGGGATGGTGACCCCACCATCTCCCTGGGCAGCCATTCCAGAACTTTATCGACCTTTCTGTAAAAAACTTCTTCCTAATGTCCAGCCTGTATTTCCCTTGATGCAGTTTCCTCTGACTCCTTCCATAACAGAAATAAAAGTTAGCAAAATCCTTTGTCTGGGCAGATAGGTAGCAAAATCCTCCATCTGGGCAGAAATTGATGTGTGGACATTGTGTTGTAGCTCAGGATAATTTTGTCTCGCAGAGATGATCATTATCACAGACAGTTACACAGACACCTGATTTGGTAACATCTGATTAAAGGTTTCTCTTAAGTTTTGGTATTGAATAAATAAGACAGCATTTAAGAAAATGTTCAAAATGTTTTGCAAAGTGCTGCATTTAGTTAATATTAAGAGGCTAACTCAGTCATCATGCTAGTGAGACCTTCACTTTAGTTATCTGTAGTAGTTTTTCCAATTCATACAAGGGCTGCTGTTCAAACAGATGATTCATCCTGACTTTAGCTTTAGGGAGATGTCTGCTCACTTGTAGTCTGCTATAAACAATTTCCTCTTTGATATTGTCCATTCTGATATTCTTCTTTTACAGGCATATGGTTGATGATATGCTTAGTGCAGATGATGTCAGCTGCAGTAGTTCTCAAGTCAGTGCAAAATCAGAGAAAAATATGGCAGATTTTGATGGGGAGGAGTCTGGCTGTGAAGAAGAGCTTGTACAGATTAATTCCCATGCTGAGCTAACATCTCATCTTCAGCAGCACCTCCCAAACCTGGCCTCTATCTATCATGAACATCTGAGTCAAGGTAACACTGATCAAAGAAAAACTGAAAAACTTGGTTTGTCAGTTTTGAATTAGTCTCCAGTAATTAAAATAATGAAGGTATTTTAACCATTTATTTGTATTCATCCAAAGAAGCCATGATGACTGCTGAGAACTTGATGTTTCTCCAAGAGATTCATTTTTGTTTCTCTCTTCATTTGTCAACACAGAAATATTCATTTGTGTTTAGCTGTATTTATATTTTTAAATCCCCCACCTTTCCATTTCATCTGGAGCTTTGAATGCAAGTTAAAACAAATAAAGGCACAAGAGAACCTAGGAAGTGTTCTTCTAATAGGTTATTTAAGTGTAAAGAAAGGTAGTACTGAAATGCATGACTCTTTTTGAAAGATCTTCCACTCTGAAACTTTCTGCAGTTTTTGTGCTGGTGGGTGCACATTACTGTGATTTTGTACACTTGACATCATAAATTAACCTATAAATGAATGAACCATAATGGGCTCTAGAGAAGATAATTCTGGAAAAATGACTTAAAGTATGACCTGATACTTTTGGGACCTTGCTGTAAAGGGCATTTTATGCTATTTCATCTTGCACTGCCAAATCTTCTGCTTTACTTCAGGGTGCAATTTAAAATGCTCCTCAAACACTTCTCAAGAATTATATAATCTTTCCATATGCTATTTTGGCAGCTTTATTTTCTCTTTTACCCTGTTTTTAAACATAATGGAGAGCAGGGTTGCTGAAGGGTTCCTGTTTTTCTTCACTGGCTGCAAGAACCAAGTTTGCTCTCATCCAGCAGACAGCAAACCCAGTGCTGTTTATAAATTTCCCTGAAGTAATTGAATGAAAAGTTTTTATGATAAATTTAAGCCTGACATTGACAATTTGGATTTTTTTTCCCTAGAGTTGAATAAACTATTAAAAACTTTATAAATCTATAAATCAGCATATTTTTTTCAATATTTTCCACAGATACTATTTGTCTAACTGAAGATTGAAATTACTGGTTGAGCATGAGGCCTTCAGTGCATTTTATTTTTGACACCCCTAGTTTTGCATGTGCAAATAATTGCAGTGTTCTGTGTGCAGTCTGAATTTTCTACTTGACTTTGCTGTTCCATGGAAATGGTATTAAATAGCAAATCAATGAATGGTGCCAGCTGTGGGCACAGAGAAGAAAGAAAATGTCTATCAGTGTTTATGAAAAACATGATGAGTTTCTAAAACCCTGCACTTTGATGTTGTAGCACGTGGAAAAATGCTGTTTGTTTTCCCTGGTTTTTAGCTGGATGAAGGGAATCCTGTAGTAGGAGGGGAATTTATTGAAATGTGCTCCTTCCCTGCATTCCAGCCCTGGTGGTTATGGAGATAACTCCCTTTGGACCACAGCAACACAGAAAGGCTTAAGAAATATATTAATTACAGTATGAATTAAATTAAAAAGCAATTGCATCTGCAGTTCTTCAGTGCTGTTTGTAATTGCACTTTGCCATTTGCCAAAAGCAGTGTAAATATTGGCCCAACTGCCCTGTTGGCTTCTGGTATGGTCTTTTAAGAACCCATATGTGAAAAAAGGCTGCAGTTACGGGGTTGCTGCACTTTGAAATAGTCCAAGTTAACAAATCAAATGTGTTGTTGTTTGTGCACTTAGGGAATAATGTTCAATTCAGATGGTTCCTTCTGTTTGTTCACTAATGCTCTTTATATTTTCTGCAGGCCCAGCAGTTCACAAACATCAGTACAACAGCAATGCAGTGACAGACATTAATTTGGATAATGTTTGTAAGAAGGGAAATACCTTGCTCTGGGATCTGGTCCAGGATGAAGATGCAGTGAGTCAAATACTAGAAAACACTTTTTAAAGAAAGAAAATAAATACAAAATATTCATTGACCTTTCTTTCTGCTTGCTGTAGATTCATCTCTCTGAAGGGTTAATAAATGAGGCAGAGAAGCTGCTCTGTTCTTTAGTGTGCTGGTTCACTGACAGACAGATTCGAATGAGATTTATTGAAGGCTGCTTAGAAAATTTAGCAAACAACAGGTAACTTCAACCACAAATTATCTGTTTTCTAAGTATCTTATTTTTGCAACATACCAGAAATCCAAGTTGGCTGTAATGGTTATTTTATTTTACAGGAAGACAACTTAAACTAAGCAAAAGCAGAAGAATAAAAAGTTTCCAAAGTGTTGTAGATGTTTTTGATGCTCCTTTTCTTTTTGTTTTGGTGTCCTGAATTTCTCATTTTGTTGCATTTGTCTGTTCTGCCTTGTGCCAGAGGTTATTGCTTTCCTGCCTTTGGTAAAATCAGGTCTGCACCTCAGTCAGTCAGGGGCCTTGGCCTGAGCATGTTATACTGAATATTCAGGTTTTACACACAGGTGGCTGAAGAACAGACAAGTCTGTTAGGGGGTTTAGTTTCTGTGAGGAAGGAGCACCTTGACCTCAAAGAACTTGTTTTAATGCCAGCCAAAGCTGTGAGATTGTACTGGTGAAAGTGGAATTTGTTCTCCTGGTACACATGACTGCTAGACATCACCTGCTGTGTTATGGTGTTACCTTTTTGCTGAGAACTTGTGAGAGGAGTTACAAGCATGCTGAGAGATTATTCTCAGCTCTGTGTCCAAGGAGTTGCATGTAAAGAAATAGAAGTAAGTGTAGTTCAGGTTCAGCAAACTTCTTGGTTGACTTGATGGGAGATTTCACAAGCACAAGAAGGACATGAGCCTGTTGGAGCACCTCCAGAGAAGCTGATGAGAGGGATGGAGCCCCTCTCCTGTGAGAGAATTGGGATTGTTCAGCCTGGAAAAGAGAAGGCTTCACTCCCTAATTGTGGCCTTCAGTTCCTGAGGGGACCTGGGAGAGACTTTTTACAGCAGCCTGGAGTGGCAGGACGAGGGGCAATGGCTTCAAAATGAAAGAAAGTAGGTTTAGATTATATAGGAGGAAAAAAATGGTTGATTGTGAGGGTGTTGAGGCCCTGGCAGAAGTTGCCCAGAGAAGCTGTGGCTACCACATCCCTGGAAGTGTCCAAGGCCAGGTTGGATAGGGCTTGGAGCACCCTGGGATGGTGGAAGGTGTCCCTGCCCCCATGGAATGAGGTGACTTTTAAAGTCCCTTCCAACCCAGATCACTCTGTGATTTATGATTTACAGCACTTTCCTTTAGTTGGTTTGCTCACAGAAGTGGAGCTTCTCAAAGGAATTTTTCAGTGAATTATTTCAGTTTTGTGACAGTCACATCTTGCCATCGTTTTTCTCCCTTAGATCTGTAGTGGTTTCACTTCGTCTTCTTCCCAAGCTGTTTGGAACATTCCAGCAATTTGGGAGCAGCTATGATACCCATTGGATCACAATGTAAGTAGGCCCCTGTCCCAACAATCTAGGGGGCTCTTTGGTGTATAAAACCCTGTGAAAGGTGAAGATAATACAGAGTTCAGCATTCCTGAGCAGAACTCATGCCTGGTGTAGCTGTAGAGAACAGACTGACAGAACTGCTGGTAAGGGGACAGTGATAATCAGCAATTTTCCTTGGCCTTTTTGATGTGACATTTAAACATAGGCCCAGTTCTGTGCTAGACCTTTTCTGAATTAGGGCCTTTAGGAACAGTTTTCATGGGCTCCACAGGGAGTGTTCTGTCAGTCCTACAGCTGAAAATAGCATTAGGAAACCTTAAGGATTGCAAGGAAGAAGAGAGTACAGTACTGGGAAATGCTCCTGAGATGGAAAAATGAATGTTATGTGTGTACCATTTTCCTGTATCAGCTGTCTGCTTCTTGGGGCTTTTCTGATCTTTTTCCTTTGAATTGCCACAGGTGGGCAGAAAAAGAACTGAACATGATGAAACTTTTCTTTGATAATTTGGTACACTACATCCAGGCAGTCAGGGAGGGACGGCACAAACATGCACTGTAAGTACCCAGCTGACTTGGAGTGCTTGGTGTTTTATGGGTTTTGCCAGTGTTGCTGCTCATGTGTTCTTGTAAGTAAAGACTTTCTCTAGGGAGATTTCCTGACTTCTACAAAACTCTGTAAAAACATTTTAAATAGCTCCTTTTCCTTAAAAAACCAACTCTCGTGTCATTTTTTGTTAGAAGTCATGTTGAATATTTGTGTGCAAATAAAACATGAAGGTTTTGATCTCTAAGTTAATTTAAAGTGATTTTGTATACTAGAACTATTCAAATGTTTTAGTTTTAAAATTTGCCATTAGCCATTGCATGATTTTTTTGTTGGAATACATCCATCTGCACTTTGTAATCTGTGTGATTAAAATCAGGTGTATATAAACAAGCAATGCAATTTCCAGCTCCCCAGTCCCAGAGGAACAGACTGTTCATGTTTTGACAGATGTCAAAGTAAATATGGGCATCCACATCTGAAAAATGTTGCTATTTATGGGTCCAATTTAACTTCTTCAAATCTAACTTCACCCTTTGTATTAGATGTTGCTTAAGTGAGGAATTACTTAGGAGGGTGGGATCCTTTAAATTCAAGTAAAATGAGAAATTGTTCTGCTCTTTTTACCATCAAGCTTTTACTGCATAAATAGAAATTAAGTCAATGTTTTTATGTAAGTTATGAAAATATTTTCATAAAGAATATGTATCATTTGGAATTGGAAATTTAGAGTAGAAATATCAGCATTTTACAGCTTAGGGGGAAAAATAAGGTAGATCTTGCAAGGTGACAAAATGATACACTTGAATTGAACTGTAAGACAAAAAAACCCACTCCTATCCCCCTCCTCAATTCCCAAGGGAAAAAAGGATTTTTTCTAGTGACAGCTGTTGTGTCCTTCTGCTGTTTGGGGTGGTTCTGAAGCATCTTCAGCTGGGGTTTGGGCCATACTCTGAACTAGAAATTCAGAAAGAAAGAAAGAAGTGTAAGAAACAATCATTTATGCTTTCAAGAGGCACAAGGATGAGTAGGAAAGAAGTTACAGCAATAAACAACAAAACAAACTTCCATTCTTTGTCCAAATTTTCATTTAGATACAGCCACAGTGCAGAGGTTCAGGTTCGTCTCCAGTTCCTGACATGTGTGTTTTCTACTCTGGGATCCCCAGATCATTTCAGTGAGTATTTCAGGTTATCTTACCACAAAACCACCCAGAGTAAGGCAAAAATACTTCTTAGCAATCCATGTCAGCTTAATATGTTAGTTTAAACATACAATTTAGAATAATCCCTGAGACAGCTTCAAAAGAAGGAAAATTTTCTGGCAAAGGCACAGAACCAATGTTGGAGTTCAAATTCTGTTGCAGTTCTGTAAATACAAATTTTCATATTCTCTGTGCTGCAGTTTTTCTAAATAATAGGATTGTAGTAATTACTAAAGGAGGATAATACATTATGTATTTATGGTACATAATGGTTTGTGTCCATAATGAGATCTTTTACTGGAGTACTGTATTCCAAAAAGAAATAATTATTCATATTTTAATACTGTCAGAAATTAATTTTCCTTATGAAGAATGAAATTACATTTTTTACAATTAATATTTGGATGGTCTCACTATAGATAGTCAAATTGTCATTTATGTGTTATGACCTGACAGAAATACTCTGATTTTTCTGCATGTTCTTGGGTTTTATGAAATATTTGGTGTCATAAAAGAGTAGTTAAAAATACTTGCCCAATTGTAGGGTTGAGTTTAGAACAAGTGGACATCCTGTGGCACTGCTTAGTAGAAGATTCTGAATGTTATGATGATGCACTTCACTGGTTCTTGAATCAAGTACGGAGCAAGGACCAGCACGCCATGGGTATGGAGACTTACAAGCATCTTTTTTTGGAAAAGGTATGTGCACAGTTAATTGCAGCCTCATCTTCCAATAATGAAGAGAATGTTTCATTCCATTTCAACACTGTTTATTGCATTTAAAATTGTCTCTATGGAAATCATCTCTTCAGTAGTCCAGGAGGGCCCTGCTTGTCATGGAAAGGTTTTCCTGTGCTTGGAGAGAGGAAGGAAATGGATTAGTGGGAATTCTTTTCACAGTACAATTTACCTGAGTGCTTCTTTACAAATAGCCCATGTGTTCTGTCTGCAGCTGTGTAGCACTTTATTTTAATTTGGAGAAGAATCTTCACAAAACTATAGTCTGCTTTATGCTGTACAGCTCCACCTGACTGAAAAATGGACTTTTCTTTTTCAGAGGGGCCTATAAATATCAGCAATACAGCCACTGAAAAGACAAACATGCAGAGCTTTCTCCAGGGGGTTCAATTCCATCCATCTATTTTGACAGATGGCATTACAAAATGGATAGTTTGTGCAAAAATTAATGTAGTCTAGTTCTTTCCCAAGATTGCACAGGTTTTTGTCTGGTTTTGCACATGTGTAAGTTTTCTGGATGGATGTCACATACACTAACAAATGCTCCTGGCTGATGATAAGTTAAGCAGTTGATGTTAAAATGCAATAACTCTTTTTCCTCTGCATTGTTACAGTTCAAATCAGTGGTGAAGTGAACTGTTCAAGCCAATTATAGTTGATTTCTTTATTCTATCTAAAACTCAGAGTATGATCTTTTTCAAGAGCAAGTCTATTTGATCTACTACATTTGAGTGGGATTAATAATAGCAGTGATTAGTAATAACAGTGCTAGTGCAATAAATACCCTGCAATTGCTCTGTGCTCCAGCAGTGACATCTTTTTGCATTTGTTTAGATGCCCCAGCTGAAACCTGAAACCATCAGCATGACTGGCCTGAACCTCTTCCAGCATCTGTGTAACTTGGCTCGGCTGGCCACGAGTGCCTACGATGGGGGCTCCAACTCCGAGGTGAGCCTGCCTCTGGCCCTTGCTTCTCTTCTCTCTGCCACCTGGGCATTTTGTCTCTCAGTGCAAAGACAGGAAACCACCAAAACCTGATACCTGTTGCCTGCATCTCTTGGTGCAGTTTATCATATTTTATCATAACTGAGCTATAGCCACTGTGTTGAGTTTAAAAACCATGTTTGTAACATTTACTTATCTAGTGAAGAAGAGTCAGATGACATTCTGTTAGTCATACTTAACTCTGACTAGAAATGTGTTGTAAAATGTTATGTATTATATACTTTAGAAGCTTTTAATCCAGAGCAATTGCTTCATAAATAAAATTATATTTAGAATATGTTCTCCAAATTGATTTGAGGCATTTTTTTTCTTGCAATGAATATTGATTGTAGTAGTGGTTTAAAGCTTCATTTGGAAGTACTCCTGTTTGTCAGAAATGAAATTTCACTATTTTGAATTTCAACCAGTTCTCCTCATGTGTGACTTGGAAACTGTTTCTGAGAAATTGAGAGTTCTGTAGTAATTGGTGTTGCAGTGATGACAGTGCAAACAGTGGAGAAAATGAGATATTGTTATGATTGAGTCAAGAGGTAAAAAGAATGTCTCAGATCAGAAAATCTTCACTCCCAGTAAATTAATGAGGTTTTGTTTCCCTTTTGCCCAACAGCTGTGTGGCATGGACCAGTTCTGGGGCATTGCTCTAAGGGCCCAGTCTGGAGATGTCAGTCGAGCAGCCATCCAGTACATCAACTCCTACTACATCAACGGTATCCACGTCCATTTTCATCCTTTTTTTGCTGTTTGAAATGCTTTAAAGAATACCCAGCACTATCCTTTTATTCTTCTTTTATATTTTATTCTTTATCCTTTTATTATTCTTAGTATTAAAATGTGTTGTTCCAAAGCTGTGCCTATAAATTGACTTGAACTGGTATTGCAGGTAAAACTGGTCTGGAAAAAGAGCAGGAATTTATTAGCAAGTGTATGGAGAGTCTGATGATAGCTTCGAGTAACCTGGAGCAAGACTCTCATTCAAGTCTGACCATTATTGAAAGAGGGCTCTTAATGCTGAAAACACACCTGGAGGCTTTTAGGAGAAGGTAAAAAACTCTATTGATCTATTTGGATGCAGAATTTATTTCTAGTCCTCTTACCATAATGTTGAGTGTGTTAAGAGTGATTATTAATTTAAGGAATGGTTTCTTTGTGTAAAGGAAAGGCAGTAGGGAATAATTGTGAAAGGTAATAAATAAAGTTCAAACAGTTACCAGAGCTGGCCCTTGTTCTTGTATAAAAATGTGTGGATGTGTTTGTGTTTCCCCATCCCTCACCAAAGAAACTTCTTAAAAGTTATTTTAATTTTATTTCAAACACAGCGAGGCTGTCAATAACTTCCTCTTCCCAAAAAAATAAATCAAAACAGCATTTGCAGATTTTGTCTATCAAAACAGCATTTGCAGGTTTTGTCTTTCTTTCATTGTTCAGCAAACATTTGGATTAAACAGGCTTTGACAAAACCACTTTTTCCGTGTTTTTCCCTGCTTCCTAAGGTTTGCATATCACCTGAGGCAGTGGCAGATTGAAGGCACTGGCATCAGCAGTCACTTGAAAGCCCTGAGTGACAAACAGTCTCTACCTCTAAGGATTGTCTGTCAGCCAGCTGGCCTTCCTGACAAGGTGGGTGAAAATCCCTTTCCAGGCACAGCCTCCCTGCCCAGTGCTCCTAATCCCACAGCTCTCTTGGGAAAATAAAACCCCTGTTTCCTTTCAGATGACCATAGAAATGTACCCTAGTGATCAGGTGGCTGATCTGCGAGCAGAAGTCACCCACTGGTATGAAAATCTGCAGAAGGAGCAGATCAACCAGCAAGCACAGCTGCAGGAGTTTGGCCAAAGCAGTCGCAAAGGGGATTTCCCTGGTGAGCTCTTCCTGCCTGGAGCTTTTGCCTTTACAGCTTAAAAATGCCTCAGCTAAGCAAGCATTGTGATTTATTTTCTTAAGCTGTAGTTCAAATTAGTATCACCCTCTCTTCTAATTAATAGTGTTGTTTTTAAGCCCTACCATTTATTTGAAATAGCAAAGAAATTGTAAATCCTTTAAGTCCTTGAATCTGTCTAAATTCCCTGCTCCAATAGATTTTCCCCCACATTATTTTGCTTCTTGTTGTTTGAAATGATGTTATTTTCTGTAAACTGGAGAGTCTGTTGCACACAACCTGATAAAATTTTACATTTCAATTTTACATTTCAATTTTACATTTACATGTATATCTTATGCTGTATTTCATCTGATTCATACACTTCTGTCTCTGCCATTGAGTCAGAGTTTGAAGCCCCAATTCAAATCCATAATTTATGCTCTGTATGGATGTATTTCAGTCAGGTGGAAGATTTTCCTTACTCCTGCAATTGCTTTTTAATTTATGGCCATCCAGTAGCAGAAATGATTCTTCATCCTGCTTTGAGGCTGCTAATTTGGAATGTCACCTTGCTTTGTACAGTGAATATGCATCCTCTTGTTGTTCCCTCTTTGTGTTTGTGAGTGAATGAAAACCCTGCTTTATCCTTCAGGAGGGTATTCTATTCCTGATATTAAATATTACAGCATTCTTAGCACTTATTGCTGTTCAAAGTGTTTTCTTGGTTTTTCTTTCTCATTATAAGCATGAGTTAGCGTGTAATGAACAATTATCTGAACAAATTCTGTTCATGAACAGCTCTTTCCAACACCACCATTAGTATATGTTTAAACATGATGGAAACTTGCTCTTCACAGTTTAACAACTTCTAAAAAAACTGTTTTAATGAGACACAATGTAAGTAAACCAGACTGAAATTTGGACACATTAATTGCCTCCTTTGTAGAATCCTTTTCCAGCCACTCAGCAGAAGCAGTTTTAGTAAAGAAACTGTCTTGTTTTCCACCACATAGTAGTAAATATTTATTTTTGTTGTAACTGGCATTTTAGAAACACGTGGTCACGCTGGGCAAAGTGTGCTTGTTAGAAGAGAGGCTTGGTTGTCTGCACCAAATGGAATTTAATTCTTTATTTTTTAATTGTTCGGGTTTCTTGTTCAGTGTTGAGTTCTTTGCAGGGTGTTCTCAGTTTTCCCCTTCTGAAGTGGGTGTGACTTCTTTGGTTGCAATTTACATTTAAGTAAGATTAATCAATGCTTCTCTGACTTGGCCACAAGTGTGGGGTACAGGGGCATTTTGTTGATGATCACAATCATTTTCCATTATCCTTCAGTGGCACAGTATCATTTACTACAAAATATGGAAGGCATGTTTGAATTTGTATTATAAACATTTTTAACTACCAACTTGGGTGATCTGGTATTGCAAAGGTTATTTGTGAATACAAATGTAAGTAAAGTAAATTTATGCAAGTAAATTTAGTTTGTTTATACAAGTTTAAATTAGTTTAATGTAATAACCACTTTTCTTAAGGAAATGGCATCAAGATTTTGCCTCTGCTGAGGGGTGTACTATCAAAGCTGTGAAACTGAATCTATGAATCCAGGATTTTGCTGAAATAGGCTTTTATCCTAGGTGGCCTCATGGGACCTGTGAGAATGATTTCATCCGGGCACGAGCTGACAACTGACTATGATGAGAAAACTCTGCACGAGCTGGGCTTCAAGGACATGCAGGTACTGCCAGCATGGGAGCAGGGGCCAAGGCTTGGCTCTGCTCTTCTGCAGCTGATTCTGCACCTGGGCTGGCTGGGAGCAACCCCTGGGGGATGCCAGCTCAGCACTGGAGTCTCCCCAGCTGCAGGGGCAGAATCAGGAGTGTGGTTGATGCTTTGTGAGGGCTGCCCTAGAGCAGAGGCTGGACAGAGCTAAAGAATAAAGCAGGGATTTATTAAAAGGATCTCCTCCATGGATCCACCTTGGGCAGCACAAGAGCCCAGCCAGGCCTCACCCAGGATGAACCAAAATGGTCACAAAATGCACAACCAGCCACGGGGTCTCTCAGTTTATCAGCTTTTCAGGGGTCTCTCAGTTTATCAGGGTTTATCAGTTTTGCTCCATTTGCATTTTGGAGTGAATTGTCCAATTACAGCTCCAGCCCATCAAGTCTCACCCTTCTTGTTCTTTCTCTTCATTCTGCCATTATGCTCCTGGGCCTGAGATTTGGATCATTTGTCCTTGGTTCCCAGCTAGAGAAGGAATTGTTTTGTCTCCCTACTCTGTGCAGAGAGCTCACCATCCCCTAAAATGAAGCTCAGACCCACACACTAAAGCAGCACAGAATCTAGAAAACCTAAAAGCTAAACCTGAGGCGTCGAGTGCAGCTACACCATGAATGCCTCAAGTGAAAGCAATGCCTTGCTGAAAATGCTGCAAAGCCGGGATTTGACTACAAAACCAAGAATTGTCTTTAATTTTTGAATTCTGAGCCTTGTGCAAACATTGCATGCTTGTCACAAAGCTCCCTCTGCTCGCTGTGTCTGCTGCAGATGGTGTTTGTGTCCCTCGGTGCCCCCAGGAGGGAGCGCAAGGGTGAAGGTGTCCAGCTGCCAGCCTCCTGCCTGCCTCCTCCTCAGAAGGACAACATTCCAATGCTCTTACTGCTGCAAGAACCTCACCTCACCACCCTCTTTGATTTGTTAGAGATGCTGGCCTCTTTTAAGCCTCCTTCTGGAGAAGTGGCTATGGAAGACAGTGAGGTAATTCACAGTGATTCTATTAGAACAGTTGCATTGAAGTCTTATTTCATTGGATCTGGTTTTCCTGTGTAGCCTATTTTTCTCTACTCTGTTCAGTTGCTAGAGATGTTTTTTGCCTGCTCATTCACGTGGTAAAATCTTCATTATTCTCCTTTTTTCTTAGCAATAATATTGCTAAGATATTGCTAATATTTTCTTAGCAATAATAGAACATTTGAATGTTGTAAATACTGTAGAAGCTATAAAAGCAATTCTTAAGAAACAATATTGATTATTTAAGTTGACGTGGTGACTCATAATGGGAATTGGCTTGAAGAAAGGTTTGTAAAATTTTATTGCAAAATCCCAAGCTTGATCTTGTATGCCATCATTAGCTTGAGGGAAATTAAATCATATATAGTACATTTGAACCTGTAATTTATTTATAAGTTTTATCTGCATTTAAATATTTCAAAATATGTGGTATGATTTAAAGATCATGTAACTTAATTTCTTGCAAGTTGAGACCTCAGTTATCAGATCCTAATTATGGATTTAGTTATTAGATAGGAAACAGGTTCTTAATTACAAATAAATAGGTTTTTGGGCTTTGAAATGTCTTTTTCTCAAAGAAGTTCACAGTAAGAATGGTTATGGTTTGGTTTGTCAGAGTGCAAGGTGTGAAGAGCTCCATCTCCATGCAGAGAACTTATCCAGACGTGTCTGGGAACTGTTAATGCTCCTACCAACGTGCCCTAATATGCTGCAGGCATTCCAGAATATTTCTGATGAGCAGGTGAACAAAGCTTTACATGTTTATCTTTATGATACTTGAATTTTTTAGCATCCAGTGTTTTAGTTGGAATTTCCCCAAATAGGAATGTTACATAGTAAATCTGTTAAGTGTCCTGAGACAGGAGTAAACCTAATAAATCTAAAACTAAACAGAGATGTCAGCTTAGCTCCCAAAGTTTGTTTTTATCATTTATTTTCAAAGTTTATTTTAGAAATTAAAAGAAATTTAATCAGTACTAATGATCACAATCTTTTCACTTGGATGGAAAGAGCAGTTTCTTCAGTTCAGCCTGGCTTTAACACTGTGGCTGTTGTGGTAGTGATTCTTCTGTACTCTATTCCCTCAGCTCATAGCATGGGTTGATTTCTACAGATAAAAATATTTTTCAGCCTCTTTAAAAGTGGTTGAAATTGCATCCTAACAGGTTGTAGATATTACAGCTTTGTATGCACACATGCATCAAAATGTTGGTGGCACTTACAGTGTGATGTTTGCTTTCCTCTAATGTAAAATTATGTGTATTTCAGCATATAATAATGTTGCCTTTTCATTGTTCAGATTGTTAATCATGTATAGAAATCTGCTTGAAATTGTCTCATTTCAGATAATGGAGGAAATTAAACCCCAAATAATCTGTGCATGCCACTTGAAAAATCCTCTCCCTGAACTTTTAGATAGATGAGCATTACATGTAATTGTATTAATGATTTTCTATCTTTTTTTCATCTTTCAAGGGTAATGATGGCTTTAGCTGGAAGGACCTCCTGCGAATAAAAAGTGCCCATAAACTTTTGTATGCCCTGGAGATCATTGAAGCTCTGGGGAAGCCCAACAGGAGGATAAGACGGGAATCTACGGTAATTTCCTTGCACAGAATCTTCATTTTTCTCTGAACCAAAGGATAGATTGAGGATTTATTTTAGAATATTACAATTCTTGAGCTGCTTTTATAGTTAATTTTGTTTATCTTTAGGGAAGTTACAGTGATCTTTACCCAGACTCAGATGATTCAAGTGAAGATCAAATAGAAAACAGTAAAAACACGTGGAGCTGCAAGGTTGGTTTTTCCTACAGTATTCCATGATACCTAAGACAGTTTTTCAAGAGAAATATAAAATAAAAACCCATTTAAAACATTCTTATCATAAAATCATTTCTCTCAAATTTAGGGATAACATTTGCAAGTTTTTCTGTGTTATCAGGCTTGTAAATTTGTGGTAGCCACGTACCATTATTTCATTTGTTTTCATAAAATATCCAGCTGAATTGTTTATAATTTATTTATTTATTCATTTGTAAAGCTTAGGTTGGTGTCTAACTGATCTTAGTGGTATTTCTGTATCTGCTTTTTCTCACATTGAACCCATCATATGCTTACAGTTTGTTGCTGCTGGAGGGCTCCAACAGTTACTGGAAATTTTCAATTCTGGAATCCTAGAGCCTAAGGAGCAGGAATCATGGACTGTGGTAGGTGTTCACTCTGCCTTTGTTTCCAGAGGAACATTCCTGGTATTTGTAAGGACTTTTAATGCCTTGAGCCTTTGTTACAGTTATTTTTCTGTTGTGAAATGATCCCTTCTGTGATTGAAACCACCAGATTCTATGTAGTAGCATCTTTTTTTTGAATATTTTATATTCCTGGAAGAGCTTATTTAAAAAAAGAAAGTATACATATATTTCTGCTTTTTTATGTTTTAAAACCACCCTTCTTGGTTTTCTATGGATTTTGGGGAGGGTTGTCTGGTCTTAAAATTGTAGAACTTAAAATTGTAGCTCATGGAACCTTAGAGGGGAAAAAATCTGGGTCCCTTCCTCAGGAATGATTGCAACTACATTGGTGTTACTATAACAGATCATACTTCTTTAAAGAAACCAAAAGTAGCCAAACAAGAATGGAATATTTATTTATTTTTGCTATTTTTTCTGCTTATTTTAGGAAAGGTTGTTATTTGGAGAATTATTTATCACAGTCTATTAGTAGCGAATTATTTATCACAGTCTATTAGCAGTAATCTGTTAATTATCTTTCCCTTGTCTAAGAGGCCAAGAAATACCAGTTTCCCTTGCTCTCAGTGTGACAATTAGCATAGTGGCTGTGGTGCTAATAAAGAACTTGTCAATAATGCACATGTTCTATAAGAATGACTAATAATCACCTTTTTCATTATTATTCTATCATTAGTTTGTGCTACATTCAAGTTACTTCTATAGTTTTTTCTCCTTTATACCTTGCTGAGGTTTTCAGTTGCAAATTCCATAGCAGGCATTGAATTATGTATAAAATCAATCCCTCAAAATTGAAGATTTCTCTTGTATTTGTGGAGTTCCCTGACAAAGGGAGGAATGATGAATCTGACTCCATGTTTTTAGAAGGCTAAATTATTATTTTATTTTATTATATCAAAGAATACTAAACTAAACTATACTAAAGAATACAGAAAGGATACAGACAGAAGGCTAAAAGACAATAATGAAAACTCGTGACTCCTTCCAGAGTCCCAACACAGCCTGACCGTGATTGGGCATTTGTCACGGATATATTTTATAAAAAATCCTTTTGCTAGCCAGGATTTTTCTCCTGAGAAGCTTAGAGGCCTCAGAGGCAAAGAAAACCAATAATTATCTGCTGCTGTGGAATGCAGCAGGTGCATCTGTGATTGGTGCATGTTGGTTGTTTCTAATCAATGGCCAATCACAGTCAGCTGGCTCAGACTCTCTCAGAGTCATTAGCTTCTGTTATCATTCCTTTCTCTTCCTTGCAAGTCTTCTGGTTAAATCCTTTCTTCTATTCTTTTAGTATAGTTTTAGTATATCATTTTCTTTTCATATAATATATATTATAAAGAATAAACCAGCCTTCTGAAACATGGAGTCAGGATTCTCATCTCTTCCCTTGTCCTGGGAGCCCTGTGAACACCACACAGTCATTAAGTCAAAACAATTCACATGAGCCCAATGAAACAACCACCTGTTGGACAAACACTCTCCAAACCACATTCCAAAGCAGCAAAACACAGGAGAAGCAAATGAGATAACATTGTTTTCCTTTTTATCTGAGGCTTCTCAGCTTCCCGGGAGAAGAATCCTGGGCAAGGGAATTTCTCCAGAAAATATGACAGTGACAGATTTCTTTTCCTTCCCCCTCCCAGTGGCAGCTGGACTGTCTTGCTTGCTTGCTGAAGCTGATCTGCCAGTTTGCAGTGGACCCCTCAGATCTGGATCTGGCTTACCATGATGTCTTTGCCTGGTCTGGGGTGGCAGAGAGCCACAGGAAAAGGACGTGGCCGGGCAAGTCCAGGAAAACCACGAGTGACCACGTCAAGGGCCTTCATATCCCCAGGCTGACAGAGGTAGGAGACACACAGAGGTTCTAGGAGCTCTAGGAAACATCTCCTTTGCTAAAAGAGTTAAATGTGAAGTCCTTATTTTAGTACTAAAATCATGGAATGGAAAAGTCTGTAGTGCTAATTGATCTCAGTAATATAAATGATCTCTTGCTTGTTCTCTAGAAAAGTATTTGAATATCTGTAAGCCTGGCAACCAAAAGATGGTTTTTGGTGGTTGATGAACACATTAATTGGGAATTCAGAATCCAGTGCTTTGTCCCTGTTTCTTAGATTTTATTTCCTGAATTGATCAGTCCTTTTTTACAGTAGCATATTATTATTAACCTGTGTTTATAATATGAGCTGCCCTTGTCCTCGCTAAATCCATGTTGGATTCCTTCAGGAAACACTGAAATAACTTTATTAGGGATATCTGAGGGAGTGTGAACTTACCTGCAGCTGTAAACCTTCCTGCCAGATTCCTGCATGCTGGTTTCCTAAGGCAGGCTGAGCACATGGGGTATTTTGGCATCAGGGGAACGTTCAGTGTAAATTGACTTTCTTGGGCACAGGACCAGCTGTGACTGCCAAAAAGTGCAAGTCTGAGCTCTGAGCTGGAGCCAAACTTCCCCTTTGTTATACCTGGAAAGACCTGAACTATTCTATAAATATCAGCCTTTTTTGACAAAACAAATCCCTAAATCACCAGGGCTACTGTCATACAGGGAACTTAGCACATGTGTTAAATTTTTGAACATGTAAATGGTGCTGTTGCTTTCTCTTACTGGTTTTAAATTTTTAGTTGTCAATTGATTTGTAGTTTTGATTGCTGTGGATTTGATATTTAAGTTTTTTAAGATTTTCTTCACGCTTGCATTTTAAAATTCTGTGTAGTCTGTCAGATTGGCTCAAGATGAATATCTTAAGAGAGTGGTTAGTCAGTAAAATGTGTTGATCACAGAGGTAGGCAAAATTTAAGTGCCCAACCTCATCCTCAGTCCTGTCTCCTCAAACCTAAGGTTTTTAAAAGGCTGTGAGTAGTTTATGCTTTAAAAAAATACCATGTTTTTACTAAAAGGATTGAATAAATGGTTGATTTTCCTATTCAGTTGAATTGTCTTCTTTAGAAAATGAAATTTTAGCATCTAGACCTAGTCAGTGAAACGTGGGTTTTTAGCTCTGCTTTAATAAAGCCAGTAAATTGTTAACTGTGAAGATGCTGTGATTTGCCTTTGGCCCTTCCTCCTCTGCACAGGTGGGTTTATTTAGATTCACACAGTGTGTATAATTAAAAAACAGATCAAAAACTTGTTGTTATATTAACTTGTTTTTTTTTTTTTTTCTTTCGACTTCAATTTTTAAAGGTGTTTCTTGTACTTGTCCAGGGAACCAGTTTGATTCAGCGACTTATGTCAGTTGCTTATACATATGACAACTTGGCACCTAGGTACAAATCTTCTTCTTTTTGTGATAAAGCTGATGAGTGTGCGCATTTCCATCGCTGCTTTCCTGCAGGACCCGCCCCGGGGCTCTCCCAGCTCTGCTCCCTCTGCCAGCCACATCACACACTGAGCCCCAGAGGCTGCAGATTGCCTTTCCTTAGTCACCTCCTGCAGTGGCAGGGAGGAGAGGGGTGAGGACTCTGTGCTCAGGGTGGAAGGCATGGGTGTGTAAATGATAAATCACATCAATTCTCATGCCAACATGTGGGAATGGTCCTCACTCGGGGTCACCAAATGTGGTGGTGTGCTCAGGGGTCCCAGGAGGAGGGAAGAGATGAGAATATGAGAATCCTGACTCCATGTTTCAGAAGGCTGATTTATTATTTTATGATATATATTATATTAAAAGAAAATGATATACTAAAGCTATACTAAAAGAATAGAAGAAAGGATTTCATCAGAAGGCTTGAAAGGAATGGAATAATAAAATCTTGTGACTCTCAGAGAGTCTGAGACAGCTGGACTGTGATTGGCCATTAATTAGAAACAACCACATGAGGCCAATCCCAGGTGCACCTGTTGCATTCCACAGCAGCAGATCACCATTGGTTACATTTCATTTCTGAGGCCTCTCAGCTTCTCAGGAGAGAAAATCCAAACAAAAGGATTTTTCATAAAATATGTCAGTGCCACCAAAATCCCTTCTTTGTTTTCTCCAGAGCATTCTTAATGCCAAGGCAGCATAAAGGAGAAATTAAAATAAATTCACTTTCATGTTGCTTAGTTGTCTGTCAGTTTTGACTTATTTTTCCCACCCTGATGATACTGAAGGCAAAATCTGACCTATTGGAGATTTTGGCCCTGTTGCCTTTTCATCCTGGGAAAAGCAATTCTGTGTAAGGCTGCATTGTGGCAGGCAGAGTGATGCTGGGGAGGTCAGGTTTTTGTAGAATTGATTCCAAGTGATGGATAGTTGCTTTACTATATTTTTAAAAGATTGTTAAGGGCATTCAGAACATTTCCAGTCTGCAAGTGTGCTTAACTTTCACCTCTAGTTGAGTTGCAGGAAAAATATTTAAGTATATATGCTATATTTTTGGTTTCATAACCTTTTATTGTAATTAATAAAAATGGAAGTAAATAAATGGAAGCATTTAAAGTTTGGAAATGTTTATTCAGAGTGTGGTTCCTTTATGAAGAAAACTAGATTTCCTCTGTATGGGTCAGTTCTTAGCTCTGACATCTCTGGCTTGGATAAAATAAAGAAGGGGCTGTGGGTACTTCTCCTTGGCTTTTAATCTTGTAGTCAGTAAAGCTTCATGGGGGTGACTTGAAGGCTTCCATAGTTTTGTTATTGTTGCTAATTTTGAATACTGCAAGCAATGAATCCTTTTAAGATGAATTTAGATTTTCCAAGTGGTTACTTAAGAGTAACTGTGTTGTGACTTGTGTGTACTTGTATTTCTGAGTATAATCTGTTATGTGCTGTGTGATAAAATTCAAATTATTTTCTCTTCTTCCCATCAGGGTGTTGAAGGCTCAGTCTGATCACAGGTCAAGGCATGAAGGTCAGTGCTGCAAAACAGCTGTGTCAGGAGCTAATAACAGGGATGGCAAATTGATGATAATTTATTTTTTGGGTTTATTCCACCATTAGAAAGATGGAAAATCGTTTTACTCCAAGTAAATACCCCTGGTTTCTGAGTGAAATCCAGTCCAGGTTTTTTCCCCAGTCTGGATTTTCTGTGAAATCTGGTTCAGGTTTTTCCCTGAGCCACTTCCCAGGAGAAATCCAGTCCAGTTTTCCTTCATTCCTAATTCCAGGTGAAATCTGGTCTGGGTTTTCCCAATTAAGCATTCCAGAGAATTCCTGTCTGGGTTTTTCCTGCTCCTTTTTCTGGCTGAAACCTCACTGAGATTTTCCCAATCCTCTTTCCAGGCTAAATCCCATCTGGATTTTCCCCCCTTTCCTGCTCCCACCCCTCATCCCCAAACTTTATTTAAGACCAGGAAGGGGGGAGATTCAGTTCTATTTTGGGAGTGAAGCTGGGGCAGTGGTTAGAAGCATCTTCTGCTCAGTGAGGTTTTTCAGCTGCTTCCCTCTTGCCAAAACATTTCTTACTGGGCTTCTGGCAGAAATTCTGTGTGAGAATTTTCAGCTCAGGTTGCATCAATGAGGAGGACAGCAAATTGAGACAAATCCCATCCAGCACTTTATCCTGCATAAATAACCAATGGCACAGGTATGCAGGCAGCATCCTGTGGAAATGTAACACTTTGCAAAGAAGAAAATAGGAAATTCAGGTGGAAGTTAAGTAGAAGGTGAGGGGGCTACCAGGAATAAACTCTGATTGCACCTGAAAAATTAAAATTAGACCTTATTCCAAGAGCAGCTTTCTTTATTCTGCCATGAGGAAAAGCTTCATTGGCAAGACAGGTGGGGTCCTTTTCCATAAAAAAAAAAAAACACTGTTCTGGGCATCCCTGGACACATCTGTAATTGGGTGTTCAGGCCTTGTTTACAGGGAATAAATCCCAGTAGATATTGCTGCCATTCGTTTGATGGGTCTGTGCTTGGGCTCCTGCTGCTGGCAGTCTCTCTCCTAAATAATCAAAGATAAAGAATGGTTTCTCTGTTGATAATTCCTTCAGAAAATGGGGTATTTGGAAGTGTGGTCCTGGAAAGCATCCTGGCCTTTTTACCAGAGGAAAGGTGGCACTGGATGGAGTCTGAAGCACTGCAGAATTCTCATTCTAATTTCATTACAAAGACACTACCTAAGAATTTCCAAAGTTTGGGGGCTGCAAGGTGATTGCAATGGAACTTTTGTTTGAGGCAACACAAATGTAGCCACAGAAATGAGTACAAAACGGGAAATAAATGTGCAGATGTGATGCAAAGCACCAGCTCACAGCTCAAGAAGTAGAGATTTAGGAAAGGACTGTGCCCCTCACTGTTAATTTTAATCTAATTGGATGGTCATCATTAGTACAGTGGTCAGTGTTTAATCAGCATATTGATAAAACTCCTGAGGTTTTTTGTATCCTAAGTGCCAAGAGAGGTTTTGTCTTGCCTGTTACTGAAATAAATGCCATTTTGGGTGTGCAGCCCTTCTGCCCAGGAAGCCTTTGCTGTGCTTACACCCTTTAGAACTGGCAGGTGTGATAAGTCAAAGGCAAATCAGAGTAAAAGGCTGCAATTCTGTCACTGTACTCAGCCTTCAAGGGCAGCTCTAAATTTGGCTGCCTGCATTGGTCACCTGATGGCAGTGGCAGCAGTGTGGGATCATGAGAGTGATGTCCATGAAACAGGAAACCTTAAGGGACTGTGAGTAAGGGTCCCTTGGGAGCTGCACTCTCAAGTATCTGAAGAGCTGCAGCCAGTCTGTTCTCCTGCTGAAGCTCACAGTTTGGGTGCTGGAGTTACCTTGATAAATGGTGTGCAGTGCACAGCTAGGAGGGAAATAAGTGCTGGGTGTCAGGTGTAAGGAGCTAACAGATTGGTTAAGTGTATGTTTGACTCTAGACAGGCATGGCTTACAGTGGGGTTTGTCTCCTCCTGCACTCACTCACTCACTGTTCCATGTGGGGTTTGTCTCCTCCTGCAGTCACTCACTCACTATCCCATGTGGGGTTTCTCTCTCCTGCAGTCACTCACTCACTGTTCCATGTGGGGTTTGTCTCTCCTGCAGTCGCTCACTCACTGTTCCATGTGGGGTTTGTCTCCTCCTGCAGTCGCTCACTCACTGTTCCATGTGGGGTTTGTCTCCTCCTGCAGTCGCTCACTCACTGTTCCATGTGGGGTTTCTCTCTCCTGCAGTCACTCACTCACTGTTCCATGTGGGGTTTCTCTCCTCCTGCAGTCACTCACTGTTCCATGTGGGGTTTCTCTCTCCTGCAGTCACTCACTGTTCCATGTGGGGTTTGTCTCCTCCTGCAGTCACTCACTGTTCCATGTGGGGTTTGTCTCCTCCTGCAGTCACTCACTCACTATTCCATGTGGGGTTTGTCTCTCCTGCAGTCACTCACTCACTGTTCCATGTGGGGTTTCTCTCTCCTGCAGTCACTCACTCACTAATCCATGTGAGGTTTCTCTCCTGCAGTCACTCACTCACTGTTCCATGTGGGGTTTCTCTCTCCTGCAGTCACTCACTCACTGTTCCATGTGGGGTTTCTCTCTCCTGCAGTCACTCACTCACTAATCCATGTGAGGTTTCTCTCCTGCAGTCACTCACTCACTGTTCCATGTGGGGTTTCTCTCTCCTGCAGTCACTCACTCACTATTCCATGTGGGGTTTCTCTCCTGCAGTCACTCACTCACTGTTCCATGTGGGGTTTCTCTCCTCCTGCAGTCACTCACTCACTGTTCCATGTGGGGTTTGTCTCTCCTGCACTCACTCACTCACTATTCCATGTGGGGTTTGTCTCTCCTGCAGTCACTCACTCACTGTTCCATGTGGGGTTTCTCTCTCCTGCAGTCACTCACTCACTGTTCCCTGTGGGGTTTCTCTCTCCTGCAGTCACTCACTCACTGTTCCATGTGGGGTTTCTCTCTCCTGCAGTCACTCACTGTTCCATGTGGGGTTTCTCTCTCCTGCAGTCACTCACTATTCCATGTGGCTCTTGGTGAGCTGGGCTCACTGCTGCTCCTTGGTGAAATCCAGCCTGGCTGACAGTGACCATTTGCAAGACTGGCTCAAGAAACTCACCCTGCTTATTCCAGAGGTATGGAATGGGGAGCTTGGTGCATTCCTAATTAGTGTCATTACCTTTGGCTTGCCATTCATTCAATCCAAGACTTGTGGTTTCTGCTCCAAGTGGCAGGATCTGCTTCAGTTCCTTGCAGTGCTGGGTGAGAAGTGATCATTGGAAGGTGGCTCTGTGCTCAGTGACAAACCAGGTTATAAACTCTCACCTTTCTCCTTGGCTTCTGTTTGAAGGTCATTTTTTCATTGCCATTCGTTGAAATTTCTGAGTAATTTGTTGAAATTTCTGGGTGATGCCACCTGACTTGAATTAGCTGAAGTGTACTTCCCCCATTATGTTTTTTACATTACTAGATTTATTTTTTTACTATTTATTTTTCTATAATTAGAATCACAAAATGAGGTGAATGAGAATTGATTCTCATTCACCTCACCAGAATCTTTGTCATGACCAAAGATTGATCTAGCTTTAAGTAATTTTTTACTAAAGCTAGACCAAATTTTTACTAAAGCTAGACTGAAGATGGTCTATAGGCTTAAATGGAATAAAGGCTTAAAAATTGCATCAGTTATATTCACAGTAGAATTTTTTTTGTATTTATTGGTGATTGCTTAAAGGTGCAAGGGGGGGACATGGTGTAATAATTCTTATCTGTTGTTTTATTACTCAAGCACAGAAAAATCTTACAGGCTGGCTCCATTTAAAATCCCTGGAAATGAGAGAGTGCAAACTTCCAAAGCTTGATTACACTGTGGATATTTTTATTAATAAAATGAAGAAGAAAATAGTTTTTCTAGAGAAATTAAATTAATTAGTACTTATGAAAGAGTAAGGGTAAATTCAGGATTCATGTAGATTTCCTTGATTTGCCTGATGTGATATTTTCTATTCTAGTCCCTGTAATCATTTCCATGGAAAATACATAACTTGAGACACAGGACACAAACAAATCATCTTTTTAATTAGAGTAGTATAATTTGCATTTTTCTGTAAGCAGTTGAAATGCACATTATTTATAATCCCTGTTTTAGAAGGACACATTCAACCCTGATAACCTCTTGGATATTATGAGAGGAATTTATATAACTATGAAGGAAAAACATCCAAAAGAAGAAATCTTCCAAAGAATGTGTGTAATGATGCAATTCCATGATTTTTCCTAGACTGCAGTTCGCCACGAGTCCTGCAATGGTTTGTACAAATTGTCTCTCTCTGGCCTGGATGGGGGAGACTCCATCAACCGCTCCTTTCTGCTGCTGGCTGCATCAACCTTGCTAAAATTTCTCCCTGATGCTCAAGCTCTGAAACCAATTAGGGTAAGAATTTAAGAACTGACAAGACTTTCTCAAAGATAAATTTAAAATTCATATTAAAAAAGGAAAAAATTTAAAATTAATATAAAAAGTAAAAAAAATTTAAATTATTATTAAAAATTAAAATATAAAATATAAAAATTAATATAACATATAATAATTTAATACTATATATAAGATAACAAAATATTGGTTCATTATTATATTATATTATATTATATTATATTATATTATATTATATTATATTATATTATATTATATTATATTATATTATATATTGTTAAGGATTTAAGTCCATAACAATATATGATATATAATATATTTTATAATATAATATAAACATATAAAATATAAAAACTAAACATGCTAGCACATTATTGTTGTGTCTGACATACTGTTTCAGATACACAGAGGCTTCTGATTTAGATGCTTCCAGAAACTTTCCAAAAATGGTTAAACTGTGACACTGCAGTAATTTACAGCTCAGCTGTGCCTGGAGAAATGCAGCACAGCTTTTGGGAAGTGCTCTTGTTTTCAAATTTCAGTGTCCATGTACACAGATTTTTTTAAAAGAGTTAAATTAAAACAACCTACAGAAGATTTTTAAATATTTATTTGCTTTTTAGGAGAGTTTAAAATTAGAGATGTATTTACCAATTGGAATCAACCCACATTTTTCATGTTTTGTCCTGTCTAATCCTGAATGTTTTTGTGGTTTGCAGTGGGTGGGATGAACTCCACACTATTCTACAAATCTTTTACGGGTCTGGCAGATCATCCTGACAATTTTCCAAGAAAATTAATAAATATTGCAGAAGAAAAACAGAGCATACACTGTTACCATTGTGAAATACATTGTTCTTATACTTACCTTAGAGGCTTGAAGAAAGTAATTCTCTTGTAACACAGTTACTGTGCCTTTTTAATAGAGTTATTTTGTGTTCTACTTCAGAACAAAAGCAATTTCTCTCCACAGATAGAGGATTATGAAGAGGAAGCTGTGCTGAGACCTGGTTGTAAGGAGTATTTTTGGCTGCTGTGCAAACTGATTGATAACATTCATGTCAAAGATGCAAGTCAGGTAGGTTTGCCTTGCATTCATACCAATGTTTATTGCTTTTAATTTGTGTCTTCAGACATTTGTTCTTAAGATTTGATGGACTGTGAGCAGCTCTTGGATGTTTTCCATCTCCCAGTTTACTCTGTACTCAGTAGCTCTTGGAAGTTTCAGGTAGTGCCTCTGTAGAGTCAAGAAAGGGGATTGTTACAACACACAAGGTCAACTTAGTTGAAAGTCACAGACATGAGAATAGTGTAATTATCTGTGATAATTACACTGTTGATAATTCCAGTGTGTTCCAAAGAGGAGCTAATCAAGTTTTTGATTGAAGCTGAAAGAGTTAAATTCAGTTAACAGCCATTTAGCATAAATCAGAAAACTTACCTTAGAGCATGCCTGAAAATGAGTTTGAATTATCTCTGTTTTTCTGTGTGCAGTAATAACATTTCCTCCAAAAGAAGTCCATAATTCTTTCCCATTTGTGTTCCATTTTCTTTCTTTTCAATCAGACAACCCTGCTTGATTTGGATGCTCTGGCCAGACACCTTGCTGACTGCATTAGGAGGTGAGCCTTACCCCCAGCAATGCCCCTTGTTGTTGGAGTGTGTTTTTAGTTTGATTTGTGGTTTTGTAGTCTCTCTGTATTTTTCTCCCCCTGTTTTTAGAGTGACACAGGCCTGCCTTTGTTATTTAATTGAGCCAGGTGTTGTTTATCTGTTATTCAGCTACTTCCTTGCCAGGTTTCAAACCCCCTTCCTTCCCCCCATCCCCAGCACATCCCTCTGGCTGTCCAGGAGCGCCAGGACCCCTGCCAGGGACTCAGAGACCCTGGCACAGAGCCCAGAACACCTGGGGGTTTGATTGTGACCCGTGGAGCAAATTACCAACCTCACATGAAGATCAGCAAGCCACAACAGTTTAGGTAGAATGATAGTGAAGTTATCACAGGGTGGAAAAGTAGATTTTAGGGTTTTGGTATGGGGGTTCAGGGGGCAGGATGGAGGGAACTGGGTGTGTCCAGCCTTTCTCCTTCTTCTTCTTCTTGGCCTCCATTTCTGCTGTGATGTTGGCACTTTTAGATTGGTTTAGAGTAGAAGCTCACTGTGTAACATGGGTGATGGGTATTGGGCAGTAATTGCAAACATTGTACAGGTAGTTTTTAGTATAAAGACATAACCCCACCCCGGGGGCAGGCAGAGTGCCTGGAACTGTCCTGCTGGACAGACCTGGCAGGGCAGGAGAAAACTTTTTATAGGTAAGGAACAATAAACAACCTTGAGAATGAGAAATGAAGAGTTCTGACTCCTTCTTCAAGTGCTGGGCTGGGAAAAGAGACTTTCTAACTTTTGTCAGGGTCACTCTGACAAGCCAAAGATCCTGACACCCATCCAGTTGTTAACCCTTCCTATCCCAAGCTGTTCTCCTCCCTTGAAATCCTTCATTGGTTTATACACCTTGTATTCCCCACCTTGTGTTCCACCCCCATTTCTCCTGTTGAAGATTGTATCCTCCCCTTTATGAGCCATTGTTTGCCATGTTCACTGGGTGCATTGTCAGTGGGGCAGAGCTGTGACATCCCTTCTTGTGGTGGTGTTCACAGGGGTCTCAGGTTGAGGGGAGAGACGAGGATCTGACTCCATGTTTCAGGAGGCTGATTTATTATTTTATGATATATATTATATTAAAACTATACTAAAGGAATAGAAGAAAGGATTTCATCAGAAGGCTGGCTAAGAATAGAAAAGGAATGATAACAAAGGCTTGTGACTGAGCAGACAGTCCAGACAGCTGGGCTGTGATTGGCCATTAATTAGAAACAACCACACGAGACCAATCCCAGATGCACCTGTTGCATTCCACAGCAGCAGATAACCATTGGTTACATTTTGTTCCTGAGGCCCCTCAGCTTCTCAGGAGAAAAGAATCCTAAAGGCAGGATTTTTCATGAAACATGTCTGTGACAGCTTGTCTGCCTGTGTGTGCATCTCCAGCAGGGAGATCCTGGACCACCAGGATGGGAACATCGAGGATGATGGGCTCACAGGGCTGCTGCGCCTCGCCACCAGCGTCATCAAGCACAAACCACCTTTCAAATTCTCCCGCGAGGGCCAGGTGAGCAGGACACTGCAGCACCACTGACACATCAAAACTGGGCCTTTTGCACCACATTTTGATTGCAGGGCTCAATGTATAAAAGCTTGTCATATTTCTAGCCTTAGGATGATGGGCAAGCCCACACATACTCCTTTATTAACAAGCAGCACATACGGTTCCTTCCCTTTCTGTGTAATTTCAGGGTAGAATTCTTCCATCCCTGAAGTTTTATTTATTTTCATTTCATGTCTTTAAATGTTTTTTTCTATTGATCAGCATTAACTGGTTTAAGTCCTTAACAGCAGCTAATTTTGACCAGATCCTGGGCAGTCTGATCTAAAAGTAACAACCCCTGTGCACTGGCAGAGATCCGTTACAAGATTATTACATTCCACCTCTAAGGTGCAAAAGTGGTGAAGCAGGGGAAGTTTGCTAAAAAACTATTTTATTTCTATTAAAACTATTTATTTGTATTAGCTATTTTTTTATATTAAAACTATTTTATTTCTATTAAAACTATTTATTTTATCTTTAAGAACTGCATTGTCATAAAAAAAGGCAAATTGTGTGTAAAAACAATTTTAGATTGATTTTCTGTAGGCTCTACAGAACTTATTATTGGGCCTTTTCAGCTGAAAAGTAGGCCCTGGTGTCTAATGATGTTGTTTATATCTTGGCTGTTTATTCTGTTGTTATAAAGCAGCCCTGAAGGTGATTTGATTGTCCAAATGTGACACTGCTGACAGCATTTGAACAGACTGTGTATTTAACTTAGGGAGAGCTTGCAGATTAAATGAGAGTAAGAATTCAATTCACAGAATGCAGTGGTAGAGGAGGATGTGGAAATTAAAACAGAGGAATACAAAGGTCAGGTTTATGTAGCTTGAATGTATGGAAAGCTTAAGAAAAACTTGAGAGAAACTAGTCCTAGAAGTTACTGAAAATCCATGTCTTGTTTGTCAGGTTATCAATCATAAAACCAGTCATATTTTGTGATTCTTTTCCAACTGGTATGTTCCTCTTTAGACTGTGATGTGGTTACAGTGCACTTTATGCAGTATAAATTGTTGGAATTTGTGATTCAGAACTTGTATTCAGGTCAGAAAGTTCTGCATGATAGAGGTCCAGAAAGTCAACAGAATTTCCTAGAAAATTGTTGATGTATGGTTCATGTTTTAAGAATACATTCAGGCTGCTCAATGTGCCAATTTCATGTTTTCCAGGAGTTTCTGAGGGACATCTTCAACCTCCTGTTCTTGCTGCCCAGTCTGAAGGACAGACAGCAGCCCAAGTGCAAGTCCCACTCCTCCAGGGCTGCTGCCTATGACTTGCTGGTGGAAATGGTGAAAGGCTCAGTGGAAAACTACAGGCTGCTCCACAACTGGGTCATGGCACAGCACATGCAGTGTAAGAACCTCTGGAGTGTTTGTGGCCACTAACTCTGCTCTGGGAATTCACTTCCTAGCTCTGCTGTGTATTCCCTGTCACCTGGAGCAGTGGCACACACGTGTTGGCATCTTTTGCTCACCTACCAACGACATCCCATAATCATTTCCATGTCACCTGTTGTTAAATATTATTATTTAGAGTGTGTGGTCCTGTTAAATGGCAGGTACACACAGGTAACACTGGATTTTACATGTTTCACCCTCTTGTGCTGGATTTTAATTTCCCTTTTTCCTTTCTGACATGAACCATGGGATATTTATATATAAACCAAAGTGTGGAAACTACATGAAGGAATTGGAGTTCTTAGCAGCCCTGTGATGTTTTCAGAGCCTCTGGTATCATTGCAGTTGACTTCAGTCTGTACCCAGATATGTGCATTTAGCAGTTCTGCTGTGCCTCTTGGCTTCCATGCTTCTTGCCTTTTGGAGCCACAGTTCCTGTGTATAATATGGAAATCAGCAACATTTCAAGCTAGTTAATATTTTATCTTTGGTTTGCAAATCCTCATTATGCACTTTTAGCTTTAGCTAGGTTTCTTTCACATGCCCAGTTAAAATTTCTCTAACCTGAGGTTCTGTAATTTATTATAATGTGTGGAATTGATTTTAGTGCCTTACAATTCAGCAAGCAAAAGAGAAATCTGATCATAATAATGCTTTGTGTTCTATTCTCTTATGCCTGGGGCCTTCCAAGGTCTCCTGTGCTCAGAAGAAATATTATGAAGAATATATTTTATGAAAATCCTGGCTATTTATGTTTGCTATGAGCACGTTATCTGCTGCTGAGGGTGTCTCTGTCTCTCCAGGTGCAATCATTTGTTTTTAACAATCAGTGTTTTCCTCCCTCCAAGTCTCAGTAATTCCTCTGTAGCATTTCCCACAGTTGTTAGTTTCTTTCAAACACTCTTCCCTAGATTGTTTGTTCATCCCAAGTTCTCCAGAGCCATCTGCTCTGTGCTCCTGCTCCATACCCAGCATTTCTCACTTGCATGAATGTTAATTTTATTACAACTGCCACAGTGCTGTTGTCTCTGTGATGTGCACCCAGCACAGGACTTGTGAAACCTCATTTGTTTAAGGGCTTGTTATTCCATTGTTGTGATCCAAAGATTATTGAAACTGGGCTTTTCCACTTTGTCATCCCTGTAATCTTACTGGTCTTCAAAACTCTTGTCTTAGGTCTATCCCTCCATCCTTCCTAGGAGAAACATTAAGAGAAATACTAGAAATTTGCATCCTGGCTTTGGTTTTAAATCTGTTTTCCTGGCAGGGAGGGCTCCCAGTTCATGCAGGATGATCTCACTGAAGAGTGGATTTAGGTATCTTCAGTTGTTCATAGAATTTCTTGCAGTATTTTGGAGTTTTGCTTCTTTAAAGACTGATAAAACCTTTCAGTTCAAAGAGTAGGTGCTTCACTTCCCAGCAAGTTAAAGATCATGTCTGGTGTTATCTGCAGCAGGAGCATCCTCAGAAGGTGGAATGTAAAGAAATGCATGGTCATTCTGAGAGGAAAAAATTCAGCTTCAGTTTGCTTAAAATAGAATGTGAACATGGCAAGTTTGGTTTCAAGTTTCCCCTTCTCTTCCTGAGAAAAAGCTGGTTTCTATAACAACAGTGAGGAATAAAGAAGATAGACATCAAGGAGCCTCAAATTTGCCTTTCTAGTTAAGATCCATATGGAGAAGGAAAAATTTTATTACACAAATGAAGTCAGTCACTTAAAAAATCCCAGGCTGGGGAACACAAGGTCATCCTGAGAAAGTCCTTGTCAAGTTGCTGAATGCTCTTTGTCAGATGGAAGGAGGTGGAAGATCCTCCCAGCTGCTCTGTGAAGTACAGAGGAGTCAATGATTGCTTTGCAATTAGAGCTTGATGAGCTCCAGGCAGGGAGAGATGCTGAGCCCTTCCATCAGAAAGGGAGAATGAGGATGCTGTCATTCAGGGATTGCAGCTAAGGGAGGGAATTTTGCATTATTCTGCCAGGCTCATGACCTCCTTTAGGAGGTGAAATGTGCAGGGGAGCTTTGTTTCAACTGGCTGACCAGCCCAGGTAACCTGAGGTCACAGCACTGAGGTTTGCTGAAACAGGAGAATTAAATCTCTTTTCTTCCCTCCTTGGAGCTTCAGGGCTAAGAGTTGTTTTGGTGCCAGTGCCAAAATGAAGATTACAACCATTATTTGTTGTGCAACAGAAACTCTTGAGCGTCTGGTCTCTGAAGATGTGAGGATGCCAAATAGTTCCTGAATTTTTGTCTGATGGTGTGGATTGAGAAGAATCCCTAATGAGCCTTTCATCTGTGACAAAATAATTGAGGATTTAAAGTTTCAGTCTTGAACCCCACATAGCTTTTATGGATTGTAAAATAAATCCAGACTATTTTTGGGGATTTTTTTTTTTTCCCTCTTTACCTGAACATATACTTCAGCAGAGGTGCTGAATTATTTGTGGGACACACTGTGCTTTCAGAGAATGACATCTTTGGGGATGAACAGCAAAGCTGGATGCATTGCAGGGCTTTGTGTCCAACTTCTTGGATACCAAGGAAGATTGTCTAAGCTGGTTACCATCTTCTTGACTGGCAGATGAGAAGAACTTTGCCATTCTTCTGATTTCTTGGCAGCCATGTCAGAACAAGGCTCATGAAAGAGTCACTCAGCCCTGCCAAACTTGTCTGGTGCCTCCCTGTGTAAGAAATCCATCCCTACATCTGGTATGAAATTCAGAGAATAGAAAGCTTGGAAGAAAAAGAAAATGGCTTTTTCAGTCTGATTCACTTGACATTTGGAGAGCACAGAGAGCCCCTTGCAGCCCAAAGTGATGTTGCAGGAAGGCTGCTGCTCTATCCAAAGATTTTAAAGATTTTCCTGAGGAATGTTTAATCCATTTTCCTAAAGATCAGGCACAGTCTGGCTCATGCCTGTAAATGTACTGTCACCATGATATTTTCTGAAAAATCCCTTTGCCAGGATTGCTTCTCCTGGGAAGAATCAGAAGTCTCAGAAAAGAATGAAAACAATAATTACCTGATTGTTTGGGAATGTGGTCTGGAGATCATTTACCAACAGCTGCATCTTTGATTGGTTCCTTGTGAATTGTTTTTAATTAATGACCAATCCCCATCAGCTGTGTCAGACTCTGAGGAGTCAGTCATGAGCTTTTATTATCATTCTTTTCTAGCCTTTAGATGTATCCTCTCTCTTTCTATAGTATAGTTTTAGAACAGAATAGAATGGAATAGAGATATCAGCCTTCTGAGAACTTGGAGTCAGATTCTCCTCTCTCACCTCACCCTCACAACACCACAATGTACAGAGCATAAGCAGTGACATTTTATTCCGTGAACATGAAGCTTTTCATTGTGTTTGTATTTTTGCAAATTGCCCTCTGAGCTGACTGTTCTGCTGCCTGTGTGGTTGCTGCTTTCCACAGCCTCCCATGCCCCTTACAAGTGGGATTACTGGCCCCACGATGACGTGCGTGCCGAGTGCAGGTTTGTGGGCTTAACCAACCTTGGAGCCACGTGTTACTTGGCCTCCACTATCCAGCAGCTCTACATGATCCCAGAGGCCAGGCAAGCAATCTTCACTGCAAAGGTGAGTGGGGGGCTTGGGAAGAAATTCACATTCAGAATCCATGCAAATACTGAAAAAATACAGATTGACTTCTGAGACTTACATCTAGATAGAGAACATTGCTTTTTGTGTAGTTGGATGCTTTTGCTCGTGTCTTTTCAGTGAGTTTTTTCTGAAATATTTAATGTGGTAGGTAGGTTCTTAAGGTGGCAGTGAAACCAAATGTTGTAAAAGTCATATTTCTGTTGCTGTCATGTAGCTTGGTTTGGGTTTATGGGAATATCTGTTGTTTCTTAACTGCTGATTTGTCATTTTGTTAAGAAATGTTTTTTCATCAATGTTTATGAAGTCCCAGAGCACGTTATCTCGTGCTGCCAGAAGTGCAGCAGGTCCTGTAAATTATCATTCTTTGGTTGACTTCCAGAAGTTCAATATTATCACTTTTATCTCTTCATTGTGAGAGAGAAAATATCATTGTGGTCCCTGACATCAGCAGGGCACATGGAGTGTGTGAAACACCCTAACTGGCAGTGACCTCATCATTTTCTGTTATTGTTTATTGCTGGTACTTGTCATGTAACTTCTGGATTTGCCATTTATAAATGCAAATAAAATGCTAAACAAGGGAGTGCAATTAACATTTTATTTAAAATTACATATTTATTACTGGTCTGTACAGGAAATGCATTGTGGGAGGGCTGTTCAGAGCCCTTACAACATCTGTGAATTAAAAAAAATATTCCAAAACCACTAATACTTGGTAATACTTCCCCAAAAGCTCCTACCTGCAATAAATTTTTAGCAAGTAGAGTTATTTTATTCTCAGGTTTAATGTTGACATGCCAAAAAAAAGTGCAAAATAAGTATAAAAATTCTAAATAGAAAATAATAGACTGTGTGTTCCTGTACACAATCATTTTTCTCAAGGGTCCATAATAAAGTAATGGGGTTTTTATTTGGCTGTTACATCTATTTAATGTATGTTTTTGGAAATAATAAGATCAAGTCTTCTTTTATTAATTTCTGACAGTATTCAGAAGATATGAAACACAAGACCACTCTGCTGGAACTCCAGAAGATGTTTACATACCTAATGGTGGGTGTGAAAGAGGGTATTTTAGAAAGTGTCCTATTTTAGAGGTTCTTTGTACATAGTTCAGGTGAATCCATTAATTACAGAGGTGTTGGGGAGGTGGTGATCAAATAAAATTCATTATTTTTATTATTTGCGTTTTCCTTGCTCCAGTATTTAAAGATTAATCCATTGAAATACAGCAAAATTCTGAGATTCCAGGACCAAACAAAATTAAAGCAGTTGCCAGGTGTTCTCTGCTGTTAAAAAAATGAAACAATTCTGAAATAATGGAAAAAAACCTGAGGAGAGTTGAGTGTCTTGACACTGGTTTTGTGTTAGAAATTCACAACCACTTTGAAAACAAGTGGGGAAAAGAATCTTGACTTGTAATGCCTCCCATGAATCGCAGAAATTATTAAATTAGGTGTTCATTAAGCAGAAAATAACATAGGAACAGAAAGTCATAGCAAGACTTACCATTTAAATCTTGGGGAAAGCCTTTTTTCTAAGAAAGGCAATATTTGATTTTTCCTATAAAAGGCAATATTTGATTTTTCCTATAAAAGGCAATATTTGATTTTTCCTATAAAAGGCAATATTTGATTTTTTCTTAAAAAGGCAATATTTTATTTTTTCTAAAAAAGGCAATATCTTATTTTTTCTAAAAAAGGCAGTATTTGATTTTTTTTCTAGAAAGGGCAATATTTTATTTTTTCTAGAAAAGGCAATATTTAGAGGAGGTGCTGCCTTGCTGTGCATCCTTAAAAGAGAACAGAGTGAGTGAGTCCTGCATTCCCAGTGTGCAAGGCAGTGCAATGGGGATGGATTCTAAAGAATTGCTTTGGACTGCACATTCTTTGCTCTGGCTAAACACATCCTGTTGCAAACTAGATGAAAACATAGAGGAGTCTGAATGAGAATTGAGCACTTGGCAAGATTTAAGTCAGCAATGTCCAGAAATGCATAAATACAAGCTGATGTTCTCACATTTTATTTTGTGTCTGAACAGATATGCAAAAAGTGCTCATGTCACATCTTCAGCCAGGATATTTTATTTTAATGATTCATTTAATGAAGTTTTCCTAACTATTTTAATACTTTTTTAGTAGTGATATTTTACTCACTGGTATCATGATAATGGTTATCAATTAGCTAAAAACTGCTTTGCATTTCAGCAGAAACGTTGAAACATTTAGGAAATGTTGTATGTAGAAGATTGTAAAATTGTATGTAAAAGATGTCTTTTCTAAAACAGATACACACATATGTGTGTGTGGTACATCTGTGTAACTTGAGAAGGAAAATATTGGGGTTGATTTGGTTTTGTTTGATATTTTTTATCCAAAGGAAAGTGAATGTAAGGCCTACAACCCAAGGCCTTTCTGTAAAACCTACACCATGGATAAGCAGCCCTTGAACACTGGAGAGCAGAAGGACATGACTGAGTTCTTCACTGACCTAATAACAAAAATAGAGGAAATGTCTCCAGAACTGGTGAGTTATTAAGAGGGAACAAAAGGGAGCTTGAGAACTTAGGGATTTGCTCAAATTTCCTTGACAGAATTTATTTATTCTTTCTTCCGCAGAAAAACACAGTGAAAAGTTTGTTTGGAGGTGTTATCACAAACAATGTCGTTTCTTTGGTAAGTGCTCCTTCTCTGAGCTGATCTTTTAAAGCTAATATCTCCTAACTTGTCAAAAAAAGTGATTTCATTGCTTTTCTCTTGCCTTTGTTCAGGACTGTGAGCATGTGAGTCAGACAGCTGAGGAGTTCTACACAGTGAGGTGCCAGGTGGCAGACATGAAGAATATTTATGTGAGTAATGCCAGCCTGAGATCAGTCTCAGATCTCAGCTGCAAAGGGCACAAAACACGGCCACACACTTGAAGATGGCAATGCTTTTTGTCTGCACTCTACTTTTGGGGTGTCTTGAGGTTAATATTATGAGGTAATTTAGTTTCAGCTTTTCACTGCTGTGTTCCATCAGCTGGAGCCAGCAAGAGTCATTGGCTGTTGTTTTACAGTCAATAATCTCTATTTACTTGTTTTAAACATGATGTGGTCATTTTATATGAGAACTGTAAATGTCAAAAGATTTAACATTTACAAGTACTGCTGTTAATGAAATTAATTTAAAGCCTACAGCAGCATAATTCTGTGTTTTCAAGCTTTTTAAACAACCATTATTCCCACAATGAAATTTGAATTTAACGGATTTGAATTCTTGGAGACAGCTTGGAATATTGAGTACCATTTTTAAGTTGGTTCCTTAATTCTGTATATGGGTTAGAAACTGTTTTTCCTGTCAAGCTCTTCTCTTAGTTCAGGTGTGTGCTCTTCTGTAAAAAATTCTGGGGCTTTCTTTTCGTAACTTATGGAAATGTTAATTAAACTCAAAGTAAGATTGAAAGGGAGGGGTTTGGAAAGCAGGCACGGGGTCAAGTAAACTCCATAAATATCCAAGATAACCTCCTTTTTTTCCATGTAGGAATCTCTTGATGAAGTAACTATTAAGGACACCTTGGAAGGTGACAACATGTACACGTGTTCTCACTGTGGGAAGAAAGTGCGGGCTGAGAAAAGGTGTGGCCAGAGAGAAAGAAATATTCCTAATGGTTCTTGTTAGGAAATCCCTGGAATTCCACTGGGAGTAACAGTAATCCCTCACATGGAACAGGACTCTGCTCTTTCATTCACTTTATATCATGTTAGGCCTGTAAGGATCCCTGTGCAAACCAGAAATTAAAAGGAAATCAAATTTCCAAAGCAGAGAATCCAGAGTATCTTAGCAAAAGACACAGGAAAATGTTCATGACCTTTTTTAATTAAAAAACCCCATTAATTGGTACCTTTGGGAACATTAGTCCTGGGTTTAAAATACTAAATACTTTCAGAGGTTGGTTGGTTACTCATTATACAGGATAATTGTTTAGGTTTCATGTCACCCTGAATTTCTTAATTAAAATTTGTAGCTTTAAAAATGTTTCCATGTTTTGCAAAGTCTGCTTATAAAGAGAAAGTAAATTAAAATTTTATGTTGTCTTAGTATTGCAGCTAAGAAATTCCTTTGTTAGAGCTGGAAAACCTGGTTGTTTTAAATGACATGGGTGAGAGAGTAACTTACTTGAAAATCATGATTGCAAATGTTATGAGATTTTCTGCAGGAGATGTTCTGCCTCTGTCTTTTGGAAGATGGTAACTCCCTGCAGTGAGGGGATTTGCATTGTTGAATTCATTCATGGCTTATTTTATGATACTATTTTGGAAAGCTGGCTCCTGCCATATGAGTAAATTTGCTGTTTCTTCCAAGGTACAGTGACAGCATAAACAGAATTGTTCAATGGGCTAAATTTGACCTTCCTGCTGCCACTCAGTCTGCCCTGCTCTGGGGCACTGAATTTGATATTTATGTCTTAGCAACAGATCTCCAATGTTACACTTGAAATAAATGCTTCAAATCTCTGTGCAAATCCAATTCACCCTCCCAAGCTTTTGTAACTCATGTTTGTTTGTGATCCTCCAGGGCATGTTTTAAGAAACTACCTCGTATCTTGAGCTTCAACACCATGAGATACACGTTTAATATGGTGACCATGATGAAGGAGAAAGTCAACACCCACTTTTCATTCCCTTTACGTTTGGATATGACACCCTACACTGAGGATTTCCTCATGGGAAAGAACGACAGGAAAGAAGGTTTGCTCATAAAATGGATTCAGCAAGCTTTGGTTCTCTGTCTGTGTTACACACTCTGTATTTATTTGTGTATTCACTGCCTGTATACAGAACAGAAGCAAGTAAAATCAAACAGAACTTTAATCAACCTATATTCCCAAAGTCACTGTATTTCACATAAGAAAAATGGCCAATTTTTGGTTTCGAATATTTTTTAATTTGAATTAATCTTATATTTTTTTCATAAAGTAAGAGAGGAATTGCAAATAATTGCATCCAGTTTGTTGCTAATGTTGAAGTTTGGGTGTTAGGAAATAACTGATTGAATATGGTATTGAATTCTTTCAGGTTTTAAGGAAGATGGTGGTGTTTCAGTTTACTGCATTGTTTTTTTATCTTTTTATTTTCTTCCCTAGTAAAGAACTGTTATTCCTGCTCCCATATCTTTTGCCTGAGAGCCCTCTTAATTTAAAATTTATAGCAATTTGGAGGGAGGGGGTTACATTTTCCATTTCAGGGGAGGCTCCTGCCTTCCTTAGCAAACACCTGTCCTTCAAACCCAAGACAGGAAATAACTGATTAAATATGGTGTTGAATTCTTTCAGGTTTTAAGGAAGATGGTGGATATCTGAAGGAAACTGAGAGTTATGAGTATGACCTGATTGGTGTGACAGTTCACACGGGAACAGCAGATGGGGGCCATTACTACAGTTTTATCAGGGACATTGTCAATCCTCATGCTTACAAAAACAACAAGTGGTGAGCTGTGCCATTTCTGTTTCCATGCATGTTTTTAATAACTAAAGCTTGTTGGCTTTGTTAGGTGCAGTTATACAGGGGATGTATCCTGTAGGCTCCTCTGGAAAGCACAGGATGTTGGAATTTGGTAGTTGTAAGGATATTGATTTATTGGCCTGCAGATCAGGAGCCAGGAGGGCTTTGTGGTCCCTCAAACACAGGGGTGGCAGGGAATGCTGTGCTGGCCTCAGCACAGCCAGGGATTGCTTCCTGATGGGACTAGATTGGAATTATTGCAGCACAGAAGATTTCCTAGATTGTCCTTCCTGAAATCTGCTTGGTGCCTTGGCTGAGGATCCAGCTACATTTCTGGCTGGAGAATTTGGGGAAGGGGAGGGACATGGGCATTGGAAGGGAGGAGGGAGACAGAAGAAAGCAGGGAACACTCTGCCTGCTGTTGCTGGATGTGGTATCTCCATTTCTCACTGGAGCCCTGGCATGGGAGACAAGGTTTCCTCTCTCCCTGTTCTCCAGAGCATTTCTGGGACAGAAGCAGCTCCTGACCTAATCCCTGCTCCAGGGGATCCCAGCAGTGCCTCCTTGTTTGGTGTTATTGGAAGGAAGCCACTTTGGGACCAGGTTTTCATTTGCTGGGATCTAAACAAGACATTAGAAATGAATAGGAATATTTCAATCTGAGGAATCTTTGCAAGTGCTCATGAGGCTTTATTTGCCTATTTATTGCCTTGCAGGTACCTTTTCAATGACGCTGAAGTTAAACCCTTCGACTCTGCCCAGCTTGCTTCTGAATGCTTTGGTGGAGAAATGACTGTAAGTTGGCACCTGAATTTTTGTCATGTTCAACTCTCCCAGTATCTGTTACAACCTCTTGCAACCCAGCTCCTTGTATGAGCCTTTAAAGGAAGCTGTCAGAAGTACAGTGCAGGTATTACTAATGAAGCAAAGTTAATTAGTGAAGTGCCTCTCCAAACAGAAGATATTTCTGTACTAAATCTGGTTTTTATCATACCATTTATTCAGACAAAAAAAAAAGAGGAGTCTGAAGCTGATTTAGGAATCAGCTTTTTATCATACCATTATCATACCATTTATCATACCATTTATAAAAAAGCTAATTTAGGAATCCTCACTTGGGGTGGCTGCTTAGCTCAGACCATTGATGAAAAAATAATTACTTCAAGCTTAGGTGTATTCTAGGAAAAAAAGGGGCATTTTGATCTTTGTCTATGTATTATAACTTGTATTATGCCTTGTGTTATGACTGCCTGTGACATCAGTTGGAATATTTTTACACATTATTAATACAAACAACATTCAAATGTTCAAAGGTTGTGCCTGAATTGATCATTATTTACAGCTGTGTACAGGATATAAAGCACATTATGGATAACACAGTATCTTACCAAAACAGTTCTGGGCATAAGACAACTTCTCTTGTCTGGGAAAGACAATATGCTGAAATAAAACCAAAAAATTCCTTTGTTTGGCACATGATAAAATACCTTTAGATGCCTCTAAAGAAGAGGTGTCAGTGAGATGGATGAGCCAGGAAATTGCTTGGGATGGAGGCAGAATATTGCACAGTAGCTTTGAAAATTCAGAATAGGCCAGAGAAGAAAAAAAGAAACACGATTGCTTTGAGCAAGAACCAAATTGTCAGCAACCCTCATAAATATAATGAAATAAATGTGCAAGTGAACTATCACAAACTGTTAGAAACTAAAGCATTAAAAACTTGCAATTAATGGTTTTGCTTTCTTCTTGACAGACAAAAACTTATGATTCTGTTACTGATAAGTTTATGGACTTCTCCTTTGAAAAGGTATTTCTCTTCCAAACCCTTGCTGTATGATTATATTTCTGATTTCATGATTTCTCTCTCAAAGCAAAAATTATACAGATGTTTTTTTCTCCAAGACACACAGTGCTTACATGCTGTTTTATAAACGGATGGAGCCAGAGGAGGAAAATGGCAAAGACTACAAATTTGATGTTTCATCAGAATTGCTGGAGGTACAAGTTGATTTGTTTTAACACCAATTTTAAAACACTCTAGGAGGCCCTAAACACATCAGAAATCTGAATAAACATAGGAAAGCAAAAATCATTTAAAGCACTCAGGTGGCAGTCCTTTCATTTTGGTGTCTTCCTTAGGAGATGCTCATGGGATAGGAAGGGAATTAGGATTTACATTTTATGTGAATTTTGGATGTTTTCTTAATCTGTCCTGTATATGGGATAAATCCCTTTTTGCCACTTGGAAAATTTCATGTCCCTGCTCCCTCTGGCCAGAAGTGTTGCTTCAGCATCTGCCACATTTTAGGTTCTTCATTGAAAATGTCTCTCCATTCCTAGCCAGCAAATCAGATCATGCTTTTATCCTTCTTGGTCTTAAAAATATGAATAGATTTTTATCAGAGTTAAATGTTTAAACTGTATTGCTGTGAAAATCACTATGAATTGATGTGATCAAAACCATCACTTTAGAGAGAGGAACAGGGGACATGCAGAAATCCTGTTCTGGTCTAATAATGGAGATTCAAATCTTACTCTATAGGAATTTATCAGAAGTTCTCAGAGCTCATCAAGCTTTGGGTTAGACTTCAGCTGTGCTTCTTTTTAAACTTGTTCTTCTCAAAATTTTAGCCCAAAACTCTGGATAATTAAGTTGTAAAAATGAGGCCACAGAAAGAGGAGAAGGTTTGAAGCTCTGTTCTGCAGTCCCATGGCAGGCACGACCAATACTCACTGTAGTATGAATAAAACAGCTCTGAGCCAATTCTTTAAACTAAAGAAAGTGCTTTCAGAAAGATTTTTTTGTACTGAAAAATTTTGTGGCTTTTAGCCTTGGAATCATTTAAATATTTTTAAAATCATGCTTAAGTAGTGAAGTAAACTGCTTTCTTGTGTCTGATGGTAGCATTTTTTCTTCAGTGGATATGGCATGATAATATGCAGTTCCTTCAAGACAAGAACATTTTTGAACATACATATTTTGGGTAAGTTTTTCTTTTAAAATGTAATATTAATGCTTCTTTTCTTCTTGCAGATTATCATTGTTTATTTTAATTAACAAATAAAATTACTGACTCTAGGTTTATGTGGCAGTTGTGTAGTAGCATCCCAAGTACACTACCAGATCCAAAAGCGGTTTCTCTGATGACAGCAAAGGTAAGAATTTCCAAAGAATCTCATCCTCTCTTAACTGTTTCCTTGTTGACAGTTTAATTCATGCATTCTAAATTAATGGTTCCATTTTTTTTTCCAGTTAAGCACTTCCTTTGTACTAGAGACATTTATTCATTCAAAGGAAAAGGTATTCCATTTACTTGTAAATTCTTATTAAGTAGCTGCATGAATCTAGTGAAAAGCAGATCTTTACTTTCCATTTTAAAAGTGGGACTTTGAGCTGTAAAATGACCATATATGATGCAAAGTTAATGTTTAGAGTGTCATTTACTCATTTATAGTGAGCACAATGGAATATAATGTGTATGTGAAAGTGTATGGACTGGTATTATCTGTAGGTGCAATGTATTATTCATAAAATGTTTATTGTTTATAATTCTTAAGATTTGGTGCTTTACTGAACCATTTAGAAATGTGTAAAGATTATGCTGAAATTCATTATTTGAAGTTACAGTTTTTCCTGTATTTCTTTTTACAGCCTACAATGCTTCAGTGGATTGAACTGTTAACAAAACAGTTTAATAACAGTCAGGCAGCTTGTGAAGTAAGTGACTTAGGAACTCAGCAAAGTACAAACCAACTTTCTATATATTGTTTAACTTTCCTGGAGGTTCGTATCCCTGGAATATTTTGGACTATGAACTGCTGTATTTGGTATATTTGTGCTCTGTGAGATGAAATTCATCCTCTCTGATTATTGCAGATCCTGGGGAATGACTTAACTTTTATTTGCAGAAACCTCTCTTGAGACCACAAGCCCAAATAATTTTGTCACTGGAATAAGAGAGAGCCAGCGTCACAAACTCTTTATTTGATTAATTTTGACGTAGTGACTTGTGTAGTGAAGACCTGCTTAAATTAACTCACACAAGAGACATGGAAGGACAAAGAATTTGCTGTGGTCTTGTTGAAAGCAATTTTGAGATATTGAAGAAAAGTTTTGAGGGTTTCTGTGATAATTTAAATGTAAAAGGAGTGTAGCACAGACTGTGTCCTGCCTTAGACTTTATTCAGTAGAAAGGTGTTAAATCCATGATGCTTTTATAAATTGATTCAAATTGGATAAATTATGTGACATTCAGTATTTGGGTGTACATTTGTCTCAGTGGGGTGTAGTCCTGAGATGTTTGAGTGAAGACGTTTAATGTAGTAAAGAATACTCAAGTACAGTTAAAAGTAAGAACGTTGACTCTTCATTTTAAACTGTCTTTCCTTGTGACTCAAACAAAATTCTGGGAGTGAGAAGACTGAGCTGTGTTATTTGCTGAGTCTGACTTGGAATGAGTCATTCTCTGTTAGTTTTATACTTTTTGGGTCTCTGGAGGCCGTGAGGCTTTTCCACATGTTAAAATGCAAAAGAGATCTAACTTGGGAAGCTCTGTTTAATCCTATCACTCTTGTACAAGTTTCTTCAGGTTATACTTTTTTGTAAGCATAGTTTTTATGCTGTTGACATCACTTTGCAGGATAAATGTGTTCTTCCAGGTAATTTTCTAATGGCATGCAGAGCACAGGGATAAGAAGATACCAGATATAAATTCATATTGCTGTTTACTGCCATTGATCTTTATTTCTTTATTCCTTCGTGCACAGAAGACATTTTAGATTTCCCTTGGATTAAAACTTGCCTATTCCTTAATAATAGTAACATCGATTTCTCTTCAGACTTTAATATCATGCAAAACAGAAGATTGGACTAGAGCAAGTGTGGAACAAAACTAACACAGTATGTATCTTCTGCAGTGGTTTTTGGATCGTATGGCTGATGATGATTGGTGGCCAATGCAGATTCTAATAAAGTGTCCCAATCAGATTGTGAGGCAGGTAAGAAAAAAGTTCCTTTCCAAGTCAGGTGACTGCTTGAGCTGTGAGCAGAAACAGCCTGGTCTGGTGGCTGATTCTGCCAGTTTCAGTGAATACCTGAGCTGGCTGGAGGTGTTTGGCCATGGGAGTGCTACTGTTTGAAACAACCCAGCACAGCTGTACAGGCAGCAGCACTAAAGCACAGTAGATGCAATTTAAGGTTTCTGCCTCTCCCTCTTGATCTCTACAAATCTGAACACTTTACATTAAAAAAATGTTTTTTTTCTGAATTAATTCAACAGTAGTTCATCAAGCTCTGCCGTCAGAAAACAAAAAAAATATCAAGCTGTTTACATTCAGTACTCCTCAAAGCTCCAGTTTGACACTTCTGTAGTAAATTTTTGTGGGTAGAGGTAATTTTACAGTATTATACCACAAAACTTTGTTAATACCCTTTTCTGGAAATACTTAAAAAAAAAAACCCTATATTAGTAGCATTTGGACTTTCACAAATCCAGCTGTTAATAATGTCACTTACAAGTGTCCTTTCTTTGCAAATTGTTCAGGTATAAACTTTAACAGTTACTCTATGTCACCTGAATTCTTCAATTGGATTTCTGGCTATTAAGTGACATTTCCATGCAGACCCATACAGAGTTTTTGGATGCAATGCATCAGTAAAAGAATATATTTCATGGGAAAACTCTGTGCAAGGTAGGCAAAGTCTTCTCATGAATGCTTTGCAAATAAAAATTACTGGAAGGAATTTCCTTCAAATTTTCACATGAATTCTATGAGCCAGCAGCAAAATTAAAAAGCATCTTGCCAAAAATATCAAAATGTTTCAGGCAGTAGAGATAGAAGGGAAAAAGCAGAGTCATGTTTGAGTGCACATCAATATTAAAGGCTGGGTTTAGGGTTCCTCCATGAGATCTGTTCATAAAAACCAGGTTTGGCTCTACTGTTAAAATTCAATCTCAGCTTTGTCTTTCAAACTTTGCACCTGTGAGGAGCTGGCAGTAGAACTTGGAGACAGAATATTCTTTGCTTAGGAGTGACACATTGTCCTTTTTGTGAAGGACTGAGGGTGTGCAGCTCATTCCCTTCTCTGCTTGCAGATGTTCCAGCGCTTGTGTATCCACGTGATCCAGAGGCTGAGGCCAGTGCATGCTCACCTGTATCTGCAGCCAGGAATGGAGGACTGGTAAAATAAACCCCCTGCCACCCTCTGGTCATTGCTGCAGCTGCTTTTATTGATCAGTCACTCAAAGCAGTCATGGAAAGCTGGAATAGTGCTAATTGTTCTTCTTATTCTGCCCAAACTGCTCGGATTTATTTAAAAATACCAGTAGGGTTGCAAAGGGCAGTGTCACATGGTTTGAAACATTTGCTCCCTTAGAGTAGGTTTTCAGCATGGTCTTTGTTTTTCCTATCACTTGGACACTGCAAGTGTAAATCTCAGTGCTCAGACTTGAGAATCCTTCTGTGAATTGGATCTGGAGGCACAAAGGTGGAAGTTTTTATTTGTACATCCTGTAAGAGAGTTTGGAGATCAGAGTTTAATCCTATAACTAAATTGCAGGTTTTGTCAAAAAGGAGGAAGGGCCCTCTTGGATTCTCCTTTGCTCTGCTTATCATCAAGAAAACTGTCACTTTATCTCCAATTACAAGATACCTAAACTCTTTTTGATACATGATGAGAAGAAAAAAGTGGTTTTTCTTTTACCTCTTGTGTTAAAGTTGTGATTGTGCCAATAAATTTTCCCCAGAGTGAAAATGGCAGAGTTAGTAATAACTATGCTGCCATATCAAAATTCAGGACGTGAAGATACAATTTTCATGGCAAAAAGCAGAATTGAATTTGCTTTGGAAGCCTTACTTGTGTCTGTGACTTGGCTTTGTTCAGTGACAAGGTCCAACCCTGAGCAGATGTCTGAGGCTGAAATTCTCATTAAGTAGCTGTATGAATCTAGTGAAAAGCAGATCTGTACTTTCCATTTTAGAGGTGGGATTTTGAGCTGGAAAATGACCATATATGATGCAGAGTTAATGCTGAGAGTGTCTGAGGCTGAAGGTGGATGGTGCTGTTGTGTTCAGGAGGGTGCCCTGCCTTGGTTCCGTAGCTACAATTGCATTCCCAATAAATTCAACAAGCAAATCAAGAGGATGATTTTAAGTAGGAGATCCCCAGTACTGTTGTTCTGAGAGTTCTTTTCCTGAGCAGCATCTTGATTCACAGCCCCAATTTGATCAACTCTTCAGCATTTCAAGTGCCTGACGCTCCCTCAGGTTGGGCTGGCTGTTACCCAGGCTGTGGCTAAGGGCTGTGAGGGGTCTGAGAGGAGCAGGAATTGTGGTGAATGCTCTGTTTGCACTGGCTCAGGGTGGCTCTGTGCCGTGTGCTGTGTGTGCCATGGGCACGCTGGCTGTCGTTGCTGCAGCTCTGATGACATGGACGGGCCCGTGGAGGACATCGGCAGCCGCTCGTGCGTGACGCGCTTCGTGAAGACGCTGCTGTCCATCATGGAGCACGGCGTCAAGCCCCACAGCAAGCACCTCACCGAGTACTTCGCCTTCCTCTACGAGTTTGCCAAAATGGGAGAGGAGGAGGTGGGTACAGCCCTGGCTTTGGGCAGGTGCTGCTGGCTCTGCACAAACGGATTTTCAAATAATCCCATCATCCCTGCGTTTTTCAGAGCCAGTTCTTGCTCTCCCTGCAAGCCATATCCACAATGGTCCACTTCTACATGGGAACCAAAGGGCCTGAGAATGTGAGTTGGAGTATTTTATATAACAAGAGCTAATCGTGCCTCTTTTACATCTCTCATCATTACTGCTGTGTCTTGAAGCATCTTTCAGCTGTTACACTAAAATTGCTTCACTTCCACAATTGTTTTCAATGTTTAAGTGAATAGAATATTTTAAAAAATGTTGACTATTATTATTTAGTATAGAAATAGGCAATGACTAAAAGCAATTAAAGTTGCCCTTAACTTGATACTAATGGTAATGCTATTAACAGTTGATTACTTACTCCTGTTGTACAGCTTAGGTTCTTAAATTTACCTGCTCTTTTTGTGGAATAGACCATATCTTCAGCCAGCCTACCTCTTGCATTTGTAAATACAATTTTGCATGTGCAAAGTGCATGTTTCAATGTGAGAGTCAGTTGATTAGGTACTTACCTGCTTTGGTTCATGCAAGTTGATGGAGTTGTTTGCTATAAAGGGCAGGGTAATGTAAAGGCCTTTGAAATGAAGGCACAGAATGTCCACACTGAGGTTTTCTGGATTTTTCTTAGCCCCAGGTGGAAGTGCTTTCTGAGGAAGAAGGGGAGGAAGAGGAGGAAGAGGAAGATATCCTTTCTTTAGCAGAAGAGAAATACAGGCCTGCTGCTCTTGAAAAGATGATTGCCCTGATTGCTCTTCTGGTGGAACAGTCTCGCTCAGAAAGGCAAGAGCTTCTGAAAAAACAAAATCCGTTTGGAATTTACAGTTCAGAAGGGAGTCAGAGATATTGTGGGTTTGTCTGAGGGTTTTATTGTGGGCTTTTTTAGCAGCATAAATAAGCTTGTGTATGAGCCCATGATATTTTTAATAACTTAAAAAGAGACTGTCATTGTCCCACACCCAAATGAAAGACCTGGGTTAAATACTTGAACACATTCAATTGGCCGCATTTGGTTTTCTTTTGTTATCTCGGTCAAGTACAGCTTTTTTTTTTGTTGTTGTTCAGTTTGCATCAACATCTTTATTGTCTCTTGTATATTGTGATACTGAAGGGTATGAGCTAACTCTCAGTCCTGAGTGTCTCCCTAACCATAATAATGGCTGAGATAAAATGATAATTTTCTTTTGTGTTTTAGGCATTTGACCTTGTCACAGAACGACATGACAGCACTGACAGGAGGAAAGGTAATCAAGTTAAAAATGGCTGCTATAGCCTGCCAAGCCCTGTGTGCTGTGTAGCTGTGGGCAGTGAGCTGGATCTGCTTGTTTCTTGCAGGGTTTCCCTTTTTTATTCCAACATATCCGTGATGGGATCAACATCAGGCAAACCTGCAACCTCATTTTCAGTCTGTGCCGCTACAACAATCGCCTGGCAGAGCACGTGAGTAGCTCTGGAGCTGCTCTGTGAGATCTCCTCGAGCAGTCTCATGGGGTAATTGGTGTTATTTGAACTCAATAAACACAAGTCTAATGGGTTTTGTGTGTTTTCTTTTCAAGATTGTGTCCATGCTGTTCACATCTATAGCAAAGCTGACTCCTGAGGTACGTAAACACACCACCTGTCCAGTAAATAATCTGTGGTCATATTTTCCTGCTTTACATCACAGAAATAATCCTTTGCTCATCAAAAATCTTGCATGGAAGATGGAAGTTTTTGTGCCATTGAACGAAGTCTAACTGCACTGTTTGTGGAATTTTGTAAAACAGAAATTTGCTGTGCCACTTGGGATGAAAGTTTTATTCAAATCAAATAACATTTCTAGATTCTCCAACCATAGGAATTTCTTTTAAAAAGTTGGTAACATTAAAGCATTGTGTGCAATAATAAGTGGAGATAATTACTTATTATCAGACTCTTAAAGATTTGGGGCACTGTTTTGCAGTTCTGTGCTGGCGAACACATTTCTCATTCAGAGTAAATTCCTGCCCTGGTAATAACAGAAATACTGAGAGTTCCAAATGGATTCCAGATGCAAAATATATAATTATACTTGTAACCACTTTGTTGAAACATTGTTAAAAACTGGATGAGTCTTGGCAGTGTAAAACCTCCAAATGAGATGCTTTTGGATAAACTTCCCAGGGTCCATATTCCATGTTATGTAAATACATTAAAATGATAACTTATCTGAGCTAGTGATATAAACCATGATAAATGGGTGAATTCTTCAGCAATGAGGAGCTTGATGCTTTCCTTTTTCCAGAATAATGTCTATATTTCCTATAAATAAATACATATATATATTTCCTGTAACTTCTCCTAGACTGTTCCTGTCTCATATGATCCTGTTGCTTTGCACTGACTGTAACCAGAGGCTTAATTTATAGCTATATATGGATTATGTACAGATTAAATAGTAAGGGATTAAAGTATTATAAATGTTCATGTCTGAAGTTCGTAGACAGACACTGAGATTTTTTAAAAATACTCTTAAAAAAAAGGTGGATGAAATTAAATAGATGAAATTGAATATTTCCCCCCTTTTCTGCATTACAGGCAGCCAATCCTTTTTTCAAATTGCTCACCATGCTCATGGAATTTGCTGGTGGACCTCCAGGAATGCCACCCTTTGCTTCTTACATTCTGCAGAGGATATGGGAGGTACAATATGTAAAATAAAACAAAGCTAAATTTTCTTTCTCTTGTTGCTTCTTTTATGTCTCTTTTGCTTTTTGTTGTCATCCTTCCTTCATCAGTCCATGATTTTTTAATTATCATTCCTCTTCTGAATAAACTGCAACAGCCAATAGACATTAAAAAGTTCTATTGTAACTTAATGGCTCTTCCTGTTTAAGTTCAAATTTTAGTTTATTGAGAAATTAATTGATTCATAATAAGGGCCTAGAATGCTTTTTCTAGACAAATTCCACATTGTTTTCTGTTATCCTTTTGCAAGGCCTGTAAAATGTTTCAACACCCATCATTTGGTTGTGGGTTTTTCTGGCCTTTTATGTACAGATTGCTTGAATATTCATTTGATATTTTTGGGTCTCTGTAAAATGTCCATTAACACTTTTAATGCATAAAATAGTGCCAGACTGAGTCTGCTGGATAATTGCTGTGTGCAGGACCAACCTTGCTTGTGTTTCCAAATGAGAGAGAGACTTTTGAACCAAATGGGCACAGGGATGAATTCCTTTATCTGAGTCACAGATGAGCATTAAAGGTTTCTGTTCACCTGCTGCTCTCTGAGCTCCTGGTACAGCTCAGTGTCTTCATTCCTGGCTGAGAGCAGCATGGCCAGCCTGGAGGCTGCTGAGGACCAGCTCATTCCCTTTCATTCCCTTTAAAAATGGGGCTGGAGCACTCTGGGAGGGACATGGATTTGCTGTTCCAAAGGGTTTCCTGTGGTCAGGAGAGGCTGTAGGATCACAAGTGATGTGATGGATGAGTTCACACAGCACATCTCGAGGGGCACAGTGACACCCAGCTGGTGACACAGGTCCAGGGATATAAATTGTGCAGGCAGGGATGTGAGAGCCAGCAGTGAATGCACAGACTTGGGGTGTAGGCTCCACTTTCACAGCCTCTCCAGCTTCTGGAAGTCATTAAAAGTGATTGAGCTCTGCAGACACTGAGAAATGATTGTATCTTTCTTGGACATTCCCTCCAGCCATTACCCAGGAAACCTGACAGAGCAATTTGTCATTTCTAAATAAAGGGAGGAGATTGTTCTTAAGGTGTTTATTTTTAAAATGAGATGAAAATTTTATAAGGAGAAATTATGGTCGTGTCAGCTGCTCATGTTCTTCAGGTGGAGTAGGGGAACTGGGAACAGCTTCAGCAACCCAATTACTACCTCTGGTTCCTTAGAGTAAAACTTCTTCTTGTCTGGGCACCTGGGCCTTGAGGTAGAAAGAAAGTTGTTTTTAAAAACTAAATAAAAGAACAAATGACATTTATTGGCCTCATGTCAACAGATTTCCAGCTACACAGAGCCAGAAAAGCTCAGGAAGCTTTGTTTTCTCCTTATTCTCTCAAGGTTTGCACAGCAGCATTCATTGCCTTTGGAAAGAACTGGATGGATTTATTCCTTGAAATTGTATATTCAGTAAAAATGCAGTAGTTACCCTCAGCATGAAGCTGTAGGATCATCTTTGCATAGCATTTATTTTCTTTTCATGTAACTTATAAATATACTGATTCAGTGTTAAGGCTTTGTGTTAGATATTTTTAAAAAATACTTGTCTGTAAAGACAAGGTTGTTCCATCTTGGTGCTTAGTATTTCAACTCCTAAATATCTCATAATATGCAGAAAGAATAAGCAGAGTAATTTCCTGGGCTTAGACTGAACTTCCAAAACTCTGAACAAGGTTCAGAAGCACAAACCAGTGAAATTTAATAAGGTTTTCTTTGTGTGCAGAGCAGCTCAGTCTTGCAGGAGCTTTGATAGCCCTAAGTGATTTTAAAAACAAACGTTGAGGGTGATTTTAGGGGTTTCTAATACAATCAGTGCATAGTAGGAAGATGAATGTACTCCTTTTGATCCCCCTCTGCTGCAGGTGATTGAGTACAACCCCTCGCAGTGCCTGGACTGGCTGGCTGTGCAAACCCCTCGCAACAAGCTGGCTCACAGCTGGGTCCTGCAGAACATGGAGAACTGGGTCGAGCGTTTCCTCCTGGCACACAACTACCCTCGAGTGAGAACTTGTAAGTGGATTTTAATTGGAGAAAATTTGTCACCTCTTGCAGTGAGTTGCATGCTCCTGCGTTTGTCTTTTCTTCCTTTTCTAGTTCTTTTAGAATTGCTGGGTTTTAAAATCTTGGGATAATTGTGGTGTCTCATGCAGAGGTGTTACCAGTTTTGATGAAAAAACTGTTTTCCTTTGGTACCTTGAATGATACATTGGTAGGTTCTTTATTCTAAGAGGTTAATCTGCAAGGTCCAGGAAAAGCTAAAGAAGGAAAAGGGGTAATTCCAGAGGTTTTCCATTCTGTCCATCACGTGGCTGTACAATAGGTGGGAGGAGTACATGTTGTTCTTCCACAGGAATCTCCAGCTGAGTCCTTTGAACTTGTGGATCAAGGAGAAGCTGTCTGTGCTTTCTCCCAGATTCCAGGGTATCCTGGTTCTCTGGTTTGTCCTGATGGGAATCACACTGTCACATGGCCAGAGAACATTTTCAGCCTTCCCTGTGTCCATTTTCTTAACAAAGGAGGCTCCACAGTACAGGCCACTGACGTTTAACACGTTTCTGTGGCTGAGGGAGATGAGAAAACTGGAGGTACAGCTTTGCAACAGGCTCCAGTTGTAAACATCTCTGAGGAGGTGATGGCCTCTTGGTTGAGCAGTGGACAGCTTCACTCATGGGAAACCTCTGGGATGCATTGTGTGATGGGATCTGGGGTCCCGTTCTGTGCTGGGATGCATTGTGTTAGCTCAGGGAGAGCCAGGCAGCAGCCAGGGATGTAGGTGGCACATCCCAGCACCACTTTTAACGTGCTTTGTGCTACTGTTACCCGCTTGGGTTTTTTCCTAGTGTGAATACAGTAACACCAGCTTCTGTAAAACGCTTAGAAATGTGTAAGTGGAGCAGGGGGTGCAGTTGAATTGCTGTTTGCATGGCTGTTAAGCAGGTATGTCACTGTCAAAGGTGTAACAAATCTGTTTTTATTTGAAGCTGCAGCCTATCTCTTGGTGTCGCTTATTCCGAGCAATTCCTTCCGTCAGATGTTCCGCTCGACGCGCTCCTTGCACATCCCCACGCGGGACCTGCCCCTCAGCCCCGACACCACTGTAGTCCTGCACCAGGTCTACAACGTGCTCCTGGGCCTGCTCTCACGGGCCAAGCTCTACGTGGACGCCGCCGTGCACGGCACCACCAAGCTGGTGCCCTACTTCAGTTTCATGACCTACTGCTTGATCTCCAAAACCGAGAAGCTCATGTTCTCCACGTACTTCATGGACTTGTGGAACCTCTTCCAGCCCAAGCTCTCGGAGCCCGCCATCGCCACCAACCACAACAAGCAGGCCCTGCTGTCCTTCTGGTACAACGTGTGCGTGGACTGTCCCGAGAACGTGCGCCTGATCGTGCAGAACCCCGTGGTGACCAAGAACATCGCCTTCAACTACATCCTGGCCGACCACGACGACCAGGACGTGGTGCTCTTCAACCGCGGCATGCTGCCCGCCTACTACGGCATCCTGCGCCTCTGCTGCGAGCAGTCGCCCGCCTTCACCCGCCAGCTGGCCTCCCACCAGAACATCCAGTGGGCCTTCAAGAACCTCACCCCGCACGCCAGCCAGTACCCAGGGGTAAGTGACCACCGTGTGCCAGTCCCTCATTCCCCTGTCCCCTCTTGTGGGAGCCCAGGACATCCCTCTGGCTGTCCAGGATGGCCAGGACCCCTGCCAGGGACTCAGAGACCCTGGCACAGAGCCCAGAACACCTGGGGGTTTGATTGTGACCCGTGGAGCAAATCACCAACCTTACATGAAGATCAGCAAGCCACAACAGTTTAGGTAGAACAATAGTGAAGTTATCACAGGGTGGAAAAGTAGATTTTAGGGTTTCTGGTATGGGGGTTCAGGGGGCAGGATGGAGGGAACTGGGTGTGTCCAGCCTTTCTCCTTCTTCTTCTTGGCCTCCATCTTCTGCTGTGATGTTGGCACTTCCAGATTGGTTTAGAGTAGAAGCTCGCTGTGTAACATGGGTGATAGGTATTGGGCAGTAATTGTAAATATTGTACAGGTAGTTTTTAGTATAAAGACATAACCCCACCCCAGGGGCAGGCACAGTGCCTCTGTCTGTCCTGCTGGACGGACCTGGCAGGGCAGGAGAAAACTTTTTATAGATAAGGAACAATAACCAACCTTGAGAATGAGAACTGAAGAGCTCTGACTCCTTCTTCAAGTGCTGGGCTGGGAAAAGAGACTTTCTAACTTTTGTCAGGGTCACTCTGACAAGCTAAAGATCCTGACACCCTCTCACCTGGTGTCTCTTGTAGCTTAACATGCCCAGTGGTGAAAGTGTTCCCTCAGGGTTTCCTGGTGGAAATAATTCCTGTCTTTAGATCCATTAGATGGACTTCAGGGGGGGTTGGTTTGGGTTCTCCTTGCTGTGTAGCACTGCAGAGCAGTTGTTGTTTTCTGGGTGTTTCCACTGTTCAGTATTCCAGCCTAGTCATAAGAAACAAGGAATGAGCTTTGATGATGGTCTCTAGAAGGACGTTGCATTGTAACAAAGATGGAGGAATTCCCAGTTTCTTCTTTGCTTCTGAATAGGGCCAAGACTTGGCCTGTAGCATTCCAGGGGAGGACAGCCTGGTGCTCCTCTTGGGAACAGCCAGGTACCTTTGGCAGCATAAAACCAAGATTCATTCTTGGCACCTGTAGGGTGCTGTGTTCAGGGGAGATCCTAAACTGGGAAAATCCATGGTGCAAGACAAGTGGCTCAGAGGTCATTGTGGCCGTGCAGAAAATGGGATTTTGGAATGGGATTTTTGCTGCAGGAGGGGGCAGCCAGCACAACTGGACAGGTCCAGTTGTCAGAAGGACCTGGAGCAAACATCTGTCAAGGATATTTTAGTCTGCCTTTAGCCATGTGGCTGGACTGGATGATGCTTTCAGGTTGATTCCAGTCCCATTTTTATATAGTTTCTATGAAAAATTCTTGTAACTCTTTTTGTGTCACTGGTTTGCATTTTCTGGGGAAAAGTGTAGTAGAAGGAGCTGGAATTACAGAGACAGTGCAGTGCTATTGGAAAATTGAGTTTTCAGGAGCTGGGAGTTGTGCTGTCAGTGACACACGGGGACAGCAGCAGAGAGCAGGTGCTGGGTGAAACACTCTGTGTGTGATGCTCAAACAACAGGACTGGAGAGACTGGAGAGAGCAGGGCTGGGTGTGCATGATTACACTGTGAATATTGCTCTGGGATCCTTTGGGCTCTGCAGGGACACAAAGGATACAAAGCTTCCCATCACTGTGCAGAGGAGGAGGATGCAGGGAATCTTCCATATTGAACTTCTGCCTAGATCAGCTCACAGGGAAATTTTACATGTGCCAGTCCCATTGCTCTCCCCGTTGGCATCTCCCCTCAGAAGTCTGTCTGTCTGGCAAGGGACCTGAGGTACCCCACTGTGTTTGGGGTTTGCCAGGCCTATGGGGCTGCAGCAGGGTTTGGCACAAGCAGCTTTCTGAATGTTTGGTCCCAGGGATGGGGATTTCAGATTGCTTTGTACATATGAATGTGACACATGTACATGATGTGCACATAGGTGCAACAGTGAGCTGTGCTCTTAGGCAGCATCAGAATATCCCATTTTATAACTTTGACAGAAAGTCTGAACCGTACCATAGTGAGAGAGCTGACTCTAACCAAGGATTTCTGTGTGTTTTAGGCAGTAGAAGAGCTGTTTAACCTCATGCAGCTGTTTGTAGCTCAGAGGCCAGACATGAGAGAGGAGGAGATCGAGGACATAAAGCAATTTAAGAAAACCACCATCAGCTGTTACCTGCGCTGCTTGGACGGACGCTCTTGTTGGACAACTCTCATAAGGTACAGCCCTGTGCTCATCCCCAGCCCAGCTGGAATTCCATCCCCAGCCTCCCCCAGGAGCAGAGCTGTGGTTCCAGCTGCTGCTGCTGGCAGTTGATACTGTGGAGCAGAAATGGGATGTAGGAATGGTGCCTGTGGGACAGTTTGATTGTATTGTGTCTTCAAAGAGTGTTTCATTTCTGCTCTGAGGAGGTGCAGCTGAAAGTGCTGCTTGGGCATTCTCAGCAGAGCTATAAATTGCTGTGCATGTAGGTCAGGGCTGGGGTTTTCCATGGAGCTGTTGGGGCACTGAAAGCCTGCTGCAAAGGACAGGCTGTGGTACCTGGAGGGCTGCCTGCACTCACCTGGCACTGACCTGGCACAGCCACCTTGTCCCAAATCATCTTTATGGTGAAAGAAACCATTCCTTAGCATAATGCTTTCTGTTCTGCTGCAAGCATAAATCATTCTGATAACAATGTTTTCAGACATTTAAAAGGCCAAACAGATGCTTGACTGAGTCTATTTAAATGTGTCATTTAAGAAGCATAAACTTCTGTCTTTCCAAGAACATAGTTTTCCATATTTTTGCAGGGGTTGTATGGGAAATATTTCTGTAAAGGTTATATTTAAATTACTTTCCATAACATAAAGGAGGTTGATGGCAGAGGCATTTTTAAATTAAAAAGGAGGGGAATAATGATGAGAAGAATTATGTTATTTTGGGGCTTCTTTGTTCTTTTGTGATTATTTTCCAAAATAACAGCATGAGTATAGCAATTTTAAGCTTGGGATGAGATTTTCAGTGTTCTCAATGTTTGGATTTTTTTCCTAGTGCCTTCAGAATATTATTAGAATCTGATGAAGACAGACTTCTCGTTGTGTTCAATAGAGGATTGATTCTGATGACTGAGGTAATTACTTTGTTATTTAATTATAGCAAACATCTCACCCTGGTGCTTCCCCTGTCAGCTTTAATAAGATTTCTTTTTAGTACTAAAAAGATGAGGAAATTATTTGTCTGCCTCTCAGGACAGAGGGAAAACCACCAGCAGATTATGCTGAGAGGAATAAATTGATGCTTTTTTGCTGTAATTTCTTTTATTACAGGTAATTGGGAATGAGTGGCTGAGGCAGTCACACAGTTGTTAGTACTTAAAAAGTGTTAAGACAACAGGTTAAAAAGCAGAAGTAACTTAAAGGGTGCTCAGCTGCAGTTGTGGTTGATATTTCTGACCCTCCTTTGAGGCAGTTCTCCTCTTCTTTCCTACCTGTTGTGCCTTTGTTTGCAAGGAGTGGTCTGAAACACAAAAACTCGATTTCCCTCTGATGGAACTAAACCTAAAATGCATTTCTGGAGCACATCTAATTGTTGTAAATGGATTTTTGGTCCATGAGACCAGACCAGAATTATTTCAAAATTGAATGGGAAAAAATGAAATTATGCACCTCTGACATGGATGCAGTTGGGGTGTCAGGGCCCTGCTGCCTGCAGTTTCACTCTGCACATCCACATGTCCTGATGGGTGGAACATCCTGGACTCCATCCAGCACCCCATGGTTGAGGTGATGGATGAGAACCTGTGTTCATGGAAAGCACTGGCAGTGCTCCAGGGGCAGGATCCCTTTGAGAACAAGAATTAAAATCTGCACATGTTAGAGAAAGCATAAAACCAAGATTCATTCTTGGCACCTGTAGGGTGCTGTGTTCAGGGGAGATCCTAAACTGGGAAAATCCATGGTGCAAGACAAGTGGCTCAGAGGTAATTGTGGCCTTGCAGAAAATGGGATTTTGGAATGGGATTTTTGCTGCAGGAGGGGGCAGCCAGCACAACTGGAAGTTGTCAGAAGGACTTGGAACAAACATCTGTCAGATATTTTATCTGCCTTTAGCCATGTGGCTGGACTGGATGATGCTTTCAGGTTGATTCCAGTCCCATTTTTATAAAGTTTCTATAAAAAATTCTTGTAACTCTTTTTATGTCACTGGTCTGCATTTTCTGGGGAAAAGTGTAGTAGAAGGAGCTGGAATTACAGAGACAGTGCAGTGCTATTGGAAAATTGAGTTTTCAGGAGCTTGTTATAAATATAAGGCTATAGATTTATTAATTGTAGTGAATTACTCCAGCATATCTGTTCCTTTTTGTTGTGAAAATGTCTCCATCCAGTAAACTGGGTGTAAAAGTTCAGGAACTGGGCTGTAAGGTTATCCATACATGAAATGTAAGTAGATCAAGGTACAGACATAGATATGTACAAAAAGGATTTGGTTCAGCTTAGTTAGCCCTCATCCGTACTAACAATGGGTAATTAAGTTTGTGAAGAGTGTGTAATATAAAATGAATTTATCCTGTGTAAAGCATTGCTAGAAATGAAATTAAATTGATGATACTTTCCAGCTTGAGGTTAGCAGCAGGCCTTTTATTGTCCCTTGTTGGCTGGAAGTGTTTTACCTGGAGACAAAAACCTGCATGAAGGAGTTGTCACATCCAGGAAAGTTTTCCACTCAAGGGTGGCTGTGTTGTCTTTTGTCTTCACTGCAATATAAAAAGGGCCTGGCAAGGGTTTGCATTCTCGGGGCTGAGGCTGCTGTTCCTTTATCTTTCAAATACTCAGCAGATTAAATATCTGCTCTTACATCCTGTGCTGGGATTTTTGCAGCTCGGAAATGAGTTGCTTTGCCTTCCCAATATTTCTATAAATCACAGATGCCCACAAGGTATAAAAGGAGAAGTAATTCATCTGATGTACAACCGTATATCCTTCAGCAGCATCTTGAAAAATGACTGGCATCCATCTTAATCCTACCTTTTTTGCCCCAGATTCATATATCTGTCTTTGTGCACCTCTTGTATCACTTTGTCTGCTGGCTAAGGCAGGCTGGGATTACAGGGATATAAAGATACTGTGTCTCAAATGCCATTTTGTTCACTGGGTTGAAGATAAAGGTGTGAAAGCTTGGTAATTATTTTGAGCTGGTTACACAAACCTTTTACTTGGAAAACAAATGAAGAACTTTGTGATTATATCCAACACCTTGTATTTTTTGAGTATAAAATACCTTGTTTGAGCATAAAATAAATGTAAATCTATCTGCAGGATAAAAAGAGGAATTCTGACAAGTACCTTAGTTTGGCAACATAAAATTTTGGCATTTTTTTTCTTCTTCCCAGTCCTTTAACACATTGCACATGATGTACCATGAGGCCACAGCTTGCCACGTGACTGGAGACCTGGTGGAGCTTCTGTCCATTTTCCTCTCGGTTCTGAAATCCACACGGCCCTATCTGCAGAGAAAAGGTTTGCTTATAACTCTTGAAAGGATTATGTCTCTTGTTTCTAAATTAATTTTCTTCACCCAAGCCCTAGTGTTTTTTCTTGCTTACTAGCTGTTTTTAAAAACTTGCTGTACAGTGGAATATGTATCTGTTAATGGATATTAAATTGTTGCTTACTGACTTAATACCAAACTAGATTTCATCAATTTAACAGCAGTAGACCAGTGAGATTTAACAAATTCCTAGAAGCATTAAGACCATGGTAGAGGAAAAAGAGACTCCTCAGCAGTAAAATTCTGTGCTTCTTCTAACAAGCTTTTGAGGCATGAGCTAAGCAGCCTCCTGGGATGTTTGCATTGCAGATGTGAAGCAAGCTCTCATTCAGTGGCAGGAGAGGATTGAATTTGCCCATAAGCTCCTGACTCTGCTCAATTCCTACAGTCCTCCTGAGCTGAGAAATGCCTGCATTGGTAAGTCCTGGCCCTGCAGACCTGTCCTGCACAGCCCCTGCTGTGAGCTGGAAATGCCACTTGCTCAAGGGCTCTGCAGGGAGCTGGAGGTGGGGATGGTTGGTGTGGCACTGATGTCAGTGCCTCTGATGCTGCTCACACAGCTCTGGGTTTGGCAGCTTGCTTTGAATATTCCTGTGCTCAGTTCAGGCTTGCACACTGGGGGCACAGAAAGCCACAGGTCACTTTGTCAGACTGATTGGCCACCTGGTAAGGGGCATGACTGAGGAGGAGCTCCTCAGTTCAGGTGTGGCTGAGTTTAGAGTCAAACCCTAAATCTGACATTAAAATTCAAACAGGAACTAAAGCTCCCCTCAGAAGGGAGCGTGGAAACCAAGTTATTCTGAGAAACAGCTTTTCCTGTTAATTTTTATGATTCAGTACTGTGAAGTGCAATAGTGGAACTAAAGCATAAATAGCTTGTAGAGGGGAATGGATTTGCTTTTTAAAGTGCAGACACAGATAATACATACAAATGCCTCTCTTGCATTAGCAGAGCTATTTCAGAAAGGCCCAGGTTTTTTCTAGCTTAGACTTTTCTAATATTCTTTAATGGATTGCTGGTAAAGGCCTCACACTGTGTCCAGAACCCTTTTTGTGTGTGATTTGTATGCGTTTCCCCCTATTTTGAGTATTTTCTCGTTGTGCTCCTGACTGCTGCTGGTTGCCCTTTTCCAGGCATCAGACCTGCTCTGTTAAAGAAGAAGCAAAGAGGGTAATTGTGCAGAGGTTCTCCCTGTCCAAGCTGGCCCCTCCCTGGTGGTTGCTGCAGCACTGAGCAGGGTCTCTCCCAGGGCAGAGGTGAAGGGAGTTGGGATGGAGCCAGGGGTGTCACACTCAGGTGCTGCTCATGGCAGAAGGGATACGAGAGAGAGTTTGCAAATGTATGAGCCTTAAGTTGAACTGTTTGCTGTTAAGAAATAACAATTTGTAATAGCAAAAACAACTTTTTGTTTGTAGATGTCCTCAAGGAGCTTGTACTTTTAAGTCCTCATGATTTCCTACATACTCTGGTTCCATTTCTACAGCACAATCATTGTACATACCACCACAGTAATATCCCAAGTAGGTATTTCAGTGATTGTCTTTTGAAGTTCTCTTACACTGTTATTACTCTATCCTGTTCCTTGCTGATGTCAAATATTGACCTTTTTAATATTATCCCTATTTTATCCGAACTTACACTACAGTGTCTCTTGGACCTTATTTTCCATGTCGTGAAAATTTGAAATTAATAGGGGGGAAAAGCAATATTCGTCCTCCACGGCCCGAGCTCAACATGTGCCTCTTGCCCACCATGGTGGAAGCCAGCAAGGTATGTAAACAAGTGGTCCTACAAAGAATCATTTCTCTGTTGTTTTCCCATTTGTATAAAGGTGTTGGCAGAATCCAGTAGCTCAATGCATTTGCCTTTTCTTTGTAAACAAAGCATAATTCTTCTTCAAGATGTGTTGTCCTCATATACTCCATTCTAGATGTGCACTTGAGAAGCACCATTTCCCTGCCCTTGGGGATACACAGCTTCATACTGCAGGCACCATAAGGGTTTGGGCCTTGTGGTAGGAAAAAAACCCATTGCACACGTTCTGGTAGTTTCCCACTCTGTCTGTGGCATTTATAAAGGAAATTGAGGCATCACCCAGGGATTGTCTAGATGGGTTTCACACTACTCTAAGATTTATTTCCAGACAGCCAAGGAGACCCCACAGGTTCCATTTTAGAGTCCATTCAGCTGGGGCTGAGGCATAATCTGCTATTTGTTTGGGTAAAATCCAGTGCCTGAAATGTCATAAAGGGCTTTAAGTCTTTTCACTTCCCATTTTCCCTTCTGTGGGCTTCCTGATGGGATGCCAGCTTGGTGGGGCTGCTCCGTAGTGACTCGCCACATCCCGTTGTTACAGCTGCAGCAACGGTGGGATTCAGCTCACGTCACTTTGCCTATCTAAAAGGTCTCATCCAGCTCTTCCTGGGGCTCCTCCTGGGGCTCCTGCCATGAATAGTTACCCTGGGAAGGAGAGAAAGAGCTCCCCTCCTTGCTGTCCCAGGCACCACGGCGTGCAGGGAGCAGCAGTGGCTGTAGATTTTAGATAGCTAAAGTCAGGTCAGGTGAATCCCACCCAAAAAGGAATATGTATGGACAATCATTTGAAGCAGGAGAACTGGTTACTTGCTGTCCGGTAACTGTGGTTCTTCAAGATGCTTTGTCCACACAGATTCTGTGCTCCTCCTGCTGTGCTAATTCCGAGTCCTGTCCTAGGGGATTCTTTCGGGTGAAGGAATTGAGTGGTGGTTGAAGCCGCCATACCCCTTGTGCCCTCAGGTACAGTGGTCGCAAGGACACACTGGGTGCAGGCACAGCCCCAGTGGACACAGCTATTCAGAAAGAATCCAATCTCCTGCACATGGGGCCTATGTGCACGTAGATGGGAATCTGTGTGGGCAACACATTTCGAAGAAGCACGGTTACTGTAGGGTAAGTAACCCTTCTTTTTTAAAGCTTTCAGAATGATGCTGTGTCTATTTGTGCACCATCAAATTGACTGTGTTTGAAAAGATGGTAGAGCCAGAAATCCAGTGTTTGAAAGGATGGTAGAGAGCCACAAACTGCCTCTAGTGGGTTTCCCCATCGTGCAGCCAGAAGTGACACTACATAATGTAAATATAGAAAGTTGTCATATTACGTGACAGTATTTCACCCTTTATATCCAATTCCTAATACATTAGGAAGGAGAATATTTTCAAAGCTGTGGAACCACATCCACAGTCACATTGCCCTGTGGGTTTGCATGCTTGTTTTGCATTCAATTGCTTTGTATAAGGTTGCATTTTTTGCTTGAGTTTTAGAGGTTTCCTCGTGGCTCTCTGATGCCATTCCTCTGGCTGATGCCACTTTAAGCTTATGTATGTCCAAAATATTAAAATATCCACATATGTGTATCATTGGGTTCGAGACATTCATGAAAATTCTCTGAAGCTCAGTCTTGAGAAAATTCTGGTTTCTACAGATCACAGCTGACAAGCTATGATTTAAAAAGCAGTAGTGTGTATATATATTTAGGTGTCTGTATGTGATACAAACTTACTCTGTTCTTTCCTGTCCTCTTCAAGCCGTGCCATTTGCACAGCTTTGCACCCTCTGGGTGCTGGCTCAGAACCCTCCAATAAGATTTTCCTGGCAGGAATTGCATTTGGCTTCCCTCCTCCATCACACCCTGGTGCTTGCCAGGGGCTGGCTGAGGAGGCACCTGGAGGCTCCCAGTGTTCTCCTGTAGCCCAGGATGGAGCATTGCAGGGCAGGTGGCAGGCAGGGGATGCTCAGGGCACTGGGAGCTGTGGCTTTGGTGCCTTTGGTGGCTTGGAGGTTAAATGAGGCTCCCTTAAATCTGCAGGGCAAGGACGATGTTTACGACCGGATGCTGCTGGACTATTTCTTCTCCTACCACCAGTTCATCCACCTCCTGTGTCGGGTTGCAATCAACTGTGAAAAGTTTACTGAAACTTTAGTGAAAATGAGTAAGTATCCAGGTGAAACAGCCACAGGATTTTGTGCATGATAGCTCTGAGTCCTTCTGCGCTAAGTTTTCTATTCAGAGTTTTTAAGGAAAACTTGTGAAACTGGTTTTTGGCATTATTTTTATCCACAAAGCTGTAAATCTGTGTATAAGAAAGTGCAGCCTTACCCACATGACTGAAATGTTTTGGGCTTGTCCAGAAAAGACTGAGGTAACCACTGAGGATTCAGTCTTAAATACAGGACTCACTAAGGCTGTGTCTGGGTGATTGGCCGTTTAAATGACTTTGGATCACATCCTGAATCCTCAGCATCTCAGCAATGGCAATTAACTGACAATATTTTAATTTTTGTGTTCCCCCACAACCCCAAGGGCGAGTTCCTCAGTGTGCACAGACCAGAGTGTCACACCAATAATGTCATCCAAAGAGCAATGAGAGAATGTCCTTCTATCCCCTAAATCACCCATCTGCTTGTTGTTTGTCACACTTTCCCAACGTGGTTATGAAATGGACTGGGAAAACCTCACAGACACTGCAGCTTTCTGATCATACAAAACGCTTGGAATGTGATCCTATAAAATGACAGGGCACCCTGGCACTGCTTTTCTGAGGAATTGGCCTGTGTCCCACGAAGTTCTCCCACACTGACTTGTTCCCTCATGCCATTGCAGGTGTCCTGGTTGCTTATGAAGGTTTGCCCCTTCACCTTGCACTCTTCCCCAAACTCTGGACTGAGCTGTGCCAGACTCAGGTAAGAGTCAGAACCACCAGAATGGAAACAGAGGGAAAACACACTGAATGTGGAACAAAGAGCCCACAGCTCTAACTGGTGGGTGGTGTTCAGTAAAATATTCTGCCTGTGTGACTGCTGTCTGAGAAGCCCTGCTAAATCAAAGTCTGGTAAATTCTGATTGCTCCCTGTACATCCTGCAAAAGCTTAACACAGCAGCTCCCCCCAGTAATGGTGATGGGTGTGCAGAAATCATCTCATCCTGCCTCTGAAATTCCAGCTTTTCATGTAGCACAAACACTGGGATGATGGAGGAAAAATGAGGTGTCGAAGTCTGGGTGTGATTGCAGAGGAGCCTTGCTTGGCTCACAGATCAGGAGGCTCTGTCCCTGTCACACACTGCTGGGGATAAACTGGCCTTTCTGGGGAAGGAGCCTCATCACAGGAAAGTGGGGAGGAAGAATTGTCAGTAATTGATTTGTACCATTCACTGGCATCTGAGAGAGCTGAGCTATTCCTCAGTGGGCCTGGCTGCAGTTCCAGAGCTGACTCTGCCACCTTCTCTCTCCCTGCCAGTCTGCAATGTCCAAGAACTGCGTGAAGCTCCTCTGTGAAGATCCAGTTTTTGCAGAATATATCAAATGCATTCTGATGGATGAAAGGACCTTTCTTAACAACAACATTGTCTACACCTTCCTGACACATTTTCTCCTCAAGGTATGTGGTCTTTTAGCAGTAATTATTACTCCAAGGAATGCAGGCACTGATGCTGCTTCCTTTTTCGATTCTGTTCTCACAGTTCCAATTTTTTGTGGCTTTAAAAAAAATACTTTGTTTCCACAGGTGCAAGGGCAGGTATTTTCTGAAGCAAACTGTGCCAACTTAATCAACACTTTAATTACAAACCTAATAAATCAGTATCAAAGCCTAGAATCTGACTTCAGCAACCAGAGAGTTGAAATTTCCAAAGCAAGTTCTACATTAAACGGGGTGAGTCTTTGCTAAGGAACACGAGGCAGCTCATTCCCTCCAGAAACTCCTCAGTGCCCTGTGCCAGGTGTTAGGCACTCCCTGCCCCAGCTGAGCTCCTGGAGGGGCCATGGGAAGTTGGGAATATTCACCTGGCTGTGGGGAGCATTAATGGTGGGAGTGCTGTGACCCAGCAAGGTTTTGTGTCTGAGCAGGGCATTGTCACCTCCAGGACAGATCTGTGTTCAGGTCAGCAGACAGATCCAGAAGGGATCTTTGGGCTGCTCACAACATGAACAGCAGCATCTCCTTACTGCAGTCTCTGTGGGCAGGATTCATCAAGCACCAGTCTGAAGTAAGCCTCAAGTTTGTTTCTCTGTTCCAGGACCTCCGAGCACTTGCCTTGCTGCTTTCGGTGCACACTCCCAAACAGCTCAACTCGGCCCTGATCCCAACTTTACAAGAGCTCTTAAACAAATGTAGAGCTTGTCAGCAACAGAGGAACTCATTACAAGAGCAAGAAGCCAAAGAAAGAAAAACTAAAGGTTTGGTGTTGCACTAATGAACTTATATCAAATTCATGTAATGTTATTTTGTTATACAAAGTACAGGGTGGGCCATTTGCTAGCTCCAAATCCTAGTAGTACACAAAAATCCCATTTTATGATGGAGCTAAAGTTTGTGAATTGCATGGATTCTCTGTGAGGAAATGTTTGCTGAAGTGCTGTGTTGAGTGGAGAAGGGTGGGGGTGTGAGCAGTGTTCCTAAAAAGGTTTGGTGTTGCACTAATGAGCCTTTTATCAAATTAATGTAATAGGTTATTTTGTTATACAGAGTACAGGGTGGGCCAGGGAATGGCCCAATCCCAGTAGTACCCAAAATCCCAATAGGCCAGATCCCAGTAGTCCAGGAGAATCCCATTTTCCGCCGGAGCTGCAGTTTGTGCGCGCACAGGCTCTGTGAGGAGGAGGTGCGTGTTTGCAGCCGCGCTGAGCGGAGCAGGGTGGCTGGCTGTGACAGTAGTGCCGTGTCCCCGCAGATGACGAGGGAGCCACGCCGGTGAAGCGGCGGCGGGTGAGCAGCGACGAGGAGCACACCGGGGACACCGGCGACGCCAAGGGCGAGCCCCGCGAGGCGCTGACCCCCAGCAGCGCCTCGGACAACGAGACCCGGGACTCGTCCATCATTGACCCCGGCACGGAGCAGGAGCCGCCGTCCCCCGGGAGCGCCTCGGGCCGGGAGTTCAGGATGGAGGCGCCGTTCCCCGAGGAGGCCGCGCAGCACGAGGAGCAGCCCGGCCCCGGGCCGGGGAAATTCGAGGAGTGCAGAGAGCTCAAAGAGCTGCAGGCGGCCAAGGAGGCCGCGGGGGCCGAGGAGGACCCGGAGTTCCCCTCCACGTCCATCTCGGCGGTTTTATCCGACCTGGCGGACTTGCGGAGCTGCGATGGCCAAGCCTTACCGCCCCAGGACCCCGACAGTAATTTATCAATCAGTTGTGGCCATTCCAGAGGACTTTTTAGTCACATGCAGCAGCATGACATTTTAGACATCCTGTGCAGGACCATTGAGTCTACGATTCACGTGGTCACACGGATATCCGGGAAAGGAAACCAAGCTGCTTCTTGACATTAGATGGAGCATGTCTGCTTTTAAGTCTTCTTTTTATTTTTTTTTTTTTTAAATCCTTCTCCCCCTCCAAAAAATGCTGTTTGTATAAGTTTTGCTTATTTCTGTTTTGTGCTTCAGTTTGTCCAGTGCTCTCTGCTTGAATGGCAAGATAGATTTATATGCTTAATTCTTGGTCAGGCAGAACTCGAGATTATTTTTTTTAAATTTTATTTTATTTTGCATCTACCGTACACTTTCTTAAAGGGCAATCAGATAATGGCTATGTTTTATGTAATTAAGAGTTCACTGTAGTGGCTTTCATTTAATATGGCTGTCTGGGAGACAGGGCCTCCTGGCCCTGTATGATGTAATTTAAACTTATGGCATTTTTACTGTGTATAATATGGTGTCCTCTGTGCCAGTTTTGTACCTTATAATCGAGGCAGATTGCCTCAGATCGCTGTGGTTCTTATTATCAAAATTAAGTTTACTTGTATACTAAACAACCACAAGAAATTTGATTCTGTAAAGAATCCTCTTTAGCTGTGGCCTGGCAGTATATATATGGTGCTTTATTTAACAGAATACCTGTGGAGGAAATAAAGCACACTTGATGTAAAATTAATTGTTTTATTTTTATTGACATGATCAATTGCTATTCTGTGCACTTCATTAAACTGATTGTGATGACTTTTCATTGGTTTATAATATGTTGCTTCAGTCTTTGGATTTCTCAGCAAAGAACTTCCTAAGGGACAGAGCAGCAGAGAGAAATGATGGGCAGAGTTCAGATTTGATGGAGATTTTGGTGCTTGTTCAGTGTGCACAGTGCTCAGCCTCACAGTGGACAGGGACTGGTGCTTGTGTTGGAACCTGAAGTGCTGTCAAAAGCCAGGGGAACCTGGCATCTCATTTCCCTGATTTTAACATCTCTTGTACAATTTCTCTCCTGCACCATTTACAGACTTTTCTTTTTTCCCTCTGCTGTCTCTGGCTGTGCCCCTCACTTTCTGACAGCTTCTGCACCCCTGGAGTGACTTTATCATCCCTCCCATGATACTTCCCCCTGTTATTTCTGAGTAATACCAGTTTCCTATGTGACCTTTTGGACTGTCAATGCTGCTGGTTCCAATATCTGATTAAACTCCATTTTCAGCTTCATTTTCCAGTTGCTCATTTGTTTTTCAATTATCTTCATCTGCCTTGGTCTTTTTTCTTCAAAGTTCTTTCATTCCATCTACCCTCACTGCAGTTTTGCATCACTTGCTTCTCCTTGAGTCTGTGATGCTCTTGCTCCCTTTGAATTTACTCTCATTGGTTTCAATGTTCTCTAATTAGTCTGTCTTCAAAGTTTACAAATTTAAATGCGTTTTTATCCTGCATTTACAGACACTGCTGACACTGGTAAGTGCCTAAGTTGGTATCCTCATTATTCAGACATTAAATAACTATGGTTTTGTTCTCTTTGGGAATAATTTTATTACTTTTTCTGATTAGCTTTCCCCAGATTGTAACTCCAGAGAAATCATCAACAGCTTCTAGTCATAGTCAAGACTTCTACAATCAAAATTTTTCTGTCAAGGAAAACATTGGCCTATGGATGGAAACCTGAGCTGGAGCAGCTGTTGAAACCCGTTTGGGTGAGTAGTTTTCTTAATTAATTAATTAATTAATCAGCCTTATTAACACTGTGCAGTTGGGATGGTGCCTGAGCTGCTGCCTGTTGCTTTATGATTTCATAAAAGATACACAAATGCTGCACCATTAATCATGTCAGGATTAACAGAAATATTACTCTCACTGCTCTTCCCTTACCTCCTAATTTCCCCCTTGAGTATTCCTGCAGTTTTTACAGGGACCTTTTTTGCAGTAGAGTTTTTTGAACAGAAGTAAACAGTACCTGTACAAAGGTGTTTTCATTTTCCAGAGCCTGTTTCCAGGTGTTTGTCCTCTGTCTCCCTCACCTCCTGTGCTCTGTAAGTCATTATTTCTTCCATTCTATTCCCCTTCTCCCACTTTAAATCAGTTTTCTGGTTTGTATTTTTCTGCCTTTAAAGATGTTCCCTTATCTCACCTTTGAAAACCCTTTAACCCTAAACCCTTTCATCTTCCACTGGCTTCCTCAATCTCTTAAAAGCTTTGATTTGCTTCCAGGTTTTATCCCATTTCCCATTTATTATTACTTATTTCTACCTCCCATTTAACCCCTTCAAAATGAAGCTTTTAAATACCTTCTCCATGCACAGGCAGCCTCTCCTGTGGCACTTGAAGTGCTGAGATCTGTGAAGAATTTTGGCCATTATCTTACAAACAATGTCTTTGCCATTGTACTGTTTTTCTCTTTGTCCTTCTCAGAGAATTACCATCTAACATTTTTAATTGGGAAGTCCAGGAGAAATTTTAGCACCAGTTTCAGAGGGGAATGGAGCAGCTCCTCCTCATTGTCCAGGGGTTTTGGCAGCCTCACGTGGAGCAGGGACTGCAACACTGGAAGCACAAGTAAGTCCTGTCTTTTTCACCACCAGTGAGGGCAGGGAGCCAGGAAAACCAGGGGATTTCAGTGATGAGGAAGCACAGTGCCCTGGGAGTACTGGGGCTGCACTTTCACTGTCTGAAGGAAGGTGGAACTGCACAGAGCCACCTGCTCTCAAGGATTAAATATTGCAGTCTCTCTTCAACCACCTACCCAGAAACCTGCTGAAGCCTGAACTGTCTTCGACCTTCATTTCCCTTTGTCAACCCCTACCCTGAACCATTTCTGGATTCAAGACATCAGCCTTTTCTTCCTTAAATATTGAGGGGGAAAAAGGTAACTAAATTTGAAGCATTCAGAAACAGATGCTAAAATCCAACATTTCTCAAGAGGCTGCTCCCCACCCAGCACCTGGGCACTTAAAACAGAGCCCCCAGGGAGTGCTCTGAGCCTCTCCTGTCCCTGTGGGGACTTTGTTCTTTCCACTACACAGAGCTCACCTCGGTTCAGAGGGGTTAACAACTGACTGCAAACGTTTCAGGAGAGCCTGGCCTCTAGCAGGGAGCAGCACCTCTGTCTCCTCAGGATGATGGAAGCTTTTTGGGTGGTAAGGTTGCCATGTGTTGGCACTCTGTCAAAATAAAATATACAGGACTTAACTTCTGAGAAACTTAGTTAGTGTGGCAGTATCAGTCTATGGAGAAAATCAGCTTGATGTAAAATCATAGTTTTATTGAGCCAAGCATGTTTTCCAAAAGCAGCCTGCCCTATTGTGGTCAAATTGTTTCAGATTGCATATTTTATCTGTACACTTTATTTATAAAGCATTTGAGACCTAAGTCATCCTTGCTCACCTCGAGATGGTTTAATTAGGAATTACAATCTGTTCCTGTCAAAATTCTCTTTACAGTTGTTCTCTTTGAGGTACAGCATTGCAGAGGGCTGTGAATCATTGCAGTGGAAGGTTTTACAGAACTGCAGGAAGAAAGCACTACTACTGTTTGTTTCTTGCTAAATAAATGTCACACCGAGGTCAAGGAAGGGAGTACAGTGCATGCAGACCTAATAATTACATGACATTGTTAATTATCTTCCTAAGACTGCAGCTGACAAGAGTCTGCAGTTAAAAGCACCTAGCAAGTATTCATTCCACAGAGGCTGTAAATGACACCCCCATTTCTTGAAGTGGATCAGCAGTTTTGTAATCCCTTGCAGCTCACCTCTGCTGGGAACTCCGTCTCCTACAGGGATTTAATTCTGCCACTTGATACACTGAATGTTAAGGAACTGGAAATGCTTCTATTGATGGTGTAGCTCACCTGCCTCTGAGGGCAGGGTTCACTGCAACTGGATCATTATCACTCTGAAGTTCCAGGCAAGCAGAACAGAGATCACTGTCCCCAGGTAAAGCTATTGATGTACACAGTCTGACTTGCCTCTCATTCCCTAAAAACCCATAAATAGTGCTTAAACTATGTACAGTCTCATAGAGGTGGGTCTTTATTCTTCCCACAAATAAATTATATTTTTTCTTTTTTTTTTAGAAAACCAAATGTTAACAAAGTATAAAAAGTAATGCCCTAACAAAACTACAGTGCTGTTATCATTCCATGCTGTCTTTTGATTGCTGCAGTAAAAGATGTATTTCTTCAAAATACTGCTTCTTCCAACATTGTCTTGTGCTCTCTTCATGGGAGACAGGAACCCCTTTGCATTCCAGCTCCAGCTCCGACTGAGCCGCCAGGTCTTGGAAGGTCAAGGCCACAGTTGCATAATGTTCTGAGGGAAGAGAACAGGACCCTTCAGTCAGGAGCTTTTTAAAGAAAGAAAAATTTGCCATTTGTTGCTGCTGGTTCCCTCTCTGCTCTGCCTCTTTCACAAGGCAGGGACCAAGGGCTGGATGTCCAGCCCAGGCTGGTCCCTGCCAGGACTGGTTCTTCTCCCTGCACAGGAGCCCTGCAGCACCAGAGATGTGGGAAAACTCACCCTCAGGCCAGCTCCTACACCGCCACTTCAGGACCAGTCTTTGGCTTGGCACCTGGGGAAGAGAGGGAGGTTCTCCTTGTTAGACCTGAGAGAATTCCCATCCCAGCTCTCCCTGAAGCACAGGGAGAGGAGCAGCAGCTGATGGCATTCTGGACACATGCATGTACACAAGAGCAAGATTGGGGTCTGGGTTTTGAAATAAAAAATCGTTTTCATGTAGCTCTCAGCGTGCTGCATTCCACTGTTGTGTTTCTGCTGTGGGAAAAGACCAGGACTCACTGGGTACTGCACATAAAACACTGATTTTCTTGCAGGAAACAAGGACAAGCCCAGTTTTCCCCACTGAAATGTCAAAGTGTGACTGAGAGATTGTGTTACACAACCCAGCCTGGCCCAACACACAAGTCAGGCACTCCTGCAGATGAAAATGGTTTTTAGGACATTTCAAAAATGCAGCTGAGCTCTAATTATCAGGTTTTTCCCTTCTATTTGCACCAGCATTCAGTTGGGACAGGGTAACACTTGCCCTGAATAGAACAGAGATCAATTCCCCAGTTAAAAAGAGGGATTTGGATGACAAACCTTAAACCTTCCTCCTCTCAGTTACAAAGAATTGTGCAGGGTTTTCTGCTCCCTGTGCAGGTCCTTAGGTGTGGTCAGTCCCACACAAAAACAGACCAACTGTTGGGCTGTGAAATAGAGAGGAACTGAAATACTCACTAGAGAAGCTCAAATTCACAAATTTATGCTGCTTTTTAGCTCAGAGAAGGAACCACCCTCCCTTCCCTTTTTAAAGTAGAGCAGGAGCTTTTTACCAGTTCTGTGTATTCACCACTGACACAGCCCTCAAACATCTGGAGTTTGCCTCCTTTCTCTGCTTCAATCACAGCTGGGCACTTGGAGAACTTCTGTACCAACTAAAAAAAAAAGGAAAAACACAAAATGCACCAGGCTGGGAGACAAGGGAGGGGAGCTGCAGGAATCAGAGCCATTTCTGGTCCCAGAGGTGGTAATTTAAAGTTCTCCAATACCAGCCCAGGCTCCTTTAAAGGCCACAAACCCAAAATTAGTGATTGTGTGTTTCATACCCTATAAACAACAGTATCATCACCTGCAGTAATTAATCTAATTAAGCTGTGGGTAGCAGCAGTGCTATTACTGAGCCCTTCAGGCTCCTCAATAACACCAACATCAAAGAGCAAAGCTTTTGTTAGGGACAGCACCCAAACCACAGAACAATGCAGCTTCACTTTGTTAAGGGAACAAGTGGCAAAAAAATTTCTAAGGCAGGCTAATAAACTCTCATCAAATGGAATTTGTACTTAACACTGTGATGTGTTCATTGTTCACATAACTCTTCAGCAGCATCAACAGCCACATTCAGTTAAAATGCCTCCTGAAAGGATCACTTACTTCCTTCTTTGTGAAGATGCTGTACAGTTCATCAGCTGGAGAGTTGAAGACTTCCCTCATCTGTATCCTCACTGTTGGAATTTTTACTCCAACCATATCCAGAGCCTGTGGTGTAACAGAGTCCTGCAAAGCAAAAACAAACACATTCCCAGGAATGAGAATTAGTGTGAGATCTGCACCCTTCAAAGTGCTGGCAGGGCAAGGGGGTTGGCACCTGCACCTTCTCAAGCACAGGCTGTGAACACATGCAGTTGCAGACTGTAGTTCTGCATTTCCTCAGCAGTTTTGTTACTCAGGAGTCACTGAATTCAGGGGGAAAACCTGAAGCCAACACACCTGCACAGGGCTCCCACTTGGTTTTCGCTCCGTGGCCAGTTCCTGACCTACAGCAGCTTTGGTTGGCAGAATCATTCCCAAGGTGAACTCTGAAATGAAGAAAAGCACTTTTCAGTGTGAAATTGAGCTGTTCAACCCCCCTGACATTCAGAGACTCAGTGAAGATCACCACAGCCCTGGAGAATGGGTAAAACTGAGCAGGACATGAAACTCAATCCAGCTTCCCCAGTTTACTCTTTGGCTTCCATCAGGAACAGCCCTAACAGCAATTTCCCTTCAAAAGGCTTTTCCAAGTTACCTGCCCCCAAATCAGAAACATCTGCACAGACTTCTGGCAGCACAGCAGATGTTCAGATCAAAGAGAAATAAGACCCAAAGAAATTCTTCTAAAAGTTTGGCAGAAGGCTGGAGTGAAACTCAGTCCAGAATGGAGCCATCACTGTCAGAGGCTGCTGCCCTTTGAGCTTCCAGAGTTAAAGAATCTTTGGATACCCTAAAAATCATACACAGTAATTTCTCAAGCCAAAAACTGGTGCATCCAACTTGGGAAAATTACACAGCATTTAACAAAGAGGTAATAATTGAACAAAGTATTTCACAATCAGAGATGTACCTGATAACATTCTGACTACCAGCTCTAAATGCATCAATTTTTTGAGCATACTTTCCTGGTTCTTGGAAACAGCTGTCATTCACAAAAATACCAGAGTTCAAAAGAAAAAAAAAAGGAAAAATTAAATTTGGTTCACCTTTGGTTCAGAAGAACAAGTGAAAATTTATAAATTTAGTAAGTTTAGGATAATAAAGCCTTAGAATCTCAAATGATAATGCCAAGCTCAAAGATGAGCAGAAAATTAATTTATAGAGTAAAGAACAGAAATAAAGACAGCATTTCAGAAATTCTAGAAAATAACTAATTTAATTAATAACTAAAACAAAGGGTCACAAAAATAAGGCAGCAGTTCAGCAAGGAAGGCAGTTTTTTAAAATCAGACAACAAAAAGAAATCCTAATATTGGCCAGTCCAAGTAGGGCCAAGCTGAGCCCTGGCAGAGCCTGTGTGACCCAGCACAGCCTCAGTCACTGCAGAACCTTCTGGACACGGCCACTTTCAGAGCAAATCCAGACCCTGAGTGTCAGGACTGACTGAAGTCAGCTGGTGACAATCAAAGATCACAGCAGTACAAACCCAGGGCTTTGGCACTGTCTGAGCAAGGCCTTCGGGAGAGGCACCTGCACAGGACACTCCAAGGTGCTGATTAATCCACCTGGCTCCATTTACCTGTTTTAAGTGCTTTCAGGTAGTCCCTCAGGGCCTCTCTCACTTTGGTGGTTCCTTCAGTTCTCATCAGCTCCTTCAGAACATCCCCTTCCCCTTTCTTCTTGCTAACATTTATCTAGAAACAGAAAAATGACAGCGTTTATGAGACCCCAGCCATGAGCCTTTGGGATCTGGCAACAAAGGAAAGTGTTTGGGCTTTGTTTGCTATGCTCAGAGGACAGCTGCAATTTCCAATTCATGATCTTGGGGGAGCCAACCTTTGCTAAAAGCAAGTCCTCTTAAGACATAAATAAATGTAGTATCTCCACTCAGTCTAGTTCAGCCAAGAGCTGCTTCTCAGCAGAGGCTGAAGGATCTGTGGGAGCCCAGTACCCACTATTATCCAGCCAACACAGAGATTCCCTGAGGTCTTAGGGTTTGCTGTGTTGGTCTGGGTTTTTTTAAGACTCCAAGCAGAGTTCTTCTCAAATTTGTAGTTAAAATATTATCACAATCATTCATTAGCAAAGCAAACTGCACATTTCTCACTGGTAAATTTGAGAACAGAATAAGGCATTATTCAAAGTATAATAAACAAAAGCATGAAATAAACTATCCACATAGTAATTACCCCACTTAATAACAGGATAAATCAAAATATGATGCCTGATGTTGATTAATTTTATTTAAGAACTGTGGACCTATAGAGCCATACCAGTGTTGCACACCTACCTCTGTATCATCTACCTCATTTTCTTCTGACAGGTTAGGAATTTCAACAGATCCCTTATGTTTCTCACCAGACTCTTTGACTGTACCTGTATTAACATAACAAATTCTTGAGTGCATCATTAAAACTCTTTTCCCCCACAGCACGAGTTTCACACGTGGAACTCATTTGTACAAAGGTGTTACCTGAAGGGAGGTGCCTCGAGGCTGATTTAGAGGAACTGAAGAGCAACCTGAGCCTCTCCTGGGAGCTGTGTCCCCATCCAGGTGCCCCGAGGGAAGGACAGGGGCCCAGCTGCTCCCTGCACTGCTCCCACCTGCTCTGACGGCCTGGACATCTGAGGGTGGCCGGGGGAAATCATCTCCTTCTCCCCTGAACGTGTCTGCTCTGCATGCAGGAGCTCCCTGCAACGCTGCCCTTCCCTCTTTAATTGTGTGGAACTGCCAACATGCAGGAACCTTACCAGGAAACACACACGTGTAGAATGGAGAAGGATACAACTGACAGTTTAAAAATAGGAACTTCAGGTGCACATTCAGAGCACTTGATAGGACTTTTAAGCACTTTACAATAAAGAGTCAGCAAGGACAGGAATTCTGCTCCACTTCTGATCCTTTGGGGCCAAGGCCCACCCCACCGAGCTGCCCCGTGCTGCTCTGCCTCAGATTGCACTGGAAAGATTGAAGTGAAGGTCTGAGGCTTGTTCTATTACACTGAAGCCTCTTCCCCCTGGCCTTGCAAAAGTGCTTTGTTATTTAAATTAACTCACTAATTAGATGACTGTAAAATCTCTTCAGAAAGCAATAAGAGAACCAGGCAGGTCTGTCATCTCAGTGCCAGAACATTAAAAATCTACCAAGGTGCTTCATCAGCAAAACTCCAATTCCAACAGCCCAGGGCTGAGCACGACTGCACAAGGGGAATTATCAGCAAGGCAGATGCAGAATTTCTGGGGAAATCACTTTCACAGGAGCCACCTGGTTCCCCTGCCCCTGACCATCACTCTCATTATTTTAATGACTGCGTGAGCCCCCAAGACAGAACCCAACGAAAGCCCAGGTGCTCCTGGCATGGAGAGGAGTGCAGAGCTGTTGAACCAAAGTGCAAAGATCCCTCCCCACTCGGGTCTGGGGCAAGGAGGGGTTGCACAACACACAGAGCTGTTAATCCACAGCCACACAGGGACAGCAGAACCTGAGCTTGGAGTCTCCCAGGAGAACCTGCCACTCAGTAAAGCCCTGGGGACTGGTTAATGCCATCCTTGGAACACTCCTGGGCCCACAAAGCCACCTCTGGGTGCTCCTCCCTGCCCTCTTCCAGCACCAGGATCAGCACAGGAAAACCACACAACGTGCTCTCTGCAGACAATAAAACCCAGCTGGTTTTTGGCTGCTGCCCAGAAAGGAAGTGCAGGCGTGCAGGAAGGAGTTTTGGGGAGCAAAACACAACCTGACTTCAGTCAGCTAATCCTACCAGCAGTTTTCACAGCTCTAAAATAAAGTTTCACAGTGCCAGTGGCTGTGCTGGGCAGCAAAGTCCAAGCAGAGAACAAACAGAGCTGGTGGCTCCACATGACACAGGCAGAACGTTGGTGCAGCTCTGCATTTTCACTACCACTGTAATGTAAACTAAGGTTTACTACCTTTTTATCAATCACTCAAATTATGTGGTGGAATTTCACTGGAAGAATTGAATAACAGACCTGAGAATAAATTATTTTTTGGTTTCCTGCCAGTCCAGTGTGAAGCACACATCTCAGCAAGAGCCAGCTATAACACACTGGTGAAATACCTGCTTTAAAAGGACAAACGTGTTTTCACAAAGCTTGCACCACAATGTGGAATGATCCATTAAAATCCTCAATGCATCCTCTAAAAATGATGGAACAGCCATTTTTCTCAATTTTAGCGTCATTAAGTACACTCAGTCCCTCACTTTCTTGTTTCTTTATTACCTAAATTGCTAAACACGATGTTTTTCCTACCTGGCACTTTCCAAACCAGCTGCAAATCTCAGGTTTCTTATCATTTGTCCTTACACACCCACCTTTTAATCAAAGCTTGAAGTCCTACTTATCCTTGAAGACTTGTAGAACTAATTACAGTTTTTTAGTTCAATCTGAACTCTCACTTCTAATTTAGAGCCCTCAAAACACACAACATGCTGGCTATCACAAAAAAAAAAGAAAATCATCAGCCTCTGTTTTTTTTTTTTTAAGAATTTCCTGCTGTGTAGTAGCCAACTCATTTAAAATGAAGCTCTCAAAGCCATGATTCACTCAGCATAGCAAAGTCAGAGCTGTCTCTAAACACTGACCAGCATAAACACCTTGGAGAGAAACCATTTAGAGAGAACTTGCATAGAAACACAAACAAAATACTGTCTGCCTGCTTCTAACTTTATACTCTGAAATAAACCACACAAAGCCGAGCTAACCTCTGTTTAAAGCTTCAGGTGATCTTAGCTGAACCTAAAGAAGTCAAAAAACTGATTACAATTATTTTATCTACACGGATTTAAACTGCACAAGAGTCTAATATTTGCCTTGTTCTCTGTTAACATTTACACCACAACTCTAAGTGTGGTCTCAGTTTATAACACACTTGGAACATATAAAACTACCTAAAACAAACAACAGTACTCAGTTTAAAGTCCCCTCTTATTGTGGGTGCAGACTCCAATTCCAGATCTGTTCTGGTCTCAGCAATATTGCAGTCAGGGCAGCCTCCACACCCCAGGGCTGAGGAATACAGAGAGCATTTGGGGAAGCACGGCCTGTCACTTGGCACTACAACAATCCAGGGACAATTTCCTGTGCAGGCTCATTCCATCAGCTGCTCCTGCTTCTTACTCCAGTGCAAGACACAAGGTGCTGTCAAGTTTTAGGCATTTAATAAACGGGAAGAATTCCTTGGCATCACCAAAAGCCAAACTGCAAACCAAGAACTTGTCATGGGGCAAGCACAGCAGAGGGCAACTCCAAGAACTGGGACTGCAAATGGATAAGGCACAACAAAAAAATGCACGGGGACAGCCCCCAGCACCCCAAATAATCAAGAATTATTTCTATTTCCCACTTAAGAGTTTTATCCTCCTGTAATTTGTAATTCTCAATGTAAACTACAGTTCGGTTATGGAAACAGCTGTAATGTGACATCTCCTAGGTTTTCCTGCTCCCCAGAGGCACGGAGGAGCACACAGCTGTAATGTGGAGCTGGAATTTGGGCACAGTGTCACCGAACCAGCCCCGCACTCTGCTGTCAGTGCCACCACAATGCAGGCACTCACTTCCTGCAGAGCAAAGTGAGTAACCGTGCTGACAGCCCGCGGACGCAGTGCCGAGGAATACTCGGTGGGAAAAGCCTGGCTGAAGGGGAAAGCCAAGCTCGGGTTTCAAGGTTATTTAGGAACACGCATTTATCCCGTCCGGGCCCACGTGGCTCCCGCAATCGCCTCCAGCCCCGGACTGAGTCACTGCAGCTCCCGCGTTCCGGGGCCCGGCTGCTCTGCGGAGGGACGGCCGCGACGGCAGCGGGCACAGCGCGGAGCCCCGGGCGGTGCCATCTCCCCGCCGGGCCCGGACACGCTGCCAGGGCCCGGCAATGCCCGCGGAGGCCCCCGGATCGCCCCGTACCTTTCCAGCTGAGGCGCAGGTTCCACTCGTAGAAGAAGATGAGTTTCCCTTTGCGGCTGTTGCAGGACGCTTCGCCCTCCACGTGTTTGAGGTCGCCGATCTCGCAGCGCCCGGCCTCGCCCTCCACCACCAGCCCCTCCAGCACCTCCTTCAGCTTCCTCTTGGACCAGCTGGTCGCGTCCCGCTCCGTCCTGCCCCGGGAGCCGCGGGGTCAGCGCCGGCCGCCCGTTCCCCCGGCCCTTCCCGCATCCCGGGGATTTGTTGCTGTTTTAGGGACTGGACTCACCAGTGCCAGTTGTTCACGTTGGTGGCGTCCGCCCGCTCCTCCACGATCCAGCGCGGGTCCCCCTGGCCCCACTTGGCCATGGCGCTGCCGCGGCGCCGCCTCCGCCGCCGCTCCCCCCGCTGCCCGCCGGCCGCTTCCGCCGCCACCGCCAGAAGGTGCCAGAAACTTCCCCGCCCCGCCGGAGGAGGAGGAGGAGGAGGAGGAAGGCGAGGGCCGGCCCTGCCCTGCCCTTCCTCCCGGCGCGGGGGGCGGAGGCAGCGGGGACGGCGGCGCCGGGAGCTTCCGCGCTGCTCTGGGGCTCAGCGGCCGCTCCTGGGCTCGGGAAAAGCCGCTCCTGGGCCCGGGGAAAAGCCGCTCCTGGGCCCGGGGAAAGCCGCTCCTTCGGGGCTGTTCCCGGCTCTGAGGGAAGGCACCGCCTCGCTGGAAAAGAGGAGAGAAAGAAAAAAAAAATGGAGGAAAACAGGAAAATTAGAAAGCGGACTCTTGTTTTCAGACACTGCGGCGGACGATTCTGCGCAAAAGAACAGAATTGATGTCCCAAAATTATTCGATCTGAAGCAATGACAAGGCAGCGCCTCTGGAATCGGGTTTATTGTCTTGCCCACTTGACACGTGCCAGAAGAAATTAAATACACAGTGAGACAGCGCTGCTGCTGGGAAAGCAGCCCTGCAGCACAGCACTGCAGCCCTTCCCGCATATTGCTTGTTCTCTTCCTCATCCATCCTTAAAACAGCAAGAAAATTAAAATCTGGATAACATTGCCCATATTCTTATTGCTCATTCTGAGCTGTTCCAATGAGTCTCATTGTGGTTTTTCTAAAAATGTTCTTCATCGAGTGTTCTTATTAGAGAGATACATCATCACCAAACTCATCGTTTTCAGACTCCCCATCTCCAGGCTCATCATCTCCAGACTCTGGGTCCAAAATCACTGCCACCTCTGAAAATTTTACTCCTTTCAGTTCTTTCTCAGGGGCAGGCAGTGTGGGCTGAGGTGTTAAGGAAAGAGCTGGCTTCTGGTTTGTGTCTGCTGGAAAGGAGTCCTGCAAAAAAGCGTAGTGCAGGTGAGGCAGGAAGCTACACATGGTTGAGTGTGGAGAAATTATAAACAGTGGAAATCATAAAATTGTGAGCCCTTTACTGTTCACATTCCATAAAGACAGAAGAGAGTCATCACTTCTGGATGAAAGTCGTGCTCCTTCTCCTAGGCATGGGCAAACAGCCCCTCCTAAGAGTTTTTATAGAATCACAAAATGGTTTGGGGTGGAAAGGACCTTAAGAGATTGTCTAGCCCCAAGCCCCTGCCATGGGCAGGGACACCTTGCACTAGACCAGGTTGCTCCAAGCCCTGTCCAGCCTGGCCTTGGACACTCCCAGGGATTACATCACAAGATTTTTTTGGTTTTAGTTCTATTGGATTAGCTTTTTTTGATAATTCCTTCAGTTACTTGGTGAATAACAATAAAATAACCTTTCACTCCATGCTTTGCAATCAAAAATCATGTTACCTGTTCTGGTGTGAATCTCGCTGTGGGCTGGACCTCCACATTTCTACTTTCAGCAGCTTTTTTAGGTGCTCCATTTTTCTCACTTTCACCCTTATAATCCAGCAGCACTGTCTCCAGGTAATTGTCTTTTTGGGGGGCCTGAATTTCATCTTTTTCAGAATCATCTCCTCTGGTGCCTTCCAGGTTGTCAAATGACATCACCTCAGTTCTCCTAAGAGAGATCAGAAAATTTACAGCACCACACATAAAAATCTCAGCCTCTTTACAACCAAGAGCAGCAAGTACACTGATCTCAAAATTGGTGGGATTGTACCCAGGGGAATTAAGTAGCTTCTTGTATCCTGAAGGGTCTTTTCTGCATTAGGATTAACAATTTGCTAAAGACTAAGTAGGAATTTGCCTTTGATACAAGATTAAAAGGTATTAACTTCCTTCAAGTGTAGAGATTTTTAATTTGTCATGTTCAGGGTCCTTAAAAATGGACCTTTAGCCTAGTGGGAAATCCTAGGAAAATCCTATGGTACCAAAATAAACTAGAACCATGGTTCTTATATGCAGTCTTTTATAAATTTGTGATTGCAGCAGTCCACTTACCCATTATTCATGTGCTCTGGTTTCTCTAAGCTTTTCAGACTTCCATTTTTGTCATCTGCCCATGGGTTATCAATGCCCTCCATAATGTCAACTTTCTTAACCAAATCCTGTTTCCCATACTTTCTGAAAATAATACATTAAAATAATAACAATAAAAAAATCCTTTTGAAGATTGGCTTTACAGTTGTTTTAGAAACAGAAGATTAATTACTTGTGTTATAAATGTAATACACAACATTTATTTTTTAGTGTTGTTCTGGGGATTAGTTTGCAGTATTTCCTATTTTTCCATAATGGTAGTAGGGTTTGCTTCCCTTCTGGAAATTGTTTTCTTCTACCATGTGGCCCTGCTGCCACTGAAAGCAAAACCTCCCTTGATTTCATCATTTATAGGGTTGGAAAAGACCCATGTGCTCCCCTTCCCAGTGAAAATTTCTGCTGCCCACATTTCTTTGGTTCAGAACTCTTTGTTTTTGCTTTTGCTGTGTGACAAACACAAGAAGAAACAACTTCCAGTTGTGTGTGGTGCATCCAACATAACCAATCTCGGGCAGCGCTCCCCGCAAAAGCCGCTGATTTATCAGACAAACGCCTTTCATTAAAGCCATCAGCAGTGAAGGTGCATGGCATTGTGAAGGCAAACCCGGGGTACCTTTTCCTTTTCAGGTCCAGCAGGACATAGGCCAGGAAGGCGATGAAGGTGATGGCCAGCAGCACCCCGAGCACGATGGCAGCCGTGCGCTCCGGGGGTGCCGGGGCCGCCGCAGCCTCCGGCACGGCCGCGCTGACGGGCGCTGAGAACACGTCCTGCAGCCCCAGCTCAATGGCAGCCCTCTGCTCCCTCAGCTTCCTGGGGACACATGGAAAATGGGCACGTGCTCCTCACCTGCCTTCTGGCTGCAGGAGTGGTGGAGAAAATACAGAACATCCCTCCCTGCTCTGCCAGGACCTCTTCCGAGCATTCGGGCTCGTCGTGTCTCTCCTTCAGGAAAAGCTCTGTTTTCCAGAGCCCTGGTGCTTGTGACCTGAAATGCTGCAGGGCTTGGACACCTGAACTAGAGCCACATCACTGACAGGTTACCAAAGAAATGTAAAATACACCTGAAGAAGTGTGGGGTTTTAATCAACAGTCTGCCACTCTGATATATATATGGTCTATATGTATATAGTCTATATATATGGTGTGTGTGTATATATATATATATATATATATATATATATGGTGTGTATATATATATCTATATATATGGTGTGTATATATATATTAGGTGTGTATCTATCTATCTATCTATCTATCTATCTATCTATCTCAGGTATATATATATATATCTCAGGTGTGTATATATATATATACACACACCTAATATCTATATATACACATATACATATATATATATTAGGTATATATATATATATATATATATATATATATGAGGTCAATATATATTTTAATGATATTCTTTCTCCATCAGCTTTTTTCTCTTAAATTTTCTCTGACTTTTAAATCTAATTTGCACAATGAAACAGCCTTACTCATGTTTTTGGCAAACTTTGAAAATTAGATTTCAGTAAATAGTGAATCAGCTTTCTGAATTTTTAGAATTCTGTCTGCACGAGCTCTGACCCCTAGAGCTCAGACTGTGCCATCCAGACCTTTTCACATCTTCTGCAGATACTTCCTGGTGGGCCTCATCAAAGGCAATGATGTTTACTTGGGTTTCATCAGTGCTGCTCCTTGAATTTCTGTCAGACTCCTTGGAATAGATATTAAGCACATATACATTCCATCCAAGTTTCTCTTCCAGGACCCTGGCATCATATGAAGAAAACATTTTTAATTAGCTGGGCAATGACAGATTCTTTTACTCTGAAAATTAAATGAAGTAGTATTTAGTACAACACTTGGCAGATATTAATTGATGCTAATAAAAGTACCTTGGCAGGTATTTTGGTTGAAGCATGTAAAAATGCAGGATTATCATCAGCCAAGGAATTAAGCTATTTGTCCAAAATTGTTGAGGGATTGTGTAGCAGAGGAAAAAAATATCTATAGATTACTATAACCAGTAAAGGTGGGGAGGAGGGAAATTCAGTCTCATAATCCTCATGGTTTTTTCCTCTGCTTCCAGAGATTTTGTGCTGGATGGGACCAGTGGCCCAGTTAATCCATCATACTGGTAGCAGTCAGCACCAGCTCTTCCAAGAAAGTTTTCCATTTCATTTTTACCAACAAGGACTGGTCCATAATAGCACCAACATCACAAAATCATTTTTCCCACCTTCAGAATGATTTCCCTTCATGAGCACAGGACTCAATCTTTCTAATATAAATACATGTTTATGTGTAGCCAAACAAAATATCTTCCATCTTTGTTAACATGCCCAATTGTTTTAATTTAATGGTGGGTTTGGTTTGTGGTGTCTGCCCTATGTCTCCACGTTTTTATCCTGCTATCCATGAAAACCTTTATCCTAGGCTGTTAAAAATGACACAAACCTTGAGGTGGGAAGAGACCACATGAAATTGTCTAGTCCAGTGACCTCTTTGAGATGTGTCAACTTCAGGGTCAAAACTTACAAGGCAAATATTGGTGGATTCCTGTGAATTCACTCAAATCATTCTGAGCTCTGTCAGATTGAAGGCCTGGCTTTTGCTGAGCACTGGCTGCAGGCTGTCAGACCCCTATCCCAAACTCTGAATTTATCATTAGATATTATACCAGAATAAGCTTCACAGTTTCAAAAATACCTTTGTACTTCAACACTCTTTCTTTCCACAACACTGATCTTCTGATTTAGCACCAGCATCACAACGTTGCTACTGGAACTGGAATCAACAGTTACCTAATAAAGAATCACAGATAAGATTTTCTAGAGCATTTGTACCTCTTGTAGATTGACCAAAAAAACCACAAAAAATCCCAAAATAATTGTCCTCCAAAAATCAGTTTTTGTGCCAACATATTTTTATATGTCAATGAAAATGGCAACCTCTTAATTCTAGTATGTAAAT